AAAAAAGATGCAATAAAGTGATGATAAAGGATCAACTAATACGTTATATTAAATTTCACACTCTTTAAAAAGATTTTCCAAGTTAGATTTGTCATCCACATGATACTCTGAACTTGAGAAATTTGATACAAGAAAGGAAATGAATGGATACAAATCAATCATCACAACAATTCTATACTTCTTATCATAATCGATGCAAACTTTGCCCAACATGGAGGAGGTACGGATTTTATCTAAACAGGAAAGCGGTATGGATTTTTTTCCAACCTCGAGTCGGTGCCGAGTTTCTCACTTTAGCAATCTTTAGTCCTAGCAATATACATAGAGAGCCTCCAAACGAAGTGTCCCTCACTCTAAATCAGTTGTACTTGCCTTTTCAATATCGATACTAGTTTTTCTTGTTACTAATTTCATCTTTCATGTCTTCGCTTTGTCCAGATTTGGAGGTTAGATTGTTATTCTAAGATTTGGAGGTTAGATTGTTATTCTAAGTTTTGAGAGATGTCGTCCGCAATAGTTTTTCAAGAGTACACTATCAAGATGATTGATGATTGATTCTTCCAACATCTAGATGTCCGACTTGATTGTCATGTGGCAACAGCTACACCAAGAGAATGCCAACCTACGAAACGTCACGAAACAGCTTCAAGTCGCTCACACTCAAATCCCTATTTCATGTCCCAGAACAAATCTAGTTGCACAAAAATCAAAAGAACCTTGAGTAAACTTGCTAGAAAAAAGTGACAAAGATCATACACAACTTTAAGATTTTGTTAATCAAGTTTCACTTGTCTTTCGTCTCCAAACACATAAATACGTAACAGAAGAAACACAAATTTTCACTCAAAGATGACTGCTTACCGAAACTGCGTTATCTTGGTTTTATCTTTATTGGAGAAAGATTCTTCATTCATGTCAGACCTTGAAGAATTTTAAAAAGAATTCAGCAAAAAAGTTGGAGAGAGATCGAACCTTTATAGCAACATTGATATTTTGAACACTGCAACAACAATCGCGTTGAGCTTCATCATAAGTTGCAGATTTTCAACAACTTGCATGTGATCTGGATTGAAATCATAAGGCTTTTGATCAGAACTCTGTGACAATATCAAAATATTATTGTTGAATTTGTTTGAACCAATTAGTCCATCAGAAATTATCACTCACACAATCACCTACAACAACCAAGAAATGACGATTGCTCTTTTGATCGTATTGAGCATATCAAATAACTCTAACTTGCCAAACATTGTCAAGTATTTTGATCTCAAAGTACATCAAAACCAACGCTTTGAAAATTAAAAAGCTAATCAAAGAAAATAAAGAACAACGTCGTAGCGAGCACTTATGTGTTTATTATGGAGATAAGGATCATAGCTAAAACAACTGTACTTTGAAACCTCAAGGACCAAACATGCACAATTGTTACACTTCAAGCACTTTTGAGCCAAGACACGAGGAGTTCAAGTTGGAAAACAAAAAAAATTAACCACATTAACAACCCTGCGGCTGAAAAATGTTGCCATATCATCAAATCCTACCTTATGCTCTCCAATTTATTATTGTTTTAATATATATTTTTTTAATAGTTTTTCATCTACATAGCATTAAAGTCTAAGTCTTGTTAGATTCCAAAGCTTTTGCTTGTTTTATTGATAAAAATATTGTAAAAAGTTATAATTTTCTTATCGTTTTGAGAAGCACTATGTGATAGTAGAGGTTATTGATAGTAGTCCCTTGATTTCAAGACATATCACTCAGAAAACTAACTACTTAGAGATTATCTTAGAATAACATCAAATTTACTGTTGTATTCAATATCATTAGTTCTAATTTTGATACTCTTGTCTTCTTTATTGAAATGATTAACCTCGATGTACATTGCAAAGAGAATAATTTAACATATTGAATCTTATTTTTTCATATTTTGTCTAAACATCCTAGAAATGTTCCAAACACGTGTTTTTACCTGATCCAAGAATCTGAGGTTGAGGTTAAAGTTCCGTCAATGATTCATGCACAAATCTTTACGAGGGAAGCCAAAATTAAAAATATATTTGAAATTTATGCAACTCCGACATCTGAGATTCTCCAAGAACCAATCAAATTACTAGCAGAATATGAGGAGAATAGAGTATTGAGACGTATTTGAAAAGAAAAATGATGATACAGTCATCAACATGGACCTTATGACTCTAACATTGAACTTCAAGATTGTCTTTAACCTCACTTTGATCTAAGCTATAGCCTCTTCCAGAACGAACTTGCCGCACTGCAGGATTATCTTGATGAAAATCTTGCAAAAAGACTTTGGTTGACATTCCAAGTCATTTTCTAGAACATCAATCTTATTCGTCAAGAGAAAACGTCTCTCTTTGGATGTGCATAGACTATCTTGAACTAAACAAGGTCACAATCAAAAATCGACATCCATTGTCGTTTTTTTTTTGTCGTCAATCAAATTTATGGAAGCTAAATTCTTTTGTTTTTTAGAAATAATTGGAGTTGTTAAGGCTTCTTGACCAAGGCGGTCAAACTAAGATCCACACCAAGATTGATCTTTTTGAAGTGTATAACCTAGTATACATCAAGTTAGTTGATGAATGAAAGATAGTGTTTTGAACTACTTTTACATAGTTCAAAACACATTTTGAATTGAGTCATGACATTTTGAATACAATGTCAAGACTTTTAATCTTATCATTATATCTATCATCTTTCAACACTTGATGAAGCATATATTTCAAAAATTTCTATAAAATTTGGTTGTTCATTATCTCGATGACATATTGATTTTTCCAAGAACAAACGTCTTCATTCTGTTGCATTTCACTCATACAAATTTAGTGTTGCCAAGATCAATTATGAAATCCACAAGTAGCTCATAATCATTGTAGATTCGTTTCAAGAATGTTGTTATTGTTAAATAAGAAACGAAAGATCCATTCATGATCTAGACTGATAAAAAAACTTTGAGTAATTCATGTTTGCTAAATGAACTACAAGTTTGTTTGAGTATATAGCTTTTGCGCATCAATTTTGTCATCATGTACCGCTCCGATTTAAAGTAGATTTTGGTCTGGATCTCTTTTCCCACAAGCGTAATTTGCATTCACGAAAGGATGCAACTCACAATCAACAAAAGACTAGCTTTATCAAGCTTTAGCAACTTAACCTGAATACCGTGCACACAACTTTGATAGATGCATCTTTTCTCTAAGATATCCGAGTTAGTTAAAATCTGATACTTTGAACTTAAAAATTAAAGATTAGCTCTTGCATCTTCAATTTTAGAAATATTCCAAGTCTAGCCTCAGAGTTTGTAGATTCGGAATCCTCAAATCAACCTACCTCTAGTTCTCGATTTTTCAAATCGCATGAGGCTGATCCACAATTTCAGTTTCAAAATAAGCTCTTATACTTCCAAGGATTATTTTATGTACATGAAGGTCCATGCCAACTTCAAGTGCTTTAATTTGGACATGGCTCTCCATCTGTAAGACACATTTTGGTTACAACATAACTCTGGAGCTGATATCCAAGTACTTTTAATGATTGTAAATATGAAAAACCATGAAAGATTATTTCACAACATGTGAGAACTATTCCAGATACAATATCCATTCTTATTGGTAAAACAAGTTCCTTCAATCATTTCTGATTCCAAAAGCTCCATTTACATCCATATCTATTGATTTCATTGTGTATACTTCAAGATCCAAATCATTTGATTCAATTTTTGTTGCGATGAACCACTTGACAAAGATGTCACACTTTGTGACTTGCAACAAGACTATCAAAGGTAAAAAAACGGCCCGAATTTTCTTGGAGAATGTGTAGAAATATCATGAAATTTTCAATGATATGAGAGATGATGTCATATTCTGTTCACGTTAAAATTTTGACGATAAACAAAGATAACTCTATCATCCGCGTATCATCCTTAGACGTATAAACAAACCGAACAAGTGAATTAAATATTGGAGCAGTATTTATGCTACTTCATCAACTATCATCAAGAAAATTGGATGTGATTATTTCCAGTAGTAGAGGTTGCCTACAACAATACATTTTAAATGGTCTACGAGTGAGATGGAACACTCCTCCAACTTTCGGGCAAGCTTCACAGTACGAGGCGACACTAGAGTCTGCTAACCTTTGCGGCGATCTGATGGACAGTCTGTGATGTGTGCACCTTCGGCTAGATAAGGAGATGGCATTGATTATGCATAGTTAACCCAACATTGCGTATGCCTCCTATTGGACCAACGACGGAAGAAAGGCTAACAGTGCATAAGCGAAAACCTCATCAGAAATAACTGCAATCGAAAGCAGTCTTTCTGTTTTGTAAGTATCACATTGCTTGGAGATTTCGGACATTCTCCGTTGTGTGCCTCACAAGCATGTCCTATAAAGTAAGAAGGCTGAGACACGTAGTAAAAGATTTCCCAATTACACTGAAGAGTACTGACATGAACTCTCGGAAGTATTGATAATGGACTAAACTTCCAATGGACCACCTTCCAATGTGTGTTGCATCAGCTAGTATCGGAGGGTAACTATTGTTAATGTACTAAAACAAATTTCTCATGGAAAATTGACAAATTGCTCTTAAAGATGACTTTGATGTCTCATCTCTTCTTGACTCATTTTACGAAATACGAAACTCAGAAATTTGAGTTCCGTAAAACAGAGGTCCAGGTTTCACATAGAATTTGATGTGATGTAAAAATGCTTAAGGGTTTTCAGAGCGTAGACCATGCTATCTAGCTGTGTTCTAGGCCTCAGCGTTGTGAACCTTACGGACTTCAAAAGTTTCATTCACATACCTTGATCTCTGTTTTCTTACTATCCCGCCTAACAGGCCTAGGTGAACACAGGGCATATACAGTTGAAACGTACATTTTGTCAACAGGACTTTCTCATCACTTGGATAGTTCGGTTGCTTCAATATGTAAATGACATACATCTTCTCAGAACCAGTACATCACGATTTGTCAGCAAACAATATCCCAACGTCACTTGAAAAGATTTTATTATATGTGCTCTATGTGATCACTTCTACTTGTACACACAAATCCCTTAACAAGCAATGTACCTGCCAGTTTTCGCGGTACAAAACATAATTGGACAGTTCACCTCCGGAATGAGACCGTAGCATTCGCACGGTTGATTTCCCTGGCTAAGAGATTCATCCCTCCCCTCCCTGTTCAACATCTTCGACGTTGAATTGCTTACACAAAACACCATGACAGTTTTCCAATGGCAACAATTAATCAAGGATGCCTGATGCATCCTCTATACTATCCCGCCTTATATAAACTCTTCAACAGATTACCTCTGGAGCATCTACACATGATTCGCACTTCGAAAGCACAATCAACAAAGTGGTGCTCCTGATCTGGCCTATAAGTACAAATTCGGCATGGATATTGGCCGTTACCTCTCAACTCTTTCATTACGCTTCCTCTTCTCTGATTCAAGTTCCTGATCGAAATTCTGAAGTTGTTTCAAGAAACCGGGATTCGGTTGAGCCTCCTTCCTTCTACTAGTGATATGAGCAAGCGCTTGGGAAAGGCGGATTCCATACGTTCTCATCATGTATGCCGTTGCAATAGTCACACTTCGAGATCTGCCGGCAAAACAATGCACCAACACTCCACCTCCACTCATTCTAGCCTCGTCAATGAACGAGAAGCACTCAGTGAAATGTTGAGCCAAATCAACGTCAGCGCTGTCTAGAACTTCGATCCGAAGATACTTGAAACATTCGGGAAATGGCATATCTACGCCACCAGCTACTGCAAGAATGTGAGTAATGTTCAAATTCTGGAGCAATCCCTTATTGAAAGCCGCCCCGATCGAACCCAAATAAAGTCCCTTCTCTAACTCACAGGGTACGCTATCATTTCTCAAGTACTTGGCCAACAGGAACGCGCGAAGAATCTTGGCCATCTTCTGCTTGTCAAATGTCTCCATAGCTATCACCCTGTCATTGCGATTCAAGGACCTCTCCACAGACACTTCCAAATTGGACGGACCGATATCTCGCTCCGTAGCTCCAGCGGGAGGAACCGGCGGACTAGCCACTTCCCGGTGCAAACTCATGATCCTTTTGAACAACGGCGTATGTGATTTGAACTTCAAGGCAGAGCAACCAGCCCTGCACATTCGACCTCTCCACAGAAACGCCGAGGAATTGATACCCCCCTCCCGCTCGCCCGATCCTCTCCCCACAAAAATTCGCCTCACTCAGTCGAGCGATAACGGCGTTGATTGCAGCTGCCCATCTTCATCAAAGACTGATCAGACAGAGTGTAATCAAATCTATACTGCCTCCAAGATCCGATCGACAATTGCATGTTGTTAAACTCGACCAGGGTGTCAGGAGTTTCATGTTTGCCCTGAACGAAGCCAGCCGTCTGACGAGAGAATTCTCTCACCCGGTGCCGCACGGCAGTACAGAGGACGATGCTGCATGCGTACGAGGAAACAAATGCCGATCGGTGAAGAGGTGAACGAACGAAAATGACCAGAAGAAAAGCAGATTAGGGATGTGATCGTTCCGTCATATACACACACACAAGTACTAAAACTGCGGTCAGCTTTGACTAAACCGCATTTCCACCGAGAAAAGACCACCCTCCTCGTCAGCCTCCGTTTGAAGAACGCTGCTCACATGCTCCGGGGCCCTGTCATCGGCAGCCCATTCTCCTGCCAGGAGAACATGGGCGCCCCGACAGCGAACCTGCTATTGCAGGTGACCCGGGCGGCGAACCGGTACCCTCCCTCGAATTTGGATAGTTTGGATCCTGCTGTGCGTAACACGCGGCAGGCGAGGGGCTGATGTGGCATCGAAGCATTTCATGCTGCGAATGCTGGTAGACGGTAGGCTTTGCGAGTACGTTCATGTGAATGCATTAAATAATTTTGAAACTTTTACGGTCTAACTTTAGACGACTGCCGCCAAATTATACCAAAACAGGATGCGAAGGGTGGCATTTCTTCCATGGTTGATTTCAAATGAAGATATCATGTTTATGGCACTTTATTTACCACGCACAGGCATCCAAATTTAGTGTGTAGACACTCGAGTGCAATCAGTATGAACAAAAGCTTTAAATAGAAAATAGAATTTGTGATTTTAATGGCATTTTACACAAAGTGCTGCAGTAACCATACGGCATACAGATGTAACTTTTTATACAAACATCATAATACATAAGTTGTCAAAATTCGACTCAAATGTAGTATATTATATGATATTATCATTTATCACTGACTAAAATTATTTTGAGCTAAACAAATTGTAGATTTAACATTACATAAAATAGTCATATTTATGACACGATAAACAAGATGGGTATTTCTATCTTAAAAACTTGTTACTTGAATCGTTAACGTCACATCTAATGTAAACATTTGATAAAATAATTTCTGTTTGGAAATTATGAAATTACTAACGTATAAATTGTAAATCTTTGCATTTTGATCTTGACATCTATCACCAATAACTAGATTATTATCTAGAATTTTAATAAAAAATTTGATCACATTTAGTGAATTTGATTGGGATTCGATCATTTGTTAGCTAGTGTTATAAATAACACTGAAAGAAGATTTTGTGAAGCAAATTTAGATTTTCAATAATATTATTGTTTGTTTCATACACAAAACCTCACTTGGATGAGGTACATATGAATTGTGTCCACTACATTGAAAAATGATAATCACTGTGAATACAAATCAAACCTAACATCACCAATATATTCAAACTGTCCAAGTTTTCATATGAGTCTCAATTTGAACCCAAAAGTATACAATCATCATCCAAAATGATTTCGTTTTATCAAATTTTTGTATTTAGTGAAACTTTGAAAAATATGTTGGACTTTTTAAGTATATTTTTCATTAGTATTGCAAAATCAAAAATTCATATGAATAGGTGAATATTTCATTAGAAAAAAATATATCTTAAAAAATACATTGTAATCTATCAAAAAGCTGTTATTTATTAATAACTAATAAAATAATATTTTAGTAAAACAAAAATTTACAATATGAATAACCATGTCATACAAATAATGATGGCAAATAAATGTTGTTTTAATGTGTCATAAATTCTGGTATACACTAAATGTGACATCATCTTATAGCCAATTGTTCATAAATATACTATTAAGTGAATGAGTTGAATAAAATTAATAACTACATAAATATATCATCTATGCGCATTTTTTAAAATGTAAAATGAAATTTTAATTTTATTTATGGACATTTTTATTCTTATAATGAATTATAAATATTTTTAAATATAAAAAATGAAAAAGGATAAAAGTATATTAGGATTGATTTGAATTGATATTTTTAAAAATATCAAAACTAATTAATAATTCTATGTAATGGAATTTACTATTAAAAAAACTTGATATTCAATCCATAAAAAATCACATACAATTAAAAATAACGTCTTATTTAAAAAACCAATTTAGTAATAAAATGTAAAAAAATTTAATTAAAAATATATCATTGTAATGATTGCTTATAAATTATTATTTTTAAATATGATCAATGTTAAATAACTTAAATACATTCAATAATATGATAATCTAATAATACGTATTATAAAAAATATTTAATCAAATAAAATTATCTAAAAAACAAAAAATTTTGATTTATATTTTGAATTTGAAATTTTCAAGCTTTCCATCTTTTGACTAGCTGAAGATACTCTAACTTTATGTTTGCAATCTTCTTGCTTCTTAGCTTTTTACTTAACTTGATGTCCATCATCTTCTTATATCATCTCCGTCCTCTTCTTTAGACATGACTCAGGTTTGTTTTTCTATGCAGAAGCTATCAAACTTCCCATCTTTTGACTAGTTAGAACTACTGTAGCTTTCTTTTCCCGATATTCTTGCTTCTTAGTTTTCTCCATAACTTTGTCCCCATTATCTTCAAACTCGTTACTTTTAGACAAGTACAGAAGCGTTGTGACCTGATTTCCTACCTTAGGTTTGACTTGCGATCGACTTGACATAATATTTACAACATCTGAACTAGAGGCAATTCTCAGTTTGGATCTCGCTCTCACATTGGTTCCACCTTTTCACGAGCTAAAGCAACATCTAGCATATATTCATCCAAAAAATAATTAGACGACGTCAAAGTCTAAGTAATTTGATTTCAAGCAATCTCTTCTCCCTCACTTCTTGGCTCCCGGCCTCCTTTGCTCCCAATAATTCTATACCTCTTCTTGATATATTTTTCCCTCTTTGGCCTTATTCATCGACAGTGACATTCAAAATTAGATTCTCCACACACAAAAATCAAAGGAGCAAGTATTTCTTGACAAAAAGTCTCACCAATTAAGTCAAGATTGACCACTTAAGAACCTCCACCATCATCAAGATTCTAAGTTAATTTTAATCCATCCTAAGAATGACTGTTTTTATCTTTTCCAACATTCATTATAACAATTGAATCTAATTTAAAAATTTTTATAATAATAAACACATATGTTAGCAAAAATGCATACTTTCAATTTTTTGGATATTTTTTATATAATGACATACCAAATATGTCATTAACTAAGGTTAAATAAATTAGAAAAAAAATCAAGATATGGATTAATTCATGACAATTTTTCTTAATGTACGTCTTGAAAATATCATATCTTGTACATATTTGTATAATTATTTTGCAAAAATTTATAAATAAAAAATCTAAGATATACACTGTCATAAATCAAAAGTTAATTAAACCCAAGCTGTAGACAAACCATGATAGGGTTAATCATATATAGATATAATAAATTTGTTAATATACTTTAGTTATGCTTCTTATGCAAAATTTGCAAAGTAATACAATGTTTTCTAAAATTTTGTCAATGTATGTTTTTATCAAAGTATCTATTAAATTGAATTTATCATTAATCTTATCCAGTTAATTTTTTTTTTATCATAACTTGTATATTTGATAAAATGATATTTTATGTTTTCAAATTTCATTTTGTTATTTATCATGTCATTTGCTGCAAGTTGTAATCCATTATGACTATCATAATATGGATTGATAACATCTTGAATCAATTTCATCTTAGTGACAAGTCTCTTGAGTTAATTAGCCTTCTTGTTAGACATATTGGTCACATGTATTTGACTTACCTTGTTGAATAAGTTAGACAATTTTGTGAAATAAGTCTTCAACTGCTGTATCACCGTAAACACATATTAAGTTGTAGATTTTTTTTTCTTGATCTTTTTTATAGTAGACATCAATAAATATACAAAAAAATTTGAAATTCTCTCATCAATAAATTATCAAACAAAAATTCAATATCTTTTGGTTTTTCAAAATACTTGAAATACATTTTTCAATTCTTCAATGTATTGTTACTCAATTTGACTTTTTTTTTCATCATGCTCATAGCTAATGCAGGTCTATATGCAAACATTCAAATACATGAGGCTACACAGTGACTTATCATAAATAATCAATAAACTCTTTATATAACCAATAGCATTAGTTGAACATTGATAAAAAAAAAAAACTTGAATTGTGCTACCAAAGATATTTAAACTTCTTGAGAATATGTCATGTTAAATTTGTTAGACACACGTTGAATTTACTTGTCTTGATTTATTTATAGTGATTTTCTTTTCAAAATTTGTAGCAAACTTCAATATCAATATACTATTGAACTTATTCAAATTTTTCATCTTGATAGAAATTTCAAGTAATCATTGCATTTGCAGTCCTTGACTTATTTATAGTGTTTTCTTCTTCAAAATTGTAGCAAACTTTTATCTTAATAAACTTTTGAATCTATTCGATTTTTTATTTTGACTACAAATTTCAATAGATCATTGCATCTGATGACCTCAATCTTCATACTTTGACAAAATGAGCATCTCATCTACATAACATGCTAAATTAAAAGAGCTTATTATTAATCATACAAATTTTCAAATATTATTTTTCTTTTTCAGAATTTTGTTTCATATCCTATGATAATTTTTATGACAAAATAAGTTTCTTTATATTTATTTTTAAAAATCAATTGATCGTTTTATGTAAATTATTTATTTTTTCCCAAAATTACATAAAAATATTTTGATTAAATTCATTTTATTCAACATTATTTTTAGATATTATATCAAATGCGCATATCAGACAAAGTGTAGCATATTTAGCTATGAATAAAATTATTGTAATCTATAACTTTCTTTGGTTTGAAAGTCTAGCCATCAACTTGGTTTTGACATTGTCATCTTTTGAAATTTCGTTCTGCTTGTACATTCATATTGGCCAAAGATTTATTTTTGCAACTGCAGTAGCTTTCATGTTTTACTATCAGTCAACAATTGCATCTCGTACTACATAGAATTATTTTATCCACTCTAAATGAAGGCAAGTTTTCCGTAACACATTGACATCATGTTCGATTTTGATATCATGATCTTCAAAAACTAATAAATCTATTCATATTTCATATAATATCTATCATTCCAATTTGACGATTTCCTAAAACACAAATTTGATTATACTCTATTGTTTGCTGTAATATTTTAAGACTCAAGAAATAACTACTTGCTACTCCAATCTTTACTTTTTAAGAATCTACTTCATCTTTATGAGAGCTTTTTATTGTGTCATGTTATTTAATACACAGTGATTAATTTTTTTTTAACATCATTCATGAGTAAAATTTTGTCAATGTGAGATCAATAAATTTAAAAAAATACTAATCTTTCAATAAGATGAAAAAATCAAAAGAACTATTCATAGTAAAAAACCCTTAGCTAAAAAAGCTCACTCATTAAAAATTTTCACATCACTAAACCAAATTTTTTTGTATATAAAAAATAAAATGATCCTATTTTTATCATATATGAGAGAAAAATTTATTCAATGAAATGATTACAAATGATGTTGATTAGCTATATGTTTATGACTCAATTTAAATAAACTCAAAATTTTGTTTACACTAGAAGGAAAATACTTAACAAATTGATTTTGATATTGATTACTTTAGTTCAAAATCTGTATGATAAATCTAATTAGCTTAACAAGTTACACATCATCTTTAAGATTTTGTGATTAAAAATTTTTAAATTTATAATTTTATTGCATAGTGTAGATCGTAATGAATTAAAATATAATATATAATCCTTACAATAACTCTTAAATCTTTGAATTTTTTTTCTCTTTATAGATTTCAGTATATAGATATGTCGGTTTGTAACCCATTTCTTTCTCAATTTAGACTTTTTAGCTTTTAGAAGTTGTAAATATCCAAAAAAATATTATAAATTATATATATATATAAATTATATAAATTATATAAATATATATATATATATAATATGCATTGTATAACTCTTGGAAGAGTAAGATTTTCAAGAAAAGTACTCAAACGTTTTTATTTACATATTTAAATAAATCTTTGAAAAAATGAGTTCCAACATCAATTTTATATTTTATGATGATTGCTCATAAAACAATGTTTTTAAGCTTAAAATTAGCTACATCTATATCAAGTAACAATTTTCTATTGCCAACAATGTTATATACATATTAATCATGTATTGTGATTCAGAATGTCATACACAACAAAATTGAAATTATTCAATGAACTTTCAATAGATTTATTTCAAAATCGATAGATTCAAATAAATCAACATGAGTTTCTACTAGCTTATATAGATTTGTTATATTTGTGTACTCTCAACATAATTTTAACAACTATTTTCATCTCAAACATTTTCTTTTTGGACCTCTTATCGAAGCCTTTTGAATCAAAAGAGAATTTTTTCATATGGTGTATAAATGTTACGCGAATTGATTAATCCTTAATTTATTAAAATATTTATATTTTAGCAGATCACATATATTCAATTTTATAAAATAAAGATTGAATTGTTTGATATTGAAAAAATTCTATAATGTAACATATGTAATACGAACAAGCAAACATCATCAACACTCTTTGATCAATAGTCTAGAATATACCTCTGTCTTCATAATCTATTCTCAAGAAAGTTATTTTACCTAAATCGAATCCTTGAGCCAAATTGACTAAAGTAGTATCATTCGCTTTGATTCTTCACAAAAAAAATAAAAAAAAATAAAATTTTAATATGATAATATACTTGGTGAAAAAATAAATTTTTATGCTCTTATTTCTCTTTTTTTTCTTCATTCTAATCTTATCTTGTTTTAACAAAAATTACAGCACAACAACTTTTTATCATAAATTAATCGATTGAGAGCATAGATTCTAGGAGAAAATGTCAACATCATAAATTGTTCCATCAGCTGTCAAGAAGATGAAGATATGAATTTTTTTGTCGAGAAACAATCATTCATACCCAAGAATTTCTTGTCATTTGATCTGCTTCAAAGTTCAATCACTGCTAGAATCAATCCTATCATTCACACAATGCAGCTTGCCAAGAGCCAAGGCCTATAATCTATGTGTAGCCGTATGATGTAGAATTTTTATATAACTTACTTGATATTCAAACTGAATTTCTAATAATATGTTTGATACTCTATACTATTGAGTGATGTGTATTTATATAATTTTTTCTTTCACACAAAATGTTTTCCTGAAGTAATTCGTCACCAGCACCAGGGTCCACATTCGTCATTTGAAAATGTCCTGCACCCAGTCCAGGAGGTAGCATGATCTCAGAGATGAGCATTGGAAGGTCGTGTGGGAGCATTCTTTACCAGAGATGCAGGCACAATGAAAAGAGCTGGGATTTTTGGACACTGCGCATGCACATTGCTGAAAGATTCTGACGACTTTGATTGAATCATAGTTGCAGGGCAAAGGTGCAAAGGGATTGTTTGGCTCCCGTCAGGACTAGAGTAACAAAAGGCAAAGGGTTTGATTGCAAGCGGTGTAAAAGTGGTGGTAGATACATAAAGTTTGAGAGTAAGGGACCACAAAGCTGGTACTGTATTGCGTGATGACTAGAAACCCTTGCATCAGTAGAAGGAGTCTGAGGGTCTTTCGTCAGTTCATCCCGGCTTTGCATTTTGTAAATCGTTGGGATATCTTTTTGTTGAGGTTGGGAAAGGAAAACATGATGGTGAGTTAGTTACATACTGATTATTCGCTCTCGGTCATCAATGATGGCTCAACTTCTACATGAGAGACTGATGTACCTCAAGTATTACAGTCCAAACAATTTTTAAACTAACTACAAGTGCCTGAAGTACTATAGAGTCACCCAGGTCATTTCCATAGTGCATGAAACATACGTAGTAATTTAATGTACATCAAATTACTTGTGAATTCTGAGCTGTACATCACATTTTGTTTATTGGAAACGACAGAGGTTTATATAACAATATGCTATATATATGCCTACCAGACAAAACATGCCTCTCGTTATTTTTATGACAGAAATGTTCTGAACTATTGTGGAAGCATAACATATTCAAATCAAAGAGTATCATTGAGAATTATCTTCAAATATAGTACACGTGAGAAGTGCAAAGATAACAAAAATCTAAACTTGTGAAACAGAAGATAGAGTTACGGAATCAACAAAGGGAACATGTCACTGTTGTAACATAGATGAAAACTTGCATAATATTCTCTCAAGCTTTCAAACTCTTATCGACTTCTTCGTTATGGTGATAGTATCCTACTACTACTCCTATTCTAAGACACAGCTGTGAAGTTCCTTGCATGGCTTTGATGGGGTCTTCCACTTGGCAGAGTTCCAGACTGTCATCAATGGCTTCTTTGTATGCCCAAACCATGATTGCTCAAAAGTTTAAACAAAAGTCGGATTTCGAGCTTGGATCCTCACGAGTCGAATGAATGTTACGAAAGTGTCTTTATCTTTGGAGTAGATTAGTGGATACTTTGTTGACCATGTTGAGTACTTTGTGACAGTTCCAGCAGGCTTGAGCATGCGCTGTGATGGCAACGTGCAAACAAAGCCAACAGGTTCCCTCTATGATGGAAGCTGGAGTCACTTCGTCTGAAAGTTCGGGCGCCATTTTGCATCGGATAATTACTGGCTCGGGCAGGTTACCTGCAAAAATTTAACCTACACCAGGAAGACATCGTCTGGGTTTCATATCATTCACAGGAGAAAGGAAACATATTCGAGGTTTTATGTATCACCTCTTTCATACTTCTCCGGGTTCTCTTCGTTCGTGCCTTGGGTTGCATCTTCGGCAGCCGATTTGTTTCATTCGTTGACATACGGTGGATGGAACCTGCAAAGTGTGATGGAGAATACTGATCAAATTCCGCGTATACGTGAGACGAAAGAATTTGTATTCGTATAATTTAAAAGAAGACAACAAGTCCCAGTACAAGACCCCGTAACATTTCCGTAGACTCGCAGTTAGACCACACTCCTGAGGCATCTCGTGTTCCTCTGGTCGGTTTCTTTCTCTCGCTCAAAACTCGTGAGTAGAACGAATTTGGGCAAGACGGTGAAATAAGTTCAGGGTTATGTGAAATGGATATATATATATATATATATATATCCATTTTGGGTGGACGAGCCTGAAACATAACGAAGAGCATATGTGTAGAGCTGATGATGAGATCACGTAGTTCCTCGTATGAAGTTCCACCTTTCCCTCAAATGTCAATCTACAATAGTACGCACGATACGTACACTCCATTTGCACCGTCGATGGCCAGCCTACCCGCCATACGCGCACATCATCTACCGGACCTGACCGTACAAAGCAGAGAAGCGCCAATGACGTGGGTAAGCAGCAGCTCCACGTGAGATACGGGAACGTCCAGGTCACACCGGCCGCGGAACAGATCACCTCGTCTTCTTCCCACCGGATATCTAAGGTGCGATACGTACGTTGCCAGATGCTAAACCAGGTTACAAGCTGGGTTTCTTCCCGGTAAGCGCCATGGAGTCTTCCCATCTGTTCGCTAGAGTACTCGGGCCGCTTTCTGTCCACCGGGAGCGCAAGCCAACTCCGCTCCGCGTGAGGAAACCTGGCGCCGTGCTGTGCTCACGGCAGAAGCTCGACTGAGCTGAGCTTCGCGGCGTCAGCGCTGCCCGTCCAGCCAGGACCGACGGACGCGTGAGCTGGCCGGGGCCGCGGAGATTCCCACCACCGTCCCGAGGCCCTCTTCTGCTGCTGAGCCCTGCGTCCACGAGGACTGACAAACTGACACCGGCTGGGGCGCGGGCCTACGTGCCGGCAGTCGGGCCGCGCTCGAGGAAACGAGTCCGCGCGAGGCAGAACAAGTTCGCGGAGCGCATCCGAGCGATCCAATTGTTCGAGCGGCGCAGGAGCGGAAGGAGGGATCGCGAGGGGCGCTGTGATGGAGCAGGGGCTGGAGTGCCGAGGGTGGTGGCAGAGGTTGGAATTTGTTGCGGCCGTGGCGAGCTTGGCCGTGGCCTCGGTCTTGCTGTGGAGACTGAAATCCGGTGACACTTCGCGGAGGAAGCTGAGCGCGAAGGTGGTGGATGCGAGGCTCGAGGTGCCCACGGGCGACGAGCCTCGGGTCGATGCCATCATTGTGGGAGCGGGAGTGGCCGGGGCGGCCTTAGCGTACACTCTGGGTAAGGATGGGAGGAGAGTGCTGGTTTTGGAACGGGATTTGAACGAGCCGGATCGGATTGTGGGCGAGCTGCTGCAACCGGGAGGGTATTTGAAGCTGGTGAGTCTAGGTCTGGCCGATTGTGTCGATGGGATCGACGCGCAAAAGGTTTTCGGGTATGCGCTCTTCAAGGATGGGCGATCGGCCAAGGTGGGGTATCCGCTGGAAGGATTTTCGGATGATGTTGCCGGGCGCAGTTTTCACAACGGACGCTTTATTCAGAAATTGCGCGAGAAGGCCGCCTCGCTCGCCACTGTCACGCTGAAGCAGGCAACTGTTCTTGGCTTGATCGAAGAGAATGGAACGGTCACTGGAGTGCGCTTCAAGGGTCCCGACGGGAGCCAGATTCAGGTCCATGCACCTCTGACCTTCGTCTGCGACGGATGTTTCTCGAATTTGAGGCGAAACCTTTGCGATCCTCAGGTCGAGGTTCCATCGTGCTTCGTGGGCTTGGTGCTTGAAGATTGCGTGCTGCCTCACACGAGTCACGGGCATGTGGTGCTCGCGGATCCATCCCCTATCTTGTTCTACCCCATTAGTAGCACGGAGGTACGGTGTCTAGTTGATTTCCCGGGCCAAAAGGTTCCCACCATTGCAAATGGCGATATGGCCAAATATCTCCTCACGCACGTCGCACCTCAGTTACCCGCGCAACTCAAGCAGCCTTTCATCAATGCTGTGGAAAAGGGTAATATCCGATCTATGCCGAACAAGAGTATGCCCGCTCACCCGCGACCAACTCCTGGAGCATTACTTATGGGAGACGCGTTCAACATGCGACATCCCCTCACCGGAGGCGGTATGACCGTCGCGCTGTCGGATATCCTAGTGTTGCAGGAAATGCTGAAGCCTCTGCATGACTTCCAAGATCCCTCGGCCCTGTGCGATTACCTGCAAGCGTTTTACACCCGTCGTAAGCCAGTTGCGTCGACTATCAATACCCTGGCCGGGGCTCTGTACAGAGTGTTTTGCGCTTCACCGGATGAGGCCATGAAGGAAATGAGGCAGGCATGCTTCGATTATTTGAGCCTGGGAGGGGTTTTCTCCTCTGGCCCGGTGGCTCTTCTATCGGGACTCAACCCCCGGCCCTTGAGTTTGGTCACGCACTTCTTCGCGGTCGCCCTCTACGGTGTCGGCCGACTGATGCTTCCATTTCCTTCGATCAAAAGTATGTGGATTTCGGCGCGGCTAATTCAGGGAGCGTCGATGATCATCTTTCCAATCATCAAAGCCGAGGGAGTTTTGCAAATGTTTTTCCCCAGAATGGTTCCTACTTATCACAGATCACCTCCCAAAGAATAGTGCTGGCGGTACTTAGTGGGGAGCAAGAACGTGTAATTCTTTTTTTTTGGTAGTTTCGGCAGTGGTTCACGTGGAAGAATACGCATACGAGTGCAGGAAATTATGTTAGTCATCAGTTCCGCAGGGTGGACATGTAACTGTAAAGTTGCCTGGTAGAGAGTTATTAATCTGTCAAAAACTTTAAGCACATTCTCCTGGAGGCTTTTCCCACGTTTCAGGGAGCTACGCGCGGTGGAACAAAAGCACCCTTTAGTACTTCCCATCGACTAGTCCACGAGAACGGCAGATCGGGATTGCCGTGGTTTGACTTGTGGACAACATTGCCGTGGTTGGACTCGGGACTACACGAAATTCGGCAGAGATGTCATAGTTCAATGTCGAGGAGGTTTCTCGCCTGTTGATCACGCTTAAGAAGTCACGGAAGAGGTGACACATAAGCCTTTACACTGAAATGCTATGATGTCGTATGATGTAGGAGCTAACTGTGTGTTCACATCGATGTTTCTTGGTGATCCGTCTGGATTGGATTTCTGCTCAAGTGTGAAGGCCTTTCCATGTGTAATTTTGTCGATTTGTATCAGTGAAGCGGAAGACTTGTCGAGAAGCAGGTTTTTTTCTGATACTAAAGCGAAAGCTTTATGCTCTGTACATGTTTCGATATTGTGGACTGAAATCAACCTATCCACTTTCCTCTGAATGAATTTGTCGATTGTCATAAACACGAGCTCGTCAGAGGATTCTTATTCGTTTTGTTTCCATCCGCTCAACTTCTTGATCTTGCCGAAAGTTTTGTCGTAAGATCTTTTTCTTTCCTTGGTCCCGCGCGATCAGAAAGTACCGTGATAGTGGGTGCCGCAAGTGAAGAGCTATCGAAATCGGGGAGATTATCTTTGGACGAATATGGTAGTGGGAAGAACTTGTGTTCTGATGGTGAAAGATTGGTGATTATGTTCAGCATAGCAACTGAGTAGTATGATCTGAAGTTCTCGCAGATGTCCCAACCTCCATCAGTCTAGCCGAAGTTTGCATAGCACTACAGTTTCATAACAAGAGAGATGGTTTTGCAGAGTTCACTTCTCTCAGCGGTTTGAAACGTGTCAAAGAAGCCGATTCTCACATGTGAAGCTTTCTCCGAGTAGTGTTCCGTTCTCAGAAAGACTGCCCTTACCTGACGATCCACTGTTGTAGTAAAGGCCTTCAAAGTTTACATTTAAAATATCTAACTGATCAATTTCTTGTTCTCGACGCTTCTTTAATTGAAAATCGGACAACGAGAGCATGGTAAATACTCAAATGGCTGCTAATTTACGCTGGTGATATTGACCTGGACTAGTAGATGCAAACCCTTTACCTTAGACTTTGTTCGCACTAACACCGTTGGTTAAACTCTTGCCGAAAGTGTGTCTCGTACGGACGAATACATCCAGTTCTAAGGAAACAACAATGGAATCCTTGGTCTCTCAATCCAAGTTAGGCAGGTACGATCACACTAGCAATACATGCAACGTTTTTTCATTGGCATATGCAGCACACACTTCGGACTTCGAGACAGCATTTCATGCATGACCTGGTCAGGGTTTCTTTTGGACTGACACATACGAGGTTCTCTAATAATACGTCTGCATGCACTCTCGTGCAGCCACCCTAGTGGACGTTTGTATGATCTTATTGCAGATCCTCTCGTACTTTGAACTGGCCTCTTTCTGTATGATGTCCACTGTCGACAGAGGTCACATGGGATGTAAGTTCGCTTCAGGCCAACTGTACATTACTGATCAGGTGCCACCAACCTAATTATCCCTTGACCACTAACGTTCTAAAGTGTTCTTCACAACTGAGAGTTTAGCCTAACAATACCTCAAAAATCTATCTATGTATATAAAGTATACGGGATGCACTTGACTTTCTCTAATGCTGCACCTAGGGACTCTATAAGGAACACCTTCTAATCAACTACTTTGTTGCAGGTTTGGCAGTTTTTCATATTTGGAGGAACTCTATAAGTGCAATTGGCCTTCAAATTTCATTTAGACTTCTGACAGTTCCGTACTTGGGTAGAATTAAATAGTTCTGATAGGAACAACTTCAAAATTAGTCACATCGCGTTCTTGCAACTTGTTCAATGTTATTTGAACATGTATAATACATATTTTTCATGTCAGGTGGAAACCTAACATGGAGTAGCACATGTCTCACTCTATCAGATACTATAATCTTCACAGATCTTATAAAACTTATATCTATTATCTTGAAGATTGAATTATTTCATATTTAGAGTATAGGTATAATACAGCAGAATTGACCAAAAGAAAATTATTATGAAAAATGTGCGTTCAAACAAATCGTATTCCTCATCAAGCTTTGAATACACACTGAGTGATAAAATAGTCATTAGTTTTGATTATCATATGAATATATTTCTTAAAATAGAGTATTTAAACACATTATTCTACATATTATCATCTTTTTATTTAGATTTTCTTACTTTAGATCCAAACTTCATTTCAATTTAATAATTTAGGGGAAATGAGATAAGTTATCATCGAAACTTATTCACTTTTATCAAAAGTATTCATTATATACGATTTAATACATTTTACTTCGAATGGAAGAATATTAAAAATGAAGCAATGACTACCCGCCCACCGTTCAGATGCGACAGGTCTGACCTGGAGAAAGCTTGTCAAGGAAGTTGTACACATTGTAAAGGAGGGTGCACAGCTCAACTACAACATTTTACAGCTCACTAGTAGCTTGTTCACTCGGAGTAGTATAGGTAAATTTTGCTCCAGTGAGGAAGATGTGGATCGATTTCGCAATTTCCTGTGAGTCGATCCACATCTTCCTCGCTGGAGCAAGATGTGGACCGATTTACTGGAAATTGCTCGACAATCATTGCTTTCACAATTACCACAATTCACTTCCACCCAGTTTCCCACGAGCTAGATTATGTCACTTTTGCGTTAGTGCACTTTTCAGTCGAACACAATTTTTGAGCGTATGCCACAATCAGACTGGTAGTTATAAATTGAGTTACAATAAGTTAATTGCAATGTTCTTTCTTTCTTATGAAATTTTTTGACCGGATTTGCCAGGGGCACAACTCACTGCTCGATGGTATCACATCAGTAAATGTTGTTTTATTGTATTTGTACCCATTAAAATACTACTCCCTGCTCTCCAACAGATTCTTTACGCTGGATGGTCTTTACTAACTCAAAGTATATAACTATGTAATATACATTCTTGCTACCACATATGACACACCAGCGACTGTCCACGCCAAAGACATCTCATTGGAACTCATCCCAACATCATTCATAATGCAATGCCCGTCGCATCTGCTGTCCGCCCTCGGTCGCACTCTTGATGGCGAAGAGAATTGCAAAGCCTTGCGTGCCATGGCCTCGGGAAAAAGCCCCGGCCCGGATGGGGTTTTTACTAAGTTCTAGGTCAAATTCTGGAGTCTAATTGGAGCAGACTTTACCGAAATGATCCGGGAGGCCATCGTACAGGGATCTAATCCTCGAGGGCTGAATCACGGCGTTATCATCCTGCTTCCTAAGGATGGCGACCTCGAACTTGTTACTCATTGGAGCCCAATCACTCTTCTTAACACGTCCTATATGATCATGACAAAGGTCGTGCAAATGCGACTACAAAAATTGTTGCAGGATGTTATTCACCCCAGCCAGTCCGCTTTCTTGCCATCGCGTCACATCTTGGATTTTATCATGATCCAACACGAGACTATTGCGTGGGCTAGGGAGACTAACTAACCACTTCTGACGCTGAAGTTGGATTTTCAAAAAGCTTATGATTTAGTTCGGTTGTCTTTCCTCTTTCGAGTGATGGACAAAATGGGTCTCCCGCCTGCCTTCACGTCGATAGTACGCATGCTCTTGACTGGCGCTTCGGCGTGCGTCTCCCTCAACGGTCTTCATACTGCCGACTTCCCCATATGCCGGGAGATTCGCCAAGGCTGCCCCTGGCACCTTATCTTTTCTTGCTGGTGGCAAAGGCCTTGGCGACATCATCTCATCAAGCTATGAACCACGACATACTTCGTAGAATCCGTTTGCCGAACGGCACTTCACAACAATTGGTGTCTCAGTTCCCAGACGACGTCACTTTCTCTTTGTACGGCGCGGAGCGATACTTAACTGCCACTTCGACAATGCTTACAACATTTGAGCTTGCTACGGGTCTAACACTAAACAGACAAAAATGCAACATCTTTTGGTTCTCCAAGCATCCTCCTTCAGCATGGATCGGCACCTTCGGCTGTACCTTGGCGCCGCCTGGAATGCTTTCAAAGCTTCTTCGAACTCGTTTTGGGGTGTCGCTACATTCCGTTGACGGTGATCAATTTCTTGCAGCCAAGATAACGACTAAACTCAAGTACTGGTCATCGCTCTATTTGTCGCTGGTCGCACGCGCTATCGTGGTAAATTCCGTGCTTCTCTCTACATTCCGGTTGTTCTTAAGTATTTGGGCAGGTTCTTTCAAGATCTTGCGCTCCATCTTGGGGCACTCCGCAACTATCTGTGGGCAGGTACTGAAGAGCAAGCACAGGCTAGGATACGATGGGAGGATGTGTGCGCATCAAAAAAGATTGGAGTGTTGTGTATTGTTGATACTTTCGACGTCCTAAATGAGCTGATGTGCAAGTGGATTGTCAAGGCGTTGACGTCTGGATACTCCCCGCTACTCATGCTCCTTCACCATTGACTCAAAGGCCTGCGGCCTCCTGGACAACATGGGTGGCCACGGAGTCTCCAATGGGCCCTCCTGTCAAAATTCTCAGCCTCCAACGGCTCACTGTTGTGGACCCAGCTAGTGTGTGCATGGCGCATGTTGTGCCCCCTAGTCACATCCGTTCCACCTATATCATTCGAAGAAGTCCAAAACACTCATCTCTGGTGGAATACCCACTTGAGAGAACCCAATTTTGGGTTCACTAAAGCGCCCGCCTGTCAACTGGCGACTCAAGGGCTTACTTGCCCCCGGGACCTTTGGGTGGAGGAATCGATGGAGCTTCGAACTTGGGACTCCTTGCAGTGAGATTACGGCCTCGACGATACCGAAAGGCGGCGCCTCATTGACTTGGTCCAATCCAACGTTCTCGAGTCCCGGTCAAGGACTCGTGATGGTGATTTGCCGGTACAGGCAATCCAGGCCAAAACCTGGAGAATGGTTCGGCATTTTAGAAGATGTAGTTACCTCCGACCCAATACTCCTCTTTCAGGCGACCAAGGAGTTCCGCCCCGCTCTCACGTGGCAGTACCGGCGCAACTACTAACTTTCCAAGTTACGTCTACCACGCGCTCGCTACATGAACTGTCATCACAGTGCTGAACGCCAAGCTTCTTTTTCGGCTCTGTAGTGCGAGTCCGAGTCTGCTCAACCTAGACCTGGCCACTTAGTCGACTAGTCGACTAGCCCTCGGCCCTGGTCGACTAGTCGACGACTTAGTCGGGTACTACAAGTGCGCCGCGGACTCCATGGCGCACTCAGCCAGTCAGCCTCAGGTCGTGACCACTGAGTGACTGACTGACGTGAAGAAAGTCTGGTAAGGTCTAAAAGACTAGAAGTTTCTCCAATCTGTCATGTCTAAGTCTTACTCCAGTAGTAGCGACACGGAAGACGAAGTCATCGAAATCAGTGATGAATCCCATGATGAGCCTACCTTTGAACGATTCTTCAGGCCGTCCGGCCGCGCATCCGGATCGACGTCTGCAACAGGGTGGCACTCTAAGAAGCGAAAGAAAACCTCATGGGTGTTCGATCACTTCTATGAAGACGATGACATCATTGGGCGCGTAACGTGTGCAGTCGAAGGCTGGGGGCGGTCGTTCTCGAAGGGAACATCGACGACTACGCTCGCTTCGGACCTAACGAGCAAGCATAGGTTAACGAAAGGAGGTGCTGTTCCAGGGCAAGTGGATTAGCTCACATTGAGTAAGAATGGCGGACGTCTCATTGCGCACAACCGACTCGACGACGACAAACGGGCACGGCTGTTCTCGAAGCTGGTCAATTGGATCGTGGACAACAAGCAGCCGATCGCAGTCGTTGAGAACAACTTCTTCAAAGAATTCATGCATGAGTTGAACCCTTTCTTTAATGTACCGAGCCGTATGACTATCGGGCGAGGCGTGGACGATGCATACGAAGAAGCAAAAGCGAAGATTGCGTTGGTGTTGGAGTCAATTCCAGGAGATGTCGCACTCATTTGCGATGGTTGGTCTTCTCGAATCATGAGAGGCTACTTTGTTGTAATGCTGCACTGGGTCGACGAAAACTGGAATTTACATCCTACTGTCATCGAGTTCATTTACTTTCCACCACCGCATAATCAATTGACAACGTCGGAGCTGTTGCTTTCTATCCTGAAAGATCTAAACCTCGCGACTCGCGTCAGAGCCATCACAACAGATAGTGGTGGCGAGATGCCGCCGGCGATGCGCCATGTTGCTGCGAAGTTGAATGAAGAGTTTGATGCCAAGCTAGAGTCGGATTGGCATGTTCGATGTGTTTGTCACATCATCAACAGAGCTGTAAAGGATTGTGAAATAATCGTGAAGCCTGTTGTTGAGAAGATTCGATCTCTTTTGAAGATGATTCGCGTCTCGGCGGTTTTGCGTGTGGCGTTCCGAGAGATCCAGGTGCTGTTGGGCAGGCGGAACATCGTCGATGTATCGAGCCTTGACGTTGAGACCCGGTGGAACTCTATGTTTGAAATGGTTGATAACTGCTTTCTTGTCAAAGATGTCTTTGAGTCAATGTGCAACAAAGAAGAGTTTACTGCAGCGTTGGGCGGTTTGCAATTGAGTCAAATGGATTGGCGAGAAATCAAAGCAGTCGTGGACTTCCTTCGTCCAGCCAGCGAATTGACAACTACTGCCAGCGGTAGTAGCTATGTCACCTTGTCTATTCAGCCTCTTATTTACGAGTCTCTCAAAACGCATTACCTATCGACGATATCCGGCACACTAGAATCTGGATTCACTGTACCGGCTGCGAAGAGAGCTGCAGAAGCTATGCTTTCAAAGTCGGAAAAGTACAAGGAGAACATGAACAGCCCTCTCTGCTTGCTCGCTTCAGGTCTCGACCCATCTGTGCCTGTTCCCGATGAAGACATTCAGGAGCTCAAGTTCCGTATTTGTCAAATTCTTATCGTCACGTATGGATATCAGCAGCAGCAGAATGTTGAGATTCCTCAGCGATTGGGTCTTCTTGCCGCTGCCAAGTTGGCGCGTGCAGTATCTTGTGCTGAACGTGGTCAGATCGACGAGGTGGATGACTTCTTTGAGTTGACGAAGAGAACTGATACTTCTTGTGATAATGTACTGGAATGGTGGTCCGCTTCCAGCAAATGCTTTCCTTTGTTATCGCGACTTGCTCGTGATACATTTATGGTGATGGGCTCCTCAGTCCCTTCAGATTCCGTGTTCTCTGACAGCGGCTCGTTCGTCACTCCTCGGCGCTCGAGTCTGTCCGATGAGAATATTTCCAAGATGATAATGCTTCGATTGTGGAATCGACTTTTGAAAGTTTTGAATAAATGAGTATGACAACGATTTTGAGTTTTTCTGATACTCCCGAATTTAGTCAGAAAATAGTCGACTACTCGACGCCTAGTCGACTAAAAACCCGACTAGTCAACTAGGCCTCTGGAGCAAGTCGACTAGTCGTTAGTCGAGTCGTGCCCAGATCTAGCTCAACGTCCTCAATGGTAGCCACTTACAAGTATCTCGCCTCCATTGCTACGTTAACCTTCGATCCAGGCAGGTGGCGCTGACCCAATGAGCACTGCGTTCCACGCTTATACGGCACACCGCAGAGGCGCTGGTTACACCGACAGGCTCTTACATTCCCAATTCATCAGAAGTGGCATGGCGTTACGCAGTCAAATTTCCAAACTGATTGGATGGCGGTCTGGGACCTCGTATGGAAGCCGCATTGTTCTGGAATTTTTGTCAGAGAGCCATCGCGGTGAACCAATGGCGCCATGTGGCTTTTCAAGGCACAACGCACCAATGTACATGCTGCGCACTGGAGTTCCCCGAATGGATTACTCATGCTTACTTTGATTGCAAGGCTGCTGTGGATGCATGTGCATATGCTAACATCATCATGTGCCACATTGCCAATCTGGGGACTTGACCAACCCCATGGTTAATTCTCATGAGATGAAATTGAGAAAGTTCGAAATTTGTGATGAATTCAAACGTTCACAATTTCATGTCAAAATTGTATCCTGGGTCATAATCATTGTTCCGTTCTGGGAACTTTTAAGTTGTATTTATATTTATCATTCGGTTGATTTATTCCGCTTGTTCTTTTCCTAACCGGCAAAATTTCCATCTTTTAGGGGTTCAATATTGAAAAAGTAATGTGTAGACGACTGTTACGTATGTCGTCATATGACGTCACTGCCTACTAAACTTCACGTCTCTGATGTAGCGCACCTGTGATTTACCTGATGTCCGCATTAATGAAGTACCCACGCGTATACATGCCAGTATACGAGTAATTCCTTCTTCGGTCTCGATAACACTCACAAATATCACTTATACGGTATATGCGATATCGCTACGAATGCACGAATAAGTTGTACGTACTTTCGTAGCGATTAGGCATGTAAATTTTCTGCAAGGAACGATGTTGTGTGTGATATGTTTCGGTGTATTAATCTTCGATGTTTTCTTCTAACTCCAACCTCTTATCTTTCCTGAGCACTGATTGACTATATATATTCTACGTAAGTTTCGCATTTAACGACGTATTTGGAAAACTTATTTTCATCGTACAATTATATACATCTCGCCTACTCAACAACGTGCAATGACAACTTAAAACAGGAAGAATGTCAGAGAACCAGTTTTATCAATCTGTCCACTAGAAGTTTCGCTTCATTCAAACCAGGACACCACATATTCCGAAAAGGAGCAGATGCTTCTGCACATATTGCCTTCCTTTCCTCAGTAAACGTCGTCCTCTGTGTGTAAGAAAAATTCTCGAACTCTCTCCCTCGTCTGGGAGTCTCGAGGGGTTTATGAACGACGGTCAACTGGAGTCTTCGACAGAGTTTTTAATCGACCCCAACTCGTCCAGTGTGATGTCATGTCGAGAGGTAATCTGGCCTAGACTACCTCAGTATGCTCAAAACGCTTAAGAGTAAAGCCCTCTGCCGTCCCAAACTCATGAGCAGAATTTGTTCTGAACCCTCTACGTTGTATGAATCCCGCATTTACAGATTACAACTTTCGTTGGCTATATACTTGAACCACATGGGTACAGAAGTGTTCTAAAAAGCATAAAATTAGTGCAGCCAAGGACGTATTTCTCTCATGTCATGCTATCAATAAGAGATGCTCTCATCTCGTTTACAATAGCACTCGGTTGCGCTTCTCTCAGTTTGAATACGCTCTCGATGACCGAGAGCTCCGTAGCTGTGGTATCGATTCCAGTAAAAGCAGTCCAGTCGTTAACTACCAGTCCCGCACCGACGACCTCACTACCTCGGTTCACTGTCCCAGCCACCAGTGGCACTTGAAGGAGTGACGACAACTCATCCAAATCTTCGATTGAAGTATGAGGATGCACCTGTTTGGTAAAACGGATAGAAAGTTCAGTTCCTCGTGCAAAGTATAAAACTTACAGTTCTCAACTCACTCGAGTATCAAAGTCCACCCTGACCATCGAACGGCTACAGGTACATACGAAAGTCTCAGCGCCTATTTTGATTTAAAAATTACTCATAAAAGAAAGGAGGTAGGTAGGATAGCCAAAACACGTACCAGACCACCTCTGTTTGAAAACACGCAGTAACTTCCTACAAGAATATTGCCGGCAATAGTTTGTCTAAATACTTCCACCCCCAAGACGTCGGCTATCAGTTCCTCAGTTTCCTGCAGAGATTGAGAACATGAGAGGGACAACACTTCAGACTCATAGGTAACCCGCTTTCTACTCCAGTATAAGTATTCAAGAAGTAATCTGGCAATCTTTGCATAAAAAGCGTACGACAAACGGCTGGACAAATCAATGCGAACAACGTGTGCGTAAACGCCAACACATCTATATCCTATGCTATCTGCGAGAAAAATGCGTCAATGCTCAGGGAATACAAACTTGTACGAGGGTCATGTGCAACAAATAATGTCAGCATCCTCAAAAGTCTCTCATCCTCGCATTGATAATTCAAGTACGTTACATACGGACTTGAAGTGCACACTCTACTAATCTAGAACTTGTAATGAGAACTGTTGGCACTGAAGACCAATGAGTAGCTGTCATCTTGCCATTCCGGGACCTAGCCCTACTCTATACAACTGCTTTCATCCCTGTCCCTGTAGATGGGGTCTTCCCATCCTATTTACTATCTTACTCATTCTTCCGGAGAAAAAGGTTTCAGAGTTGTTCCACAGAAGACCATGCATGGCATCCTGTAAACATAGTTTATCCGCTGGAACTTGACAAAGCAGATTCCATTGTCGTCTCATCTCAAATGCGTAAAAACTCAAGGTATTTAGTCAATGCTCAGGGAATACAAACTGTAAAGAGGCTCATGTGCATGACTGTGTCAGCATCCTCAATGTTGGTCATCTTTGCATTGTGATACACTTGGGCAAGTAGCTGAGAAGATAGTTGCAGTGCAAGACAAAGACAGGTGCAAAATTACACGGTGTCCGGGAAGCCCAGGCTACAGTACCTTGTCCAAATCAGTGTGGATCAGTGCAACGTAATCATTGCATGTGATACAATTTCCGAGAGCCGATAATCGTTCGTCAATCCTTTGAACGACGACACTGTCAGGGAGGCAGTTTCTCATATGCAGCAATTCTGGTAAAACAAAACAACAGTATCCAAGTTACAACACAACGCACAACCACAGCAATGAAAAAAAAGAATCCCTAACTTCAGGTGATACGGCAAATTGTGCTAGGTAAGGCGAAGGTTAGACATAAGTGTGTCCTCACACATGCATTAATTTTCACTGACTAAAACATCAGCTCGTCGTAGTACCTTGATCCGTTGTTGAATTTGGCAAAAGCAAGCCGTTTTTGTTGCCTACAAAATTACACAGCCCAGTAATGAGTACGTATTTAATTTCAAAACTAAAGGTGTGGTACATATTTCACAGGCTCAAAGCAGTGGTCGCTGAGTTGGGAGTTGGGCACTTGTAATTGAGACTAGATGTTTCACTGTGGTGCAGAAGACAAAACTAAAACCCATCTCTACTGACTTCGCAAAACCTCGAAACCAGTGCTTACTCTCACTCGTTCTCTCACTCACCAACGCACATTCGTCCAATTACTCTGGTGCCTGCGATGGAAGCTTTAACAACGGGGATGACATCTGATAGCTCAGATTCAAATGTGCTGCAAATAAGGAAGGTAGAAAGTCAAGAAGTGGACTTCCCTCCCCAAACAATGTTCACTATGCAGATAAGAATCGACGAAAGGCAAGAAAAAACAAGAGGTGAATCTGTTCCAATCGAGGGCTCGGTGCCAGGAACCAACCTGTAAAAGTTTTCAGATCCTCCTATAGCTACAAGGCAGTAAGCATTTGTTAGCTTTGAAAAGACTCCAATTTCGCTGCTATTTTCGAACTGCGACCCTGCAAAGCAAAGACGGGTGAAGAGTTGTCACAAGAATCCAGCAGTTAGTTAACTGGTCGGGCAAAAATAGGTAATGAGCATCGACAGAGGGGAAGAGAAGTGTTGAAACAAGACACACAAACGCCCTCAGACCTAAGCATCCGCTACTAACTATCCGGACTGCTATGCCTTTCCAGATTCTCACAAGTCAGAGGAGGCCAATGAGCCATACGCATTCAAATTGTATGGTTGGTCCGGACATAGCGTTTAGAATGGGCAAATTTGGCTCGAGAATTACGAAGTACGGGAAGAAGATGAACTAGACAGAATGATTCGAAACCTCAATACAAATGGAAAACGGGAAAAAACGAACAAATATTGATCTTAATTACGGTTGAAACAATTCATCCACACCCTGGCAAGAACTTCCTCGAATGACGAAGTCATGACAAGTAACACAACAAATGTCCATCACAATGTAAAATCACTTACTCGTCGCCATGGCGCCTTCCTTCTGTCAGCTGACGACTTCCTGTCAGATCCTCTGAAACTCGGAAGAGGTAACACAGATCCGTGCAGAATTTTGAATCGGAACAAGCAGACACCTTGGCCCGGCACAGGATCGCACAGATTTCCTCCTTCGCCTGCTAACAACGGCAGCGCGATATGCGACTTTCGGATTCGGGAAAGTGGTAAGGTGAGTAAGTAGTTTCGGCCAGGTAGGAACCTCAGGTCCTGTCTAATAGCGGCTCTCGCACCGTGCTCGATAGAACCCCAAAGAGATATTAGGGTTTGGACATGCCATGTGAAATATTAGCGACACTTCCAGCACTACGCTGCTCTCAGTTTCGTTCCAGTCCTCGGATCCTCTTAGCGGCTCAGCGAAGTGCAGTACCGTAGCACCTAAGCAACAAAGAAAGCGTAGCACCTAAGAATATCTGAAAATGAAATAACTATTAGATGTAGGATTATATTATTTTAGATTCTAGGTTTAGTTTAGTACTTGGTTCGAAAGACAATAACTATCCTTTGTGCTATCTACTTGCCAATGCATACACGGCAGGTATGCATAAGGTGAAAATCTATGCCTAACATAAGCTAGGCATTCATTGCTCTGGTTACATTTATGGATCGCTGTGGATCCACCCGTCGAAACATGTGTGCAATGAGGAAATGTAATCAAGTCATTACTTCAAAATAAAATTCAGTTTGTCTTGAAGAAGCGCAAGTCACGTTTACAACTTTTTTCTCCTTCCAGATTTTCATCATCTTGTGTCATAATATAACCTAAGCATTCAACAAATGATATATCTACTCATGGTTCTCAGTGATATTATATATATAGCATGGATAACGAGTCATATAATAAATATCTAGTCTATAGTATACTCCTCAGTCACATTTGAAAGATCAAAACATATATAGATCTTTCAAACCAACGGACAACTTATTATAAGGATAAGGAAAAACAGAATATAATATACTATTTCTAGAGAGAAAACCTCAATATTACGTACAGTATGTAGTATTACCATATATAAAAACTTGCAGATTAGATTGCAAGAGTTTAGAAGTTTAGAAGCTTCAAAACTCAATATATTATAGTTGATAATTATAATAGATTAGTTTAAAGTTGAATACATCATATCAACCTACATCTTTTTTTATATGAAATATGATACAACGTATGAAATTGATTACGTTTTCATGCCATGTTACATATTTGACGACTTTGTGGACAGTGCACACTTTTTGGCCATTTCAAGTGATCCAAGATACTATTTAGAGTTGAACCTATTGATGGCAGAACTTCTGCCATCAATAGGTTCAACTCTTGCAATCTAATCTAATCTGGTTCTAGAAGCAAGGTTCAGCAACATATGATGTATTCAACTTTAAACTAATCTATTATCATTATCAACTATAATATATTGAATAAAGTAGTTTGAATAATGGTTATTTAAATTTTTCCAATACATTATCTTTAATGATCAATTTAATGTAATAAATAAAAAAAATCTAGAATGAAATATAAAGAATTGAGTTAAAGAATTTTAACAATTTCAAATTTTTGATTTCATATTAAAATTGAATAAAATATTTGTTGATCTTTAAGATGTAAGTTTATTTTTGTAGAGCATATATTGTATATAAAATTCATAAATAAAAAATTTAATTCTTGGATGATAGATTACAAAAAAATAATAATTTAAATTTAATCTAAAAAATTCAAATTTCATTATGAAATGTATGTAAGAATAATTTGAAATTTTGATTTTTTTTTGATATTCAATTCTAATTCACCTTTACAAAATTTGATATTAAGTTTATAAAATTATTATAAGAAAATCTTATACAAAACTAAAGCTTTTTTTATTTAAATTACTATTTTTACTTATTTTAGCTATATATGAATATAAATTTCTATGTAGTATGTGGTGATATGAATTTTACTGAATCTCTAGGTAAAATATCTTATGCATGGTTATCTAGACTAATAATGATGAAAATATATATTTATGTAACTCATAGGTAAAGTCATTTCAAAAAAGGTCTGATCAATGTTTGATGCACAAGCACGATTAAAATAATGTTGATGTTAAGAAAAATGTTGATTTAAAATAATCAATTTAAGATCAACAAATATAAAAACATATATCATTCTAAAGAGAGAAAAGAACTAAAATGATTTTATTGCTGCTTATATATTTATTTATTCATACTTTTAATAGATACAAAAATATAAGATTTGACCTACTCATTGCCATCTCAATGACATGTAATGATAGATTTATCTCATAAACATACAGAGTATTGACTCCTACTTATTTTGACTAATATATATACTCTTGACAACAATTTTTTTGCTCACTAGACAATTATGGATAGTTAGTAATAAGTCGAGTTTTACCTATGCGTTAAATGAAATAAATAAATGTAATGAGGATTAAATTATATATAATAATCTAAAAGTTATTATCAACATAATTGAAGTACAATATGGTAATATGTAGAAAACTATTATCGTTTTTCATTCAATTATTAGTTCATCAATTAATTGTTAGAATGTAAAAGTGCATTATGAAGGAGATTGATCTACTTTTGTTTGTCTCAAGTAAACATCTTGTTAGTTAGAAACTCTCAAATTTTGGTGACTTAATTTTTCTGGTTGAGACAAACCACAAAATTTTCCAAGCAAACTAAGAAGTTTTTCAATTTTGGCTCCTACAGAAAGGTTTGCAATCGTAGTGGCAAATTCTTGAATGATGAAAAAGGATATCACATCGTTGTTATTCAACCAATAGTCAGGTATATGCCCAGTTCGGTTTATGTTTCCAAGCTATCAAAAGTGTAGATTTATGTAGAAAAATCAAATAATTATTAGGTCTGCTCGGAAGTGACAGCCAGGAAACTTACTTTACGGATATTAATTTCAAGTGCATTAATGTTCAAGAACTCTCGTAATATATTGCAAAGTCGGGCGATTTTTCATTACTTGCTTGTCTACCAACATTTCATAAGTTATTTTTGTCACTTATGCATCAACAATTGCTTTGGCGCGGTATTTCTCATAGCTCTGATAAGAAGGATGAACGAAGGAGGATTGATTAAAACATGCACATAAAATTACAACCAGGGTCGTCCCACTGACCAAGCGTTAGACGTTGTCCCATAAGTTTCAACCATTAGAGTGCAAATTCCCACTTCACATCATTGTCGGCCTTGGAACGCAAACGAACCTTTGGAATCGGATGACATGCACTGCTGCACGACGGAAAATTTGACAAAATTGAGAGAAGTGAGAGTAATTGCATTCCATCAACATGTCCACAATTGAAGGAATTCGCATAGCACAACCGAACAAAATTTGTATGTAAAAACAAACGATTCATAAACAACAGGTGTCGAGGGCGAGATACTCTGTAATCATGATGGGAACCGTCCAGGAGTACAGGCAACGACGTGATAAAGCTCGACAACTGAAACAGAACGAACAGCAGCGACGTTGATTTATCGTAAGGAGGAGAAAAGTCAGACGGGTCTATTCCGGGAGGAGAGAAGTGGATATGTCAGAAGCAGAGGTCATCAATACGCATCAGGCAGAACGTCGCAGCGACTGGAATTTCAGCCGGAGCGGAACATGGTCGAGACACTAGTCCAGCCGGCAAAGACCGCAGAGTCCTGGCACGACATGACGTGGGTCCGGCAATCCACCTCCACCCTCGTCCCTCGTGCAGAGAAAGAGCACCAGAAAAGAGGAGAGGAAACTGCAGCACGCTGGCTCTCGACCTCCGTCTCTCCCCTGGGAAGAAGAAAGGGTCAAATCTGCAGACCCGGCGACATGCTCGTCCGCAACGATATGGAAACCATGCGCCTTCGAAGACCTAACCCTATCGGGAGGGCTCACCGAGCCGTAGGGGTGGAGGGCGATGGCGACGACGATGACAATCGGATCTTCTATTCATTCGCACGAAATAAACCCTAACCTAAACGAAAGAACGAACCGAGCGGGGACTTTGCGAAGCAGGGAGCTGCTTCTTGCGGAGGAGCAGCTGCATCTACATCAACCCTAGCCTCCAATGCACTCAAGGCGACGCTTGCGAGAGAGTCCGGTCCGGAGTGTTTAAACCCTACTCGCATCGCCAATGGCCAGCCGAGCGCAGGGAGGTACTGGCAGGCTGGCTGGCTGGCCGGCTGGATGGACATAAGACACCCACCCCGACATATTCCATTGCAGCCCACCCTACCCGATCGAGCGAATGGAACCTCAGCGAGCTCGATAAGCGAAAGGAATGACCGCGACTCGTCAGATAACCCGGGCAGAAGCAGAAGTAGTGGGGCAGGAGAAGAGGTGAGGCGAGGCGAGGGAGAGGGTGGGAGAGTCACAGTGAGTTGCAGCATCTGTGTGGCCTACGTCTTCCTCTGTTTCAGAACCGTCGAGAACAAGTAGCTCTTCAGTGGTGGTGCCGTCGAAGGAAGGAAGGTGGAGGAGGAGGACGAGGTGGGGTGCTGATTCCGGAGCCAAGGTGGATAGAATTGTAGTTGCACACACCCAGTCAGCCATTCTTCCTCTAGCAGGTCGGGAATTACCTCTCTCCGCTTGACCTTGCGTAGTGTTCTGCATGCATCCTCCACCGAACGCTGCCTTGCCTCTAGCTGGGCAGCTGCTACGGGGCTCGTGGTGGGTCGATCGCACTCCAGCTCTCGGAGTTTCCCTTCATTTGCACGATGTATTTTCTCAGGCCGAGGGGCAAGGGGGGTGTTGTAGAGGACAAGAAGATTTTGAAAGCAAATTTGTGGTCGTCACTTCCTGATGATCTGGTGGAAAGAGTGTTGACCAAGCTCTCTTTCTCCACTTTGTTCAAGTGTCGCACTGTGTGCAAGAGATGGAACGAGCTGATTCTCTCACAGAATTTCATTCCCGCAAACCAAGATCCCCCAAAATGCATTCCATTCCATTTTACCTTTTACACTCCTCCAGAGCACAAAGGCTTACATGAGACTCAATATTTCACTGCGTACGACCCACGGCGCAACAGCTGGGTGGAGCTCTCGCTTTCGTTTTTGAAATTGGATCCGGATTTGGGAAATTGGGAGATGGCAGCGTCAGGTGGAGGTCTTCTCTGCCTTGCAACCATATCCTGTTCGCAGTTCGTGGTCTGCAATCCTGTCACTAAACAGTGGAGACTGTTGGAATTTCCCTCTTCTTTGCCGCCGTCTGACATTGGCTTTCAACCCCGCCCCTTGGAGCACGTGCCGGCCAATGATTTCCTACCCCGTCCTCTGGAGCACTTGCTCGTCGGGTTGATTGTCAATCAAAACACTGGTCTGTACAAGCTTGTCATAGCCGAGATTTATGAATCTTCGCAACGCACCACCCTCGTCTACGATTCGAAGAATCGTGCTTGGAAGAAAGGTGCTAACACACCGTCAATGCCGCACAGCTGTTTCTCACTGAAACCCGGCGTGGCATGCAAGGGAGCATTGTACTGGATTACGGATGACGACGATTGGCGATTTCCTCGGTTGTTCAAGTACGACGTAGAGAACGATTCGTGGACTACTGCGCTGCTTACCAGCTACGGATGGGACGTTCGGATTTTAGAACACAGGAATGAGCTTATTCTGATGACAGAGGATGGGCGGGCGTGCATCCTTCACGAGTCTGGCAAGGAAATGCGCCTGACGCAGAAGAAGATGCCGAAGCCTTTATTAGGAAAGCTAGGTAGACAAACTGGTGACAGTGTGCAGAATTCGTCATGCATAGGCGCAGGCGAGTTGATTTGCTTCGTCAAAGAGGTCCTGACAGAGAGGAAATATCGAACTCGGTTGGAGTTCATTGTTCGAGATTTTTCCAAAAACACCAGCACCAGCACTACCAATTTGGAATACGGCTATGCTTTGCTCTGCTGGGTTATAGAGCCTTCTCTTACTGCCCTCGCCTAAATAGCTGGCTAATGGGAAGTTTTTGGAATGCTCCTACCACAACGCTCACAATGTCGACATCTGGACGAAGAACCGAATGATTGCAGCGATGTCAAGAAGGGATATAATTTCAGTGATACAGGGAAGGTCAGAGCTCTGAATCTCACTGCTCAGTCTCAAGCTGTTGTTCGAGCGGGAGGCCTTCTGAAAGCCCTTTTCACTCTGCAGCAGAACGCGGATGGAATGTTGCTGGCTCCCAGCTGATGGCCAGGCAGTGTCAGTTGCTATCGGGTCTGTCCTCGAGATTATTCCTCCAGGCTTGGTCCTTCTTTACCTTATCGACGCCATGGGTTCTGAGAGGTTTCACTTTTTTCTACCATATCGCCTCCAGTTTGGTCATTAAAGTAATTTCCTAATCCAGATTGTTCATGAGAGAGGAGTGCAGCAGAACATCATCCTCAGCCAAACGTGGCTTGTTCTGACCAGATGGAAGTACTACATTTCCAAGCATCATGTAGCCTATTGATCGACAGAGCAGCCCGTGCGTATGAGAGACCTGCGATGTACCACGAGCGCACTTAAGCAGTGCCAAGCGAGATTGTGGATATCGGTAGCGGTCATCAGAATATCGTCCTGCCAGTTCCTGGGCCTTGCCAGTGCTTAATTTCCGAATACCAACCTCGATGCAAGGCAAGAAATCGAGGCGATGATATGAAGATATGAAGATCAGTCAAAAGTTCTGCGCGGAAGGGCTCGATTTTTAACCTTTTGACTTATTCTCGTTCATTATTCTTGTAGGATGATGAGAAACAAGGCATCTATGGTCTTAGAAGACCATAGAAGCCGTTGATCCGCTAAGTCCACACTATATCAGTGTCAGGATTTATCGTATGCCAGCACAATGCACGGAGCTCGCCCGGGATCGGTGTCCCTCATTGTCGAGTAAACCCAGGGCGAGAGCTGTTGTGAAGTGCAAGTTTCAACTAGGTTTCGTCAGAGGAGTGACCCTTTCCTCTGTATTGGTCTCCACGTGTTAATTATATCTTTGACATAATATTTGAAACCATTGAAAGCTGAATCTCCATTGTGTGTTCACTTCCTCACTCTGTCAACGATGACATGTCAAAGCCTACTCAGAGCACTGCTCTCAAGGGTTTTGACTTACAATGAGTCTGACGGACGTAGGAAAGAGTAGTGCCTCCAAATGGCCGAGGATGTCGTCTTGGTGCCCACACGGTCTTGATGTATTGAGCTATCTGAAAATATCGAAGGTGCCAGATTTCGTGACGAAAGGAAAAGTGGACTTCTCGTCACACTGACACAAGCTCTCGGTACTTCACTGTTCCTAGTGTACAAAACAGGTGGAAACACTGGTTTAGGAGCCGGAGGTGTAATTACGATAGTATCGTAATTTGCTGTCCAACCAACACGGGTAGCGACCAATGTCACTGAGCAGTGCCTTCGACGTCAACTGGAGAAGAAGAATGTAATTGTCACATGATCTTTGTAGGAATTAGCATGTCTTGAATCTAGCTGGCTGGCCAGTGACTAAGGTTGTTGCTTCCTTGACGGCTACTTGGGGTTCTCCTCTACCGTTGCACTAAGCAGAGGGAAACGGGTGGGTGCTTTGATGCACGACACTAGTGCAACGATTGAGTCAAGTTTCCTCACGGAGGTGTCACCATGACATGATCTGAACCATGGACCTACTACTCGAGGTCTGTCCGCTGTCCTTTTCGCCAAGGATTCATTAGAGTCCACCCAGTCCAATGGCTGTTGTGTTGGCAAAATTTTTGACAACTAGGAGGATGCGGAGGCATGTCGAAATCATCGAACTCCCGAGTTGCACGATACAGGGTTCGAAGCCACAATGGTGCCTATGATGAACATTTCTGTGTCTGAAGTATATCTGACGCACTGGGTACATCTTCTGCCACATAATATCTCTCATCATGTCTTCTATCACTACTCAATACACTTTCCTTGGCGGATACACAAAACCAAACCCAACTCCACTCTGGATTATGGTAATGTGTAACGATCATGTTGGTAAATGATCATAATATTGGCTGAAGTTAGATGTCGAGATGTAAGGAATTCGGTACTCAGCATGGGAAGGTGGGTGATATGAGAAGTCTTCTTTGCTGGCTGTGATAATCTAAACTGACTGCACACTTTCAGTAATTTCAGTACGTTATCAAAGGCCTTGTGAGTAACTCCGCAATCGCGATGGTTCGTTGCTGTTGGACTGGACACGGGGACCTACCGCGTCATGGTTGAGACTTACTTACAGCAAGACACACTGCACCTCAGCTTCGTAATGTGCTCTAGATTACTCCAAACGAAAGAAACATCTTAAATCTTCTGTGCGTGATCGAATGTCTCTTTCGTGCAATGCCTGTGTGGAATCAGTGTTCACATCCTTCCCTGAGACATGGTATCGTTTGGACTTTTCTTCTATGTCACCTTGTGCACGCGTTGTTGTTGCTTCAATCATATGGTTTAGGAGTCAAAACTGCTGTCGAGCTCACTGAGAGAGTGGCCTGTTTGTTTGGACGACTATGGATATCAGGATGTCGAAACGGTGGATTCTACAGATTGAATGGTGCTAAGAGATTTAATAGTGCAGACTGAGAAGTCTGAATCTAAGAAGGAGCTGAAATTGGAGCAGCCAAATTTCGACCAATGGATGTGCGTGCGTAAGCTGCACCGGCTCATGACAGCGTCGTGGTTCATGTGACCATGAAGGAAAATGTCGTATGTACGAAGGTGTCAGAACATGCAAATCTTACTCACAACGGCCAAAGGCTGATCAATCTGCACTTTCATGACTGCGCAACAAAGCATGTCCGCCGAGGCAGTAGCCTCGACATCCCGAAGAAACGAACTGTGATTTGTGAGCCTTCAATGCGTTTGCAAGCCATCCGATCGTCGACCTGGTCTCATCTAGGCCATCGGTTCGACTCAAGGAGAACGACCAGGTGAACCAAATCTGTGGCCAGGGACCGTGAGCTGCTTCGCTATCATGACTCCACATTCATTTCAGGTGAAATCCGAACGCAGTCAACGGAATCGACATGAGTGACAAAAGTCCACTTGTTCGAGCTTTGAGAGCCGAGAGCAGACCCGACGCGAGAGTCCGAAAGGAATCGACCGAGTAGGACCAGAACTGTGCAGTCCATGGAAGAACTCAAGAGGTCCCACAAGCTCCGGAACGTGGTCGCCGACTTCTTCAGGAACACGGATCGGATCCATGTGCAGGAGGTCCCAATTATGGCACCGCAGTTATAGTTGGGGGGCCTGCTATCCCTGCAGGAACTGCGGTCGCCCACGCAGTGACCGCAGTTCCTGCAGGTCACTGCGTGGGCGACGGGATGGTCCGGTGGCACCATCACCGGTGCACGTGAGCTCCGAGCTCCGAGCTCTGTCTTTCGCAAGCGTGTGCTCCCGGGGCAGCTGATCGAGGAGGAAAGCCCATGACCTGCATCGAGATTGCAGCTGCAGGATTGCGGGCATCTCGATGAGAGGCAGGATGCCTGCTCAGACGTCTGCGCGAGCCGATCCAACCACGGTCGAAGCTGTGAAGTGAGGATCTGTCTGCTCCGAGCGTCTCCGGGCTCTTAAAGTAAAATTGCTCGGAACCTTACTTGCAGTATCGTCGCGCTCGAGCGACAGTGCATTGCGTTCTTTCCCAGGCCGCGTACGATACGGTGTTGTATAATCCACCATACGAGACGAGGATGAAGAGTACGCTTTTGTAATACTCCTGATTGGTCGATCGTACGCTGCGACCGCGAGGAGGAGCTCGTTCTCGAACCCGTAAGTGGTGTGTCCTGAACCAGCTGGACCTGAAATACGACTGCATTTGAATTTCAAGACTGAATGCTTGGACGTGCTGACCTCACTCGAGTAGCTCTAGTCGTCTGTTGAAAGAAGGCAGGTTCCGGGCTGTCAGTGTCATGATGAAGAAGGAGGTGATGAACGTGTGGACTCTGGAGTCTACGGAAGCCCGTTCTTTCACTGCTCTTCTTCTTCTTCATCGTCGACCTCGACCCATCGCTGAGTAGGAAGCGATTGCAGCCCATTTGCAAGCCCATGCTTCCTTTTCCTCTCCTCTCGCCCTGTTCGTACGGTGTACTGATCTCATGGCCGCCATGTGAAGTCGAACTTGAGTCGATTATGGTGATAGGTTCAGACATTGTCGTTATCGACGTGGGAAGTGCTGCTCTCTGAAGTAAAATTTTGAAGCGTGCTTGTTGGCTTCGAGAATTTGTCAGAGTTGGCAAAAATTTGGTGGGAGTTTGAGAGAGGGCGATGGAGGCGAGCGAACCTTGTGAGACGCATGGAGGTTGGCAGGACGGTAGGACTTGTGGTGGTGATGCGGAGGATAAGTCAAGGGCGAATTGGACGGGGAACTCTGGGACGAAGGTAATCAGGAAGCGTTATCAATTGGTGAAATACCACGATCTGGCCACTTACCTGAAAAGCAATGAGTATATTTTGGATCATTACCGCTGTGATTGGCCTCTTCGGGAAACGGTGCTGAGCCTTTTTTCCATCCACAACGAGACACTGAACATCTGGACGTGAGTACACTTTTCTGGGTACCCTCTCTATCAGCCAAGAATCTGCAAACGTTTTGCTCGATGGTCAAGAACGAGTTTTTCGCTCCTGCTTCCGTTGAATGGGTAGTTTGTGTAAGGGTTGTCGTTGTGCTCGCTATCATGGGTCATACATGTTCCGTATATTAGCATTTTTTCAGCATCCGAACGAAGCAATCTACAGGAACACATCCAGAATTTGCTTCATGCAGTGTCATCTCCTTTGAGGGAGGACGCCATGCATTTATTTTAGGTTCTAATCAGCTCGTACCAGCGTCCTCTCCATGGGGAAAGTGAACCAAAGATTGAAGGAGGTCGCCATCTATTCGATCGGGTCCCGACTCGCCAGTGTGGAAGTGAGATTGTATAGCAAAGATTGAAGGATATTTTAGGTAAGTGTTAAAGCTCATCTCCAAGTACCTGTGGCAGAGAATCCTGAGTCCTGGAGATGAACTTCAACAGTTATCCGAAGTATATGTTGTCTATGGAGGCTGGAAAGTGATGGATAGTCAATTTAGGCGGTATATGGGGGCCAGATGCTTACTGCTGGCCACAAATTGAGCCTCCATATCCAGATTGACAATGACTATGTTGTTATTCAAACTCAATTTAGCATTGAAATTTGTTCAACGAATTATGTCTTCGTTGTAGATTTCTGTTTGTCAACCTTAAACTTAGTTGGGTAGCAATGCACGAAAACCTATATACCGCGAAGGTAACCTATTATGAGCGAAACTGCTATCGTAATTTCCGGTGCCCGAAGACAGTGTGAGTGTTCAAAAGGATACTCCACGTTGAGCTTCTATTCTTCTGTTTACCCTGAGCCTCTACGAAACTTACCTTAGAACCATAATTATTCTGACAAAGATCATTAAATCGTCATGTTTGTCACTGAAGGAGAAACTGATAGACTATGAAAAGTTAAACAAACGGACAGAAGCAACTCATAATTGGTCAGTCATCGACAAATGTGCCTTTCTTTTTGTTTGGCTTGCAGACATCTGGTAGGATTCTTAATATTCCTAGGGCTTGCGGTCTACACCGCCACTGTTTTGCCGACGCTCATGCACTTGTCGGGATTGACATCAATGAGCAGCTTTCAGAAGGTAGGCTTGGTGAGTAGTTTTATGTAACCTTATAGTTCAAGAACTTGTAACATTGCGATTGGTGGAAGAGTTTCAGCAGCATGTTGTACACTTTTTGGAAAAAGGCTGTAAATCTCGTGGCTGGCTGCGAACATGAGACTGTAGGTAGACGTGTATGGCTCTAATCTAGAGGTTTTATGATTACAATGCAGAAGGAAGGGGAAGTCCTGGTCTCGATGGTCCCTCCATCTGAAGAACTTGTCACAAGATGGCCATTTTTTGTGTTCCTTGGTGGCGCAATGTGTTGTTTAATGTTCAGCAGCACGTATCACTTACTCAACTGCCACTCTCAGCGCCTCCACAGCATTCTACACCGATTAGATCATGCGGGAATTGCTGTACTGATTGCGGCCTCCTTCTTTCCTCCCATTTACTATTCGTTTTTTTGCTTTCCAGCCCTTCGGAGAATGTACTTGTCTGGTGTTACTTTGATTGCAGTGACCACAATTATCTTTGCTTCACTTCCAAGGTTCCGCACGCCTGAATTCAGAAAGTACAGAGCCATGCTGTTTTTCTGCACTGGGGCTTCCGGTGTATTTCCTGGTGCCCACAGACTTGCAATCTACTGGCATGAACCTTTAGCATTTAAGGGGTTGGAATATGAGATAGCCATGGGGCTGATGTATGGCGTGGGCGCAGTACTGTATGCTGCTAGGATACCTGAGAGGTTTAAACCTGGTCGATTTGATATCGTGGGCCACAGCCACCAAATTTTTCATGTTCTTGTGGTGTTTGCTGCGTTAGCTCACTACAAAGCAGGGCTCATCGACTTGCAATGGCGAGATGCTCACGGTTGCACTTAAGACCCTCAAACACTGGGAAATTGTAGGTTGAATCCAGGAAATTTTCGGAGGTCGTTGTAGACTCTGAGCATAACTTTCGTGTGTTAGCATCAGCTGCAAAGAGCAGTAGAACCATTCGACCACGCCATGAAGAGAGTTTCTCCTCCGATGTCAGCTTTCATCATGTTGAAGATGATACAAATATTTCAGCCCTTCGCTTCTCACATATGTATGAAAATCCAATGTAGATCTGTTGAATAGTAGCATCGTTTCCAGTGCAGTGCATATGCTAACGATGTAGCTTTGAGTACGAATTCACATTGGATCATTCCTTTTTGTTACAGACTAATATTGGTTTTTACTTAAGGCAACTCATCTTGTTTTGAAATAAGAACTCAAACCCGATGATGGCTGTGATATAGAAATGGAACAATCTTGACCATTCTCACTGAATGATGAATCTCAATTGTCGTCATATTCAGAGAAAGAATCAATGGATCACATAGAGTGTACATCTGTAATAATTCCGATTTCAAGGTCTCAGAGCGAATACCGATATATTAAAGTCATGTTCTTGTTTTTAAGCCAACAATTGGTGAATGAAATAGAGTTTGATATCGAATAGCATTGAATTTATGTTAATGTTATTGGATGCTATTCGTGGATTCGTTGTGAGTGGATAGTTTCATGTTAGACAATGTAATAGTATGAAGAGTTCAAGGTGGATGCGTGATGGCAAACTAGTTAATTATTAGCAGAGAGATCATCATGTTTCAATTAAGACATAAGATTGCAATGGCCCTAATCCGATAAATATTTTTCTATCTCATATTATAGAGATGTGTACATTGAATGTCTGTAGTGAACCATAAAATTGATGGAGAAAGAGAGGGAGGTTGATTGCACTTGAGATTTTATGACTCGATCATATTGTGACTGAGTACCTCATCATATACACTTAAACTATAAGAGAAATGACCATGAAAGTCAATGTTTACAAACTAGGAGGTAGAAAAAATATCATTAATGGGGGTAACATTTACTGATGAGGCATGAAATTCTATTGCATATGACTTTCTAATCTGAAGTAAATTTGCTTGTATTATTTTTCTAATAATCGGCATCTATAAGAAATTTCACCCTTGCTGAAGAGAGAACACATCAAAATTCAGGCGCATCTGCAACAAATTGACCAAAATATTACTGTCAATGTTGGTTTATGTTTTCCTATTGGCGAGATGCATATTATTCCCCCTTTCATTTCTGTCTCACCATGATTTTCCATTGCAAGTAGAATACACTCTAGTCAAATATTTGTTCTTCCCTACTCCGCAACAATATTTGCCAAGAGCACGGATTTACTACTAACTCATATGTAAACGAGTGTTATAATAACAAATAATTACCAAATGGAACGTAATGGTAAAGATCTGATAACACGAGTACAGAAACAATCCATAGAACCAAAAAGTGTCATGTATTAACAGTTTATTGAAGAGTTTAACTTTTCAGACGCATGTCACTCCCAAAAGTACTTAAATTGCTAAGTCCAAAGGCAACCCATTGCAGGATGAAATCACACTAAAATTTTGAAATTCATCCAATCAAAGTCTACAGAGGTAGATCGCGACTCTACTCTTGATATTATGGGGGCAAAATTTCGGAAGTATACACTTAGATAGCTGCACCGAGGTTCCAATTTATAGATTTGCTTAAATCCTAAGCTAGTACTTCACTACTCATAACATCCGAATTGGATTCTTTGTTTCAGATGCGGTATCTTCGACAAATTGAAGTAACTCACGCACGATGGCAAACACTCTCAACTCCACAAATGCGCGGAGAATGCAGGCTAAAAACTTAGAAACTAACTATTGAGAATCTCCCCTCTTTATTCATAACTAACAATCCGAGATATCACTCGCTATGATGCGATCCTCCCAACAGGCGCGATGCCAGTAGACCCGACAGTTACCACGCCTGCTGAGTTCCTATCTAATCCTAACCTACGCAAAACGGTTGACATTTTCAACTCTAAGTTTTCATTTGTCTACTCCAAAGTAGAGAGAAAGAATCCAACTTTCTAGCTAATTGACGCTGTACTCCTACACTACAGGCAATCATTGTCGTCAGTCGACGCTCCAAATCCCGTAGCTTCAACCACTTCTGCGTCTTGATCTGCCACACAACAAAACCACGAAGACATTGGTTTACCTTCTTGGTCAAGGACTCGTCCATCTGTCCCGCTAATTGCCGATTCTTCTAATCTACTTCTAACAGTTTTGCTTCCACTACGACCAACTGCTCTTCAGCTGCCGATCGCAACGATCTCATCTCATTGCAGTCAGCCTTCAACTTCTCCATCTGCTCCAACTCCAAAGACCTAGCGACTTCGCACTCTGCCAACTCCTTCGCCTTCGCTGCTAACTCAGCTGCATGCGTTTGATCTCTCTTCATCAGATCTGCAGTCAATTCATCTACAGGGCGCGACTCATCGTTGAAGGCCACTCTGAACGCCTCCAATCTATTCTGAAGCGTTGACTCTCGCCCACCTGATAGTCTCAATGTCACCACAAAGGCTCTCACATGCCTTCTCCGAAGACCTCCGAAGTTTCTTCTCCTCAGTTTAATTCTTTTGAAGTCCCTCGCATTCTAACTACAACTCCCGAAGTCGCATTTCCTTCTCATGCAACGAAGCATTTGCCGATGCGCACTCTATAGTCAAGCTCTCTACTCGCTTGGCTGTCTGTGTGGATGCGGCCACCTTCACCAACGTCCTATTACGCACTAACTCCACGTAAGATTCCACGTCGGATGGTTTGACATACTTCTCCAACTTCCTGTCTAAATAACGGAGCAAGGGAACAACATGCTCACACAACACATCTGCCGCATTCATTCCAACCGACTGAGTCTCTTAAGTCAAAGGATCTTCGTGGCTCTCCTTCATGATGATTCCCGTAGACGTCTGAGGCAAAGAAACCGGCCATTGCCCCGTGGCAGTTCTCTCCACTCCTTCCACTACACGATCCTCTAACTCCTCCAGCGAAGTGAGTTCCTCCTCTGTGTCTGATGACACCACCAATACCTCTAAACTCTTGTTCTCCGAAAGCGTGTACACAATGGTGCGAGCCAGAGGGCTCTGGATTCCGATTCGAGTTTTCAATCTCGGCGTCTGCTTCCTTCTCTTTGGCTTTCTTCGACACTGCCAAATGTCTTCACTCCGAAGGCCACTCTCAAAAGGTCCTTCTTCTTCTGTAACATCTGCTTCTAACTCTGTTCACTTTGTCGAAGTGAGCCGACCTTGCGAAGAAGTTACAAAGCCTTTGATGCTACTGTTGTCGTCAATCAACAACCGTCTCGCTTTCATCTTGGTGCGAGCTCGTACATTGGCTGACCGGAGCTTCGTGAGGACCGACCTTAGGATGCGAATTCTGGCACGATGATCAATCGTCTTTGAAATTGCGACTTCCTGTAACATACGCCTCTTGTGCGGCCGTCTTTCCAGTCCATCTCCCAACTTGTATGCTCTCCTCAAAAGCAACGCAAGCTGAGTGTACTCTTGATCTTTGTCAACCTCGTTGGCATCCAGTGACTCATCTCCATCTACTGCATGTGTCTAGAGCGAGAATCTCTTCTGCTCCGCTGCGGTCAGTAACCCCATCCCTCTGTAGAAATTGATGAAGAAGGGGTATAAGTAATTCGCCGACCCTCCTGAGATTCATCAATATGCTAGCGCTTGAGATACCACAGACTCCACACCCAATGTATACGTTCTCCTCTCAAAGCTCGCTCTACAAACCCGACCTGCCAAGTCATCATGTAGGTTGTTCGGCAAGGTCGAAGGATCTGCATCAGAGCTACAGCTACATTCCTTCGCAGTCAATCGCGATACTCTGTCGTCTGGTACTCATTCGTGCATGTGCGCCATTTCTTGAATAGGGCCGCATACGTCTTCTATTCCGTGCGCGTTACCTTGACACTCTCATTGTTGAAGGTAAGATCCCCACCTTCTCCAGCGCATGGCCCATGACTTTCTCCCAATCCGAAATTTGCCAAAGCGCGGAATTTACTCAAAGTCCATCGGCCTCCGGCGCGCTCATGTCACTCCACTCTTGGACCATCGCAGCGCAGACCTAATTCCAATCTCTCACAAAATGAGTCTGACGAGAAAATCAATTCGCCACGATAGGTACTCAATCCAACTTCAAGCATCTTCAAAGCTGTCAATAGAATTTCTTCCGCTCGTCCCATGGCTGCTTCTGCAATTTTGCACTTCCACATCTCGTTCGTAGTTCAATTCGCAACTGCGCTTTTGTGAAATGTGGGAGACGAACTTGTGCTACTTTTGGTGTAGTCCGCCGCCGCAACGGCATTGCAAACTCGTGCAAATTGAAGGTGCCAAAATTTGAATTTCTTTCCAGTGCGGCGACTTCTTTTACTTTAACGGGGATCTGTCGCCGAAACTCCTTTGTAGGTAACTCCGAAGACTCTAACGCAGTAGGTCGAAGACTCTCTGACGAAGATTGTATTAGGACTTCGTCAAAACAAGGTCTCCACTTCGTACCTCCGTAGCTCGGGTTTCCTTTGTCCATTCCTCACATTCTTAGACTCGTTGGAACGAGCAAGTTGAGCTCTATGTACTGGGATACTTTTTATGCCATACTCCTACTCAGCATCTATTCCTAAATTTCCAGATCATTCCTCTTCTTAGTACTACTACTCTAAAAGTTTGAAGTTGCTTATCTTTACTTCCCAAACTACCTCAATTCCGAAAAAACAAAAAAAATATACTACCACAGGTGTATCTTTTTTATTCTCATTATCTTGTTTTTGATAAATCAAGATTGGATACCTCAAACAACATCTATTTTTTTTTGCATATAGATATCAAATTTTCTATGTAATTATACTTATATCTATATGCAACATTTGCAATATTACATAATTTCTCACATTTTTAGAAAATAAATCTCTTTGGTAAAATCATATAGTTTAAAAAATGATATTTAATGATAAAATGTTTAAATGGACAATAGATTGCTTAATATACATCTACATATATTATATCTCAATTATCATAAGAATCATGATAATCAGAAGTTTTTATTCAAATAGTTTTTTTGTCATTACATACTAAGGTAATGAATACACGATGTCACATTATTCTACTATGTAAATCTTCAACTAATTCAAACATTTTCAAATGTAAAAACATTTATAGACGTAAATTTTTGTTGATATTGTGATTGTCCATATTCATCATCAAATTTATTGATAAATGTTTAAAAATTATACATTTTAATAAAAACAAACATTTGAAAGTCATTACACAAAATTTCAATTTATATTTTGTTGATTTGATAAATAAATTTGAGTATGAAGATAAAAAAAAATCAATGAAAAGCCAGGATCAACGCTAATAAGTATGCTAGAAATTAATTTTATTTTAATAATTATTTGCAAGATTATGAATATTAATTTAAATTTTCACTTCAATGAATATTTATACAACAAATTATCAATGAAAAAAGGTTTGAAGTTTTAAATATTTTGACAATAAGGTTTTCTGTTTCAGATCATATGTACCACATTCATCATTTTGGTAGTTATAAACATAAAATCAATCATTACATATAATGAAAAATTTATAGATACACATATTTTTTTTGAATATCGAGTTAAATGATTTGAATTATCATACTCTAAAATATATATACAAGAATCAATCACATTCTGTGTGGTTATGACATAATGATAGCACAAGTTAATTATATGAGTGCTACAAATACTTTTCAAAGACAATGAAATATGTTAATATATTTTTAAATAAATAATAAGAGTAAAATTTGAAAGATTATTTTGGATTGCTTTATAATCAAAATCATTTTCACGATGTACAAGAAAATAATCTACAACATTAATAGTAATAATATTTTGATTAAAATAAAATAAAATAAAATAATTACTATTGATGTTGTTAATTATTTTCTTGTACATCGTTTAAAAAATTTTAACTTAATTTAGTTAATCAAAAAAAATAAAATTAAAGAAAATTTTAAAATACTAGTTTGGACCAATTTATTATATATGTTTAAATGTCATCAGGTCTTGCATTTTTAATTTTTTAATGCAATGATTATCATTTTGACTTTTGACCTAATTGTGTTGATTATAGTGCATAATTTTGCAAATCGTTGAAAATTTTTATGCTAATGTTATGCTATGATTATATTTAAGTATTATTTCTATTTGTCATAATTTTTTGATATCACATGATCAGGATTGGTTATTCTAGTCGGTTAACTAAATCACCAAAATATGCTTAAATTAGTTGCCCCAGAAAAGTTAATTTAGGTAAACTAGGCGTAAAGTGCACTTGAAAGCTAATGAGGGGTTAAGAGAGAGAATCACCATCACTCGTGGGTTGCAATCCGGTTGTGAGTCTCATGGGATTATGACCTCGATGAATTATGACAGTGACGTGATTACAAACTGAGTAAAAGTCATCACACCTTAATCTCCCCCACTTCAATTTTGACCCAATCACAGTGTAGGTGCTATTGTTAATTTAGTGCCAAAAGGAACGTCAGTTTAAGTAATTTAGGCGCCTCGGTAAGACAGTCGCCTAAAATAAACATGCAGAATACATGATGATGAATACAGAAAATGAAGGATTTAGTGAATGACGTAAATTTTTATATTATAACAAATTTAATTTAATTATTATTTTTAATTATAAAAAATTTAACATCTTATGGAATTTATCGTAGTCCTGAAGTATACAAAATGATAGACAGACATGAAGATAGACCAAAAAAATACACAAAGTCAGAACGTGATCTACACTTCAGAGTACTACATCCACGGATTGAAACACTCGAAAGAGTTTACTACCAAAGTGAAACAACAATGGGAACAGCGCATAAACATGAGTGTTGGGTTTGGAGGCTATTATATTAGTTTTATGTAGATTTAGAGAGAGGTTTATCTACTTTACTTTGTCATCACTTTTGAAATAGTGTAACAAAAAGTACAGGTAGATTTCATCTAATGACGCGAGGCTAGGCTCAAGAGCATTGAGAAATGCATTTGAGATATATAAACACTCAGCTCAAAATGGTGCACCACGAGATTTTATACTTCCATCGCTGTCATTCAGCAGAGTTTTGAGTTTCAAACCGGCGACATGGGGGTCCAAGCCGAGCAGAGGACGAACGAATTAAAGCCAGCAATGATTACTTCACACGCAGCGAGGCGGGGATATCACAAGAATAAAAACGTCGTTTACATTATCCAAATTTAAACTTTGTTATCTAAAACACGAAGCATCGAGCACACGCGACGTGCTTGAAATAAGCCCCGGTCTGGAAACTTTTGTCCAGCATAAAGTCGGGAACCAGTACTAGTCAATGTTCGAACGCCTCCGAGAAGAAACCTCAATGCTGGACCGAGAGCGCATCCACTGAATCCTCGGTTGCCGGGTTTCAGAATCGATCTCACCCATCTTTCTGCAGCACTGCCCCGATATAGACGAAGACATCGCCCTTCGCAGATGCTCTGTCTATTTTCTATTCGCTGGACTGTTTTTATCGCTGAATCCTCTGTCTCTCCTCATCTCACCTTTCCGGGCAGACTGATGGGTTCGGCAAGTGGCCTAAAATGTAAAACTAGAGGAGTGAAATAGCCAATGCAACTGTGGCCGCAGAGGCTCCTGTTACAGTGTACCCTTCCTTCAGAAACGTTTGTCCCACTGCTGACGATACATGGTTTGTCGTTAGTGAGTCAGCAGTGTTTCTTTGTGTTTCTATTCCATTGCCGTCGACCGCGCCGTGACGCGAGGGAAAAGGATCGTAAGAATTAGTCCAGTCAATGAAAAAGTGGTCAAGAAAGGAGCCAATGGGATAGCAAATGGATCCAATTGAGTAGGACTGGAATAGTACCCCAAGAGAAGCATCACAACGATAAATATCCTTTTTCACCCAGATATCCTGATTATCTAGATGGAGCCCTGTATATGAATCATTGTAGTGATTAAAAAATTGACCCATTCATTTGATTGGATCTTATTGATATAGATCGCGCTAGCCAGTGATCTAAGTAAAACAATGCAACAACAATTATATCTACTATACAGTTAAAATATTCATACACAATGAACATAGCATGATAATTTCTCATGCCCTCTTACTACTCTATGGAATAAAGATATGAGTTCTTTTTTCAATGCTGAATTTGACTATCTTTTCCATTTTTTGTGTATTGTACAAGGAGCCTAAATCCAACCTAGATAACATGATACAGAGTTAATTTCTATATTCCAAATATGCATTGAGTCACGCAAATAAAAAGTAAAGATTTCATGAGATTGTATCATGAATCTGAATTTCTATTTTAACATACTAGTTAATCTACATAGGAGGGATATCCACAACATCTCCTTCGATAAAATCTAATTTTTTTCCAAAGTTTAGATCAGATTACTAGATGAATTTCTAGAATAGTTTTTTATGGCCTAAACTTACTATGGAGAGTACGATGAAATAATTAAAAAATATCGTGTTGAGAAACTAAATAATAAAGTATAGGCTATTAAGATGAAATAATTAAACAGTATTGTGCTGAGAAATTAAATAATAAATTATAGTCTAATAAGGAAATTCATGTGTGAATCATATTTGAAAGAAATGAGTGTACAAGCAGAATGATATGTACAGTAATTAATAGACTTTGAGTTGTTGTCTGCCAGATAGATGTGCTTCAATATCAGCAAATTATTACTTTAGGATTGAAAGCATTTAAAACTATGTACATTTATGCACAACATGATGAGAGATTAGAATGAAACTATATTTATTGCTGAAAGATCATTGGCTGGTGCAGCATGTTCTGTTTGACTAAGATAGTTCTTTAATCTGAGGTGCACCGGTGGATATTTTCAGCGTGACGCTGTGGGGGCGAGTCGCATCCGTCCCGTTTGGATTTCACGGTGTCTTCACATCCTTTTGGCTGTGTCACTCGGTTTCCCGACTGTCTTCGCAGCGTCAGTGCGCTCCGGCTGTGAAAACGCAGTCGCGAAAAGTGCAACCAACATCTGGACGCCATGGGACGGGAGGCGTCGCCGGGCATGCACCAGAGCGAGGGTGGGGATCCGGGTCGGGGCGGGCAGCTGGCTCGAGGCCCGAGCACGCGACCTGGAATGTGTCAACGACCGTGACGCTTCGGGAGCAGTAATTCCCGATTGACTTCCGAGGGCGATTCAGTCTACCGCACAGACAACCGAGTAGGCGCGCATGCATGATGGATAATGAAAGAACGATGAATGGCCGCGGCAGGCAATCACTGCTCCACTCTCGCGCTTGCACAGATTCTGGCGAAAGTGCGCAATCGGCGCGGTTTGTGATCTCGGCCCCTGAGGCCAGACGCGCTTTCGGGACGCTCCTCCTCCGAAGCTGCGCCGCCCGCCCCTGGTTTGACCACCAGAGCTTGTCGTCGGCCGATCCGTCCACGCTACCTTCGCCGGCGACCGAGCACTCGGGACTGGCCCGACCGGCGACTGCAGAGGATGAAACATCCACCGGCGAGACCGACGCTGCACCGGCTTGGGCCGGCCGGCCGGCAGCTCGAGCCCGGTCTCGGGGTGGCGAGCAGCTCATCGTGGCGTTCGCACGTCGAGGACCCCGCGCGTGGAGACTGCGAGTCAAGTCGCGAGCGCTTGGGTCCGGGGCATACAAAGCGGGAGGATGTGCCCGGGGCTTTCACTGTTGGAGAGGAGGAGGACGCTGCAGCAAGAAAGCTCGGACCTTCGCGAGAGCTGCAGACTCTGGTTTGCGCGATTCGGCAGCAGTGGGACGAACTGCTCCAATTGCTCACAGACGGCCTTCACCGAGCGTGATCAGGCGTTCGAGAGTTCCCAGCAATCCTGTCCGTGTCACGTCAATCGTGAGCTTGTTCTTGCGCCAATCGTCCTGACTTTCTCGAGAGCTCGGACAGTTCCTCACGATTATGCAATGTTAGTGCGGCGCCGAGGTGGTGATCGGGGTACGGTTTCTTAGATTGGACTCGAGAGTCTCGGAGCCACCTTCGCCTCATCGGTGGTGCAGTGCAGAGAGAGACCCGGCTTCGGAGCTGATTCGTCATGGACCACAAACAGTTGAACAAGGAGCAGCTGGCGGAGCTGCAGGACATGTTTGAGAGATTTGACAGGGACCGCGATGGGAGTATCACAATGTTGGAGATGGGCGCACTCTTGCGATCTCTAGATCTTAAACCCGAGAATGCTCAGTTGTTCGAGGAGATGTTAATCAAGGCGGATGCCAACCACAACGGACTGATAGAGTTTGCGGAGTTCGCCGACCTCGTCGCTCCTGAGATGCTCCGCGAGGTCCGCTACAACCAAGAGGAGCTTCTAGCATTGTTCCGGGCCTTCGACCGCGACGGAAACGGGTTCATCACGGCCGTCGAGCTCGCGCAGTCTATGGCTCGTCTGGGACACACCTTGACGGTGAAGGAGCTGGCCGACATGATCAGAGAAGCGGACACCGACGGGGACGGCAGAATAAGCTTCACGGAATTCGCCGCTGCAATTTGTACTGCGGCTTTGGAGAACCAAACTGCGGCCACCAGTTCTATCGGAGTCTGTTAGCGGCGGAGCGCGCCTGCCTTCGACGACGGTGGCGGGCTTTGGGAATTGCCGGCGCCGTCTGCACATTCTGTGACATGTACATCTACGTTTGCATTTTGGACTAACTTCTGAATCTTGTCTCTCGACTCGTATGCACCGAGCATGGCCAGCGCGACCGCATAATTGCCGTTCATACATCCCATTTCATTTTGTACAGACTTCAGCTGCTGTTGAGAGCGATGCAGCGGTTGGTAGAGGCTGCAACGCCGCTTGCAGCAACGACGAAACGCGGGTATATTTTATTTTGAAGGTGATCAGTATAAGGAGCCGTAAAGATCTGGAGAAGAGTTTCTTGTTGGGAAGTGCTGAACACCACCTTAAGGTTTTTGACGTGTATGGAACCTACGAGTGATACCGAGTAAACAGTCAATCACGATCTCATCTGTGCTACAATGGAGCAGCCCAAGTCTCTATTTCTCTCTCTGTCTCTCTCCCACTCCTATGATGCGGGTCGTGCGTTTAGAACGAGATTACCTATTTTTGTGAACGCAATTGGACAAGTTTATTCCAGGTAGTTTATCGAACTTTTTTATACCTTGTTGTTAAATGGTCGAGAATATATTTTTGGATTCAATACACGCTGATGGAGACTTTAATACTGAATGATGGAGACTTTAATACTCGTGACATCTTCGTCGTTTTATCACACGTTTCGTTGCAAAGGTGCGGTCTTTCAAAAAGCATACGCTGAGGCGAATTCTGTCTCCCGGCGAGCTCCGGCCCACCCTGCGGTGTTCAAAACTCTGGAAAGAATGCGTTCTATTTCGTTCCATGTGAGGGTTGCGTGGCGACTGGGTTCCACTTCGTATCATGATGGTTTTATCCTTTACTGTGGACAGTATATTTTACTCACCACACATACGACCTTAAGAATAACTGCTCGTTGAAGGCAGCTTCTATTGATAGAGACTACACACTCCTTAACACTCTAGCGACACATGCCCGGATAGAAGGCAGTGTACAGAACATGTACTACTTCCTCCAAGCGAAATTGAAGTGTACATCCTGAGGCTGGTTGATCACGATTGGCTTTACACGAAGCTGGCTGACTGTGAGTAGACCTAGTTGCCCTTCGAATAACCATTCCAGGGTTTGTTTGTGCAAGAGCATGAAAATCCTCTCCAGGTTCTTGGTGTATTATAATTATACTCCCCAAACAAAGTTTGCGTCTTACTTTTCCCAAACGGACGGAAGGTAGTGTTCACACGAAAATATGCACATGTGCACAGCATCTTTACTTCATCTGGGCCAAGTAATGAGAACTCTCCCGATGTAAAGATGAATCCTAAACAGTGGCTAGGGCCTAGCAGCTGTTTAATTGAAAATATATTCTGTCCAAACTGATGCATGCAATCCTTTTAAAAATCAAAGTTACCGCACACTAACACAACAAAACCCTATGGAGGTGAGCAAAAGGGAGAGTATAAAAACTAAATAACAATGATGGAGAACATTCTGCAATTAACATGAGCTTCTGATTATTAAAGTCCTACTTATGAACTTAATCTATAGACTAGCTAAATTCCTCTACATAGAAATGGAATGAAGTAGTTTTTACGTATGATTTGCATCATGCTAAATTAGGCGATACGTTTCCCGTATAAGTTTTAATTTGAAGTCCAAGTTAACTCTCGTTAGACTGCTACTCTCTTCATCAAGCTTAGTTGCACCGTGATGTAAGAGTTCTTGTGTAAGTTCTCTATGGTACATTAAAGATTGATCAATGAAGTTATTTGTGTGCTAAAGTTAACATTGCTTCAAGTGTAGGTTGAAAACAATAAATCGGTCATGCATCACATGCTCAACATTTAAAATATGATGTATAAATTTAAGTTGTTCATTTTACTAAACACCAATTTGTCATAAAAATTTTACAACATATGATAATGCTAGTATGAATGCCGCTACACTCACTGCATGCCTTCGCTCGGGATGGAGGGGACCCGAACTATTCTCCTCCTCCTTCTGCACTGACGAGCTTGATAGTCAAAGAACCCTTTAGCGATAGGAAAAAAACTGCTTATGTAGTGAAAACTCTACACTTTACAGAAAACCGTCAAATACTGTCACATAAAAAACGTAACTCGTTAAAAAACCGTCACAAAACACATTATGACATAGACACTGAACCAGAACTTGCTCTCATACCAATTGTTAGTGTAAACCTCAGACTTAGCAAAACAACAACACGATAAACACAAAAGACACACGTATAACGTGATTCACTCTCAAGGACTACATCCACGGAATAGTACACTTGAAAGAATTTGCTGCTTGAAGTGAGAAACTTTTTACCACATTTAGGTTATATATATCCAAAAGGGTACGACTAGGGCCACAACCGTTTTTGCTACGGCCACACCTGTTTTTGCTACGGCCACACCCGCCCGTGTAAGTTGCCTCGATCAAAGCCGCCGAAGAGGGTTGAAGCGGCAGCGGTACAAGCGGCAGCAACGCGGGAGACAGCGACGGCCGCAGCGGACCTGCGCCCCTCGAAGCCTCTCGACTACGCTCTCCTCTGGCACGCGAACGAGCTCGGGTTAGCAGCTTGGTTTGAGGGGAGACGTGCTTTGTATGTAGCAGGTGTGGCCGTAGCAAAAACGAGTGTGGCCCTAGTCGTCCCCTATCCAAAATAGTCAACCACTCTATGTTATAAATAGTTACATATATGATTAACCTGAGTTAACTCTTTAACCGAAGTTAAACTCAACATTTATTAGTTAAAAAATCTTATCTTTTACAAATCAAAAAATATAAATAGAAAAATATATTTTTTTATATTCAAATTGAAACTAATCAATTTTATGTCAAAAAATTATAAAAATTAATAAAAGAATATATTCAAAAAATTTAATGAAATCAAATAGATGTTTTATAGCTTTTTTTGTTTTTGTCTAGATATAAATTCAATTTTCAAACAAAAAATTTGGATGAAAATATTTTAATTTTGAAATAAAATATCATCATGTATTTGAGTATTCAAAAAATTCTAATTTCATTTTTTGAAATAATAATTTAATTTTTCTTCTATTCTTTTTAACAAAAAAAATTATAAATTTTTCGGATATTTTGTAACCGAAAATAAGATTCATCTGACATAAATTTCATTTGTTAAAAAATTATTTGCATCACATTTCAAATAAAGTGTGCAAATAGATACAATTGTCAATTTCATTTAATAATATTAAATAAATAAATAAATTATTTGAAAAAATTAATGTTATAAAATTAAGAAGCAAAAGATATTCATCATTCTGTAATGAATTTTAAGGAACGAAATAATTTATTAAATTATTTATATTCATATTTTAAGCAAAAGATTTCATTGCAAATATAAAATAATTTCTTTCAAAATTATACTTCTATATAAAAATTTGGTTGCAAAAATCTAAAATTTAAATTATATGAATCTCAAGTTTTTTAATTCAGTTTTAATATAGAAATACTTTTTGAGTATAAAATAAATTCATATAAAAATATGAACTAATCAATAAATTTTACATAAAAAAAAAGTATAACACATTAAACACATTTTTCTATAGTATAAAGTGAAGGATGATAAATTTCACAAGAACTTGGATTTATGTTCAGAAATTTCAACTTATAAATTGATTTTGATTTTAATTTCATAATCTTAAGTTTATAATTTCAACTATTCATAAAAAAGTAAATCATAATTAGGTCAGATATGTATAATACATAAAATTTCTTGAACAAAAATGTTTATAACCCATATCATTGATGTTTAATCAAAATCATACAACTTACGCATATCATTAAATAGTTAAAATGATATTTATAAATATAAGATTGGATTATATATATTAATCGGATTAATAGGAAAGAATTAAATAAACATATCCAAATTATGATGGTAAGAAAATTGTTTAATTTTTTTACATTAGTTATAAATTAGTGAGACAATCAATCATATAGAAAAAATACATAATAATCTGTAAATATTACAAGATATGATTTTTTATATATTTTAATAAATTCATGTTTGACAAATGTGAATGCAAACGTTGTGTAAGATAATAAAATTTGCAAAATCTATTGTGATAACAAAATTTTAAGAAATCATGATTTTCAATAAATGGTTACAGACAATGTTAATCATAGTGAAGATTACAGAACTTTATAATTTTTTCAATTCAGATTTGATCCTATTTTGATTAAATATTACTAAAGTATGAAATATAGTAACCATTATGTTTCAAAAAAACAAAAAAAATTTCATAATTAAATAAAACATGTGAAATTACTGACAAATAAAATATGAAATTATTAATTATGTGATAAATTATTGGACAAAAATTGTTATCTTTTATGAAATTTGCAAAAATATTTTTTTGTCCATTTGACAAATCTCACAACTAGCAATTCATGATGAAAAATGATTTGATTCATCAAGAATAACTCTTGTGATTTTTTGTTTATAATTTTCTGCATTTATAGTTTGATCACACAAATTTGTAAATAATAAGATAAAATAAACATCATAAAACTATGTTGTAGACATATTAAAAATCACGACTCCTTAATACAGATATATATAGATATATATATCTGTATATATATATATATATATATATATATATATCTATATAGATAAAACCCAGTATTATTCAAAAATACAATTATCATTAAATGGCTTTACACATAAAGTTTGAATTCATCACAATTCATTTGTAAAATCTATATTTCATTCAATAATTTGAACTCTGCTCTTTTATCACAATGATCATGTTTCAAATTATGAATTTTAACATCATATATCTTTTCAGTAGCTATATCTATGAAATCTGTAGTTGCTATATTTTTACATCACTATATTAAAAAAATTACATTTCAAAGCATAGTTATTTCAAAATGTTCAAGATAAAATAGTTTTGCAACTTGAGCTTTAATTCGTGAAATTAGTTCAAGCTAATGATCAATTAATTTCAAAATTTTATTTTCAAAGTCATAAAACCTACAGAGCAATATTACTAATACTCATGAGTATCAAAAAAAGTCAAACATATTTTTCACAATGTTTAGTTTATCTTCAACATTAAAACAAGATATCATCATATTCTATTTCTTGTTTGGAATATTTGATCCATATGAAATTTTACCTATTCATTTGACTTACTAATTGATTAATTTTGTTAAATTTTGTTCAAATTCTCAATGATTTTCTCCAGTTTTGGAGCAAATCATTGTTGCAATATAAAAAACTTCAAATACAAAAAATTCGGCAAAATCAATCGCTAAAATTAGTCTTACAATTTTTACGTGATTTCAACTCGAATAATTTTCAATTTATCAGTGATTTTAAAATTTGAAGATCATTGCAACTTAAACCAATTTATACAATCATAAATACATATTGAAAAAAATAAATCAATTATATTTGTTTACTCTTATGAATAGATGCTTGAAAATTGATTTAGTGTGTAGATAAATTTTTGACAGATAAATATATTGTTAAAAACATTTCAATAACAGTAAAACTGTATTAAAATGAAATCTTATTCTTAAATTTTCAAATAAAGTTTAATTCATTTAGAATTCTTAATAATCTGATTTTTTCTATAAATTATGGCATTTGAATCCAATAAAATTTGTTGTGATATAGATTAATATTACAAGTATAAAACTTTTCGTCACTCACGGTAAGCTTTTATTTCAATTCCAGGACTACAAGTGCAAGTGTTTCAGCGCCATATCGTCATGCATCGAAATTGTTTATTGACGATTGAGATCAGTCAGAACATTTTGAATCTCTTATAGGAAAAATCTACGTGGCCCTTGTCATCTGGAAACAGCGGACTGATGATAAGAACAGGAGCCAAACGCTATCTTCACTCACTCACTCACTAGTTATGGCTTTTCCATTCTAAGCTTTTGCTACACGAACTCTCCAAGAAGCCTCGTCGGCAACCGGTTGAAAAAATAGGAATCCTATAGTCAAGAGTGGTCCAGCCACAATAAAAGTCTAGACTACGTAATCTTCGTTCATACGATACGTATACGTATGTGTTGGTTGGCACGATTATGTGTGATGGTGTCGATCGTCCTGATTTCGCAGCATCTCAGTTCATCTCATCTCATCTACTCACCTTTGATTTCCGAGGTGATTTCTTTCTCTGTGGGTTGTTCAGGCTCAGCTGAACCTTGGTCGAGTGAATCGGCGGAGCCGTAGGGCGGGAGAATCGTGTACTCCCATGTGCGAGAGTGCAGAACTTTGTCGACTATGGAGTCACCCACAGCAAAACTGGCTCTCAAAATCTCCCATGGAATTCCCAAGTACATCGATTGCTTTCCAGCGAAGAAAGTCTTTGCGGGGCTGCACCAAGGTTGCACAAGGATCGCCTATTAGCTTCTCATTACTGAACGGAGAAACCTGCTTTTCTGAACTGAAACGAAAGATTGAAACCGGAGTCCTAGAGGTGATGATGTACATCGGCATAGAGATATTACCCAGAATTATCAGCGACCGTGAAGTGGGTAATCTCCTCGTCGTAGTCGCCTGTGATCAGGTATCCATAACCTTTAGGAATAGAGATGACTTGACCTTCACAGATTCTGGTGTCTAGAATCTGGTCATTCTTGAATGGCTCCACCATAACCAAATGGCCTCGACCTTTGATCACGTACAAGAGCTGGTTCACGTTTGTGGAGAACATGGGCCCGTACATAGACCTCTGCAATGGAAACGAAGAGAATTCTTAGAGAAGATAATAATGAAAGGTCAGCATAGCTGAACACCTGCATATACCTTCACTGACTTTGATCACCATCATAAAGCAGGAAAAGGCACAGCAGCGTTTCACCGAATCACACAAACCAAAACCCAGACCTTCATCTGGCTCGTGGACTTACAGAGTATTGCTCGATAAGCTCTCCGGCGAGATTGATTTTTCGCAAAATGCTATGACGGACGCTCTTGGAGGCTAGGACCGTCCATTGCTTGCCTCCTCCAGGCATGTAGAGGTCGGGATCGACAGTCCACGTGGGGAAGACGTACTCACAATTAAAAGCTGCTTTCGCTTCGGGTCTCGAGAGGTTGATCTTGACCGACAGTTTCACGAACAAGCTCGACCCTTGGTTGTGCATGACCTTCCTCGCTGTGACCTTCTCGACTGCCCATGCATCTGCCACAGACTTGTCATCGAATCCTTGGTACATACTCGCCGAACCCACCACGGGCAGTGCCTGCACATTTGGACAGAATTCCGAGGTCAGTGTGGATCGTGCAACCGGGGATGTTGAAACTATGTACTACCCATACTAGCGGTTCATCTGTTTTGTTTCTGCTTGAAGTTCATTGCAAGCTGTGTGAGTCCAATCGTGACCAGGTCATGCATGCATTGTGAATAAAGCCCTCCAGTCTCATCAGGCACACTGATCTCGAATTCTGAATTTCCTTCACTCGTGGATCAAATTAACAGCTGAAGTAATCTCGAGTGTTCATATCCCTGGACCGTACTTTGGATCCAGATCTTTGTTGCTCTCCTGATTCTGAGTTGCGAGAAAGAGCTGAACGAGATCTTACCGTGATTCGGCCAGGCTTAAGACCGCAGGATGTTTCGCCGACGCCGATGAATGAGAAAGTGTTGGACTCATCCTCATTGTAAAACCATACGACTGCCTCTTTGGGAATCACAAAAGCATCTCCTGCTTTCAGGGTAGAAACGGCATCGACCCAATCTCCGCTTCCATAAACCATCCCCCACTTTGCACAACCTGCCACATCGAGCGGATCCTGTCACATCAAACTATGTGCGTGCCCCGTGTCCTTCACTGCGAGTTTGACTGTACATGTATTGTATTCAAAACACGAAATGAACTGGATGCAATTTGCGAAGGACATGCTCGGGATCAGATCAGCGAAGGCTTGGAAAGCTGGAAACTTCAACGCAGCTAGACACGAAAGTCCTCGAAGATTCCAACACTGCCGGTACACAATAAGACCCGATATTCGTACCTGCAGTAACGATGCATTCACCGACACCGGGACTTTTGCTGACAGACGATGCGTGCATGATTGCTCTGCGGTTGATGTTGTTGGAAAAGTGAGGAATTCTCAACTGAAGTGAAGTGCCGATGGATCGTACCTTCTATGACGTGAGCCAGAATGTCAGTGTCGAAGTGGGCTGGCTGCATGATGCTGTTACCCCACAGGGAGATCTTCATGAAAGCCAATCCATTGCCTCGAGCTTCATACAACTCAAATTTTCCACCGTCGTTTTGGTGAACGTTCGTGGGATAGTCTGGTCTCAAACTGCTGCCGAAAAGACTGAGAGAAGAAACTTTTAAGTTGAAGGCTGAAGAACATTTGAGCCCCAGAAGGAGCTGCGAGAAAAGCAGCACAGTGTGCAAAGCACGAACACTCCTTCCTGCTGCCATGGTGGCGCAGCTGTAGTAAGTGCTCGCAACGAAACTTTCCAATTTCTGTGCCACTCCTCTCCGCCCACTACCTGCGGCGGAGTGCTGAGTACACTCGAGTGGAAGTGACTTATCGGAATGATGTGATCAGCTTCCTAGCCCGTCCATTTAAGTACGAATGAAAGTGCACTAAGCTGTGTCCCACAAGACTGGCAATATTATGACTCTGGATTGCAGTCACACATCAATTTGCCACACACTGGATTCTGAATGGTGAGTGCCATCCATTTCAATTCTCCATGTTCTTCACAAGATTCTGTGGAATTCTTCATAGTGTGCTGTAACTAGAGGACAGTCTGGCGGTCTGCAAATATGAGCACATGGGAATTTTATCGAAGCAACGACAAACGCCATTGATTCTTCAGCGTCATTTGCCTACCATGATGTGCAATGTAGTTTCTCTACAATAATCTTAAGGACCATTACGAGTGCCAATGGCCACAGGCAAGGATGAGTTGCATAAAATTGAAGATACATGGGGCGTTTTAAAGCACGATGCATGCAGTTTCGGTTGCATAAACTCTTGATACAAGGTCGATTGGTCGGTGATTCCGTTGCTGCGTGCAATTTTCGGGAGTAGTGGCAATTTTAACGATCAGAAAGGTGCTGAAAATTGGAAATTAGAGCCTTTTCCGTTCATTCCTTCAGTCTTCTTCGGCTCTTCAGACTCTACATGGCAGGCAAAGAATAGGAAACAATGTAGACAATTGCCAGCTGTGAAGTCAGATCGAAGAAGCTCGTGGGGCCCAGTTTCAGGGCGTGGAATTCTTCACTTTGCCAAGTTGCCAAGAGTCTGAGGACTGAACAGGGCTCCGCAGAGGCCGTCGAGCCTGTATTCAGATGAGTGGTGTGCAGAAATGGTATAAGTGATGCCTACTGCTTCATCGGTCTCTAATGCCTTCAATGATATTGTTTTCGAAATGGGCCTGGGACTATGTATAGCGCTCTAGATATGAGTGCGCTCGTGCAATCAAGATTGGTTGTTACCACGAGGCAGGACAATTCTGAGACACTTGGCCGGCCCTTCCCCGATGCCTGATAGGACTCAGAGCTATCTTCATGCGAGTTTGAGGCGAGGATCTTTGGTGGAGATTGAAAAAATTGGAGCTTTTAAGATTTTGATTTTGTTTCTTCGTTTTTAATTTCATAACTAGAACTGAAGTTATCGTTCTGAATTATAGTCTCCAGCGTCAGCATCTAAAATTTCTACCGACCATCAGTCATTAAATAAAGCTGCACAACAGTTGTGACCTCCACCAGGCTTATAAATCGAAAGCAGATGCCTTTCTATTTCTACCTTCTCGACGCCTTAGCTAGACCTACAGGAGATTCTATCAAGTTGCAGCCATTCTTTCTACTATGCAATCTTTTCCTTCTGTGTAGCTTCTGTTACTCCACGACAAGCTTTACTTGTGTTTTGTAATACCAATGTAGACCAAAGTCAGCGCGTACAAGTCCCCGATATACATGGACTTAATGCAAATAGCCAAAATCGCAAGTTTCGCTCAAAAATGGGTTTTTAAAAGAAGCTGTGAGTGCATCTTTGCTCTTCTTTCAGCAACGTTGGCTTAAAGTAGTCTGCACAGACATGGTCGATACAATAGTCATCAACAATCAATGCAGTGCATCTTTCATCGCTCAAATCCAAACACAATAACTTACGTCATAGCTGATCAATTTCAGGATGAGCTGTGGTTTGGGTTAACCTATGGGAAATGGATCAATTGTGGTCATCGCAGCTCTATAAGTATTGATTAAAGGCATAATTACGCAAACCAGTTTTTGTGCTGAAATGAGAGCAGGGCACCATCTTGGGCTTGACTTTTGGAATTTTCAATCAAGCTCTCTGATGATAATTTCGTCTATCTTGTGACTCGTCTAGACACTCATGGTAGCTGTGAACATGGACTGAAGTTTTTAGACACGCATATCAAGAGTCATGATTGGACGTGATATGGCAGACAGGAAGCAGATCAGTGGTACACTGCAGCCGCCGTAAAGGGACTGCAAAGAATCCGGGAACCATACAGCGTGAAACTATGTCCTACTTCTGAAAAATTGGTCTACAGAGAATTATGTTGTTTGATATAGACAGAGAGGATGAACGAACAAGGCTCCACCGTCTGCTACACTGCAATGTTGGTTTTGAAATAAGTGTTGGTTTTGCAGTCTTATATCTGATAATTTCTTGTGCTTGAAGTGCTACGAAATCAGTATAATACTCCTACTGCATATCTCATCTCAAAACACTGTTTATCTCATCCGTTGACCGAAACAGATGCTGCATCATCTTCCATGTCTCCCGTCGTTCTCTTTCACTGTCAGCGATTCACTTTTCACTTGCCAAGATCGTCGCCTAGGTGTGATTCATGGCTAGCGCCATGGAATCGCACCTGTGCAGAAAAGATTAGTGGCGATTTCCTACAGTCTACAATGCAGGCTGAGCTCCGACTTCTGGATTGCCTTCAGATATAACTCTTGCCTACATTATCAAGAAGACCTTGACCCCAACTTTCCTGGCGCGGTATGTATGGCTACATAACAGTGAACTGAACAGAAGATACGATTGAGCTTGATCTGTGATAGCAGTTGGCTGGATTTGATTGCGACCTTTCGCTGGGATCCAGAAATAATTTGTAAGATCTCGATTGAGCTCTGATAAAGCAATCCAAGAGCTGAGATATGAAGGCTCAAGTGTATTTGATTGTATTGTGCAAATTCTGAAATCGTATCAAATCCATTAGAATCATTTGAAAACTCTTTGATCTATTGATTCTGATATTGATGTCCACTACCATGCAAGCAAAGCTTTGCATTCAATAGTCATTGTGCAAACGCCAGTTTCGGACTCACTGGTGACTAGACAAGCTCATTCTCAATCTGAAATTATATTGATCATTCTCCAATCTTTACACTAAAATCTATACTCTATCTAGGTCTGACCTCTGAGAACCCTCTGGATCTCCGTTTGTAAAACGTATACGTCCTTCATGTCCGATTGTCCCTCTTTTACCTTTCGATGATATAATGCATATTGATTTCAGCATTGAGATTACCTGTGAGTGTCCCCATTGCTGGTCCTGAGTCCATCGCGCACCAGCACCTGTCCCTATTTTATCGAGCAGTCCACTTTCCAATCAGAACGATAGTTGAACGTGAGGTCTACCTTCGGCAAAGATCTACATCTATGTCTGATTTTTAAATTCCTTGGGGTAAGTTAAATGTAAAGTATGATTCCTCTATATCCAAAGCCGCACGTACGAACCAAGCTGCCACTCTCATCGACGTAACATCATACAATTCGTATCAATTCAGAAATGAGCGATAGATGAGTCTCAGAGGGATTCTCGGAGGTTGAATATAAGCCTAGATCTGAACTCCTTGTCCGACGGCGGATCCTTGAGTGAACGATGAAGCTGTCCCCAGCGCAAGAATATTGAAATGTTGCTCCTCTTGAATCCTCCTTCGTTCGAGATTCCAGCCGGCGAGGTCTTAAAGTTGGCTTACCCACGTTGACCTGCAAAATGCCTCAAGTGCATGGAAGTTCCTAATTCTACGATCCTACGATCATTCCTAGTTACACACATCAAGAACCGTAAAACCTAGTACATACAATCTGATCTATGGTGATAAATACAATGTCGAAATCTGTGGAAAAAAAAACGAGGAATTGAATTGAAGATGAGAATAAGAATTGAACAGCACGAGGCAATGGGAAGGATACGGGCGAGGGCGAGCAGCACGGCAGCTATTTGTACTTGCCGACGGCGAAGCGCTCGAAGCCCCACTTGACGACGCGGAGCTCGTCGCCGCCGAAGCAGTGCTTGAGCACGCGCTCGGGCGGCTCGTAGGGGCGCTGGGTCTGCTGGCCGAGGTCGCGCAGCTTCTCCTGGACGATGATGCGGCAGCCATTGGGCAGGCGGTAGCGGAACCAGCGGATGACGTTGTTGGGCATGCGCTTCTGCGTGAACTTGCCCTGCGTGTTCTCGAGCATGTGCTTCTGCTCGCGCAGCACGTCCACCAGCACGCCGCGGAACTCTGGGATCCATGTCATCATGATCTTGACGCACCGCCGCAGCAGCTGCATGAGCACCTCGCGGTTGATCCTCTCCTTGTACAGCCGCTCCAGGCTCACGAAGAACACATTCTGGCTGTACAGGAATCTCATGACCCCGTGCCCTTCCAACTCGATCCTCCTCAACATCTGCGTCATCGCCGCTCGGTCATTCTCTGCTCTCTGCCTCTCCTTCTCTGGGTCCACATTCTCCTTTCCCACCTCCGCCATCGTCCCAAATTCACGATCCCAGCCGAGCTTGGTCTTTTCTTCTGAGATTATCGTCCCGGTCGAATTGCTGCTGCAAGAATTTATGGTAATCCTCTCTCTCTCTCTCTCTCTCTCTCGATCGATCGATCGAGCTATCCAGATCTAGCGTTGGACCGATCGTCGAAACGGTGCGTTTCTGTCCAAAGGGCGTCGGGAGGTCAGGTGAAGATGGTGCTGATAACGCATGCAGATCGAAGGGACGTCACGTCGGGATAAGTATTTAAGGGGGCCTCTTGTAGAACAATCAGGGTCTAGATCAACAACATCCCAATCATTTCGTACGTCTGCAATTCATGATCCTTATTGCTGTTGGTCGACCTTCACTGTATTTCCTACTGCGGCTGTCGGCCTGCATCATTCTTAGATATACATGAGTAGTTCTGCATTTGGGACTGCTAGTCGCAAGAGGACAGACATTCTGTGTTCATGTCCCAGCGCAGCAGCATCAACACCATAAATCCTTTGGATGGATTCAATGAACAGTGGGATTCAGATTCAACCATATGATACTTCAGATTTGGCTTGCATCAGATGACGTATAATCTTGGATCACGCTAATAAATATAGGTGGAATCTTTCTCTATCCTAAAAATGCTGAGAAATTTCTCTCTTCAAATAGCTTCTATCAATCCATGGGCTTGGGTAGGGAGTACCAGATGACGTCTGATGGTAATTATGTATTGATATATTCTTGCATTGAACCTATCCTATATTGACGAGCCACACATATCCTCTTCATGAGACTTGTAACATATGATATAACGTCTCTTCACTGAAATCCTAGAGGATCGGTCAGTTTGCAAATATGTATGAGATTTGGGCTTATACATCATAGCTGCAAACACACCGCAGTTTCAGATTGCAGTACAAGGTACTGCAATTACTCCAAAGAAACAATTAAATTTCGTCACTTTCATGTCGAACCTTTATTTCGTGTCTGTATAAATTTTTGATCACAAACAATGTCCTTAGCTAATTTCACATTCTTTATGAAATTTGAGGGTATCTTTGCAACTAATATTATTTTACACAATCTCATAAGGTTTAGTTCAACATGTCATGCATTGTAGTCTTACTTATCAACTAAGACCACTCTAAAGACAATAATAGAAAATTAGAACCCTTTTCGGAACTTGTTTTCTCTGCTCCTCTGTACTTGGAGGTGGGGTAGTTTCGTGATCCAAAGAGTAATTCACTGGACTCCAAGAATATATTTGATTCGGTGTAAGAGAACAAACTTTAAAGGTTGAGCTCTTTCAACGATAGGTAAAATACAAAGTCTGTAGAAGCGAAATCTATTGGAAGGCATAATCTTGGACGCGCAAGATGAAACTAGACCCTCATTTTCCCACATCAGACTTGAGATTTCAAAGTGACCGCCGGACCTTGCTATGAAAGTAACTGTTTGTTAAGTGTGCACCTCCCGTTCAAGTAAGCATAATCTTCTATGGTATCAATTTGTGTACTCAACAGGGAGATTACTGCACACGAGCACGGCAAAGCCGTCAAGAAGACACAGAGCTTGTCTTCTTGAACTTCCCAGACACGAGGTACAGAGTACTAGGACGGCTGCAAAATACATTTCCTTACACCTTCTACATTCATATTATCTTTCCATGATTTTTCTTTTCTTAAAAAAACTATCCTAAATGTATCTCTGAAATAACACATATAATGTTCTTTACATATAAACACACATGAGTCAACTTAAAATGAATAAAGACAAAGTAATCTATTATGGAATCTGTTAATGAAATCTAGTCAAATTTTAATTATATTTTTTTTATCATGTTTGCTACCAGTTTATGACTTCTCTTCTCATGCAAATATTAGTATATCAAACATGATTATATTTACTATGGATGATAAAAAGATTTATCGTCCATAATAATTATAATCATGTTTGAATTGAATAAAGATAGTAATTTATTATGAAATCTATTAATTGCAAGTGAAAATTGCCAAAATATTATTCATTTTAATAAATTCATTTATCATATTAAATGAAGATTTTGCGTGTTAAAAAAAAATTTATCATTATCATATGGAAGATTAAATGCATGGATCAAGACCTAAGAAAGAAAATGATGTTAATACTTTCTCACTGGCTCATTTAATAAAAATCAAACGTCAATATGAAATACTTGTAAGATTTAATTTTTTTTAAAAAATTACATCTTAGACATGGACAACTATTATAGAATTCCAGTCTTAGGAAAAATCAAAGTTGTTCTTAACGTGTGTTGCAAATGATAAGAATTTTCAATTGTAACTCATAAACACATCTTATGTATGATACTAATTAACACTCACATGATACTGATTGAAATAAAATTTCATTCCGATCTAGTTGGTGTGTTCACAGAAATGAACTATTTATGATTTTTACTATGCATAGCTTCAAAATTGAAAGATGAAAAAACAAATTCTACTATTTGATAATCTGAGCAAAAATCAAATATCAGTCCATGTAAGTTGTAATGATATCAAAGTAAACCTCAGCATTTTTATTTGCAAATCAATGAAATCTATGTGCACAAGATCATTGCACTTAGACTACAAGAATGGAGTTAACAATTGGAACTTTGATTTCTTGGTTTCTATACGGATAGTTTCTCATTATGAATTTCTCAAAAAATTACAAGCGGCGCATGTACTGAAATGCGATGCATCACATGTTGAACTACTTTATGTTGTTAACGTGGAGATGATCACCTAGATGTTCTACATCATGGGCAAATTTTTGAAGCACTCAAACTACAACTATGAGCAAAATGATAAGCAATTGTACCTACAATGGTAATGTGAGAGCAAATTGGTTTTTTTCACCTACGCTACAATAGCGTACTCAATTGCAGTAGTGAATTTCAAAGCCAAGTCAATTTGGCAGTGGGAAAAAGCCCCAAGTGAACAATATTACCACCACAAAAAAATTGTTGTGGCCAAATTGACATATGTGAAAATTATTGTAGATCGACTCATTACACCATCAATAGAAATGGTGGGATACATAATCACACCATTAACGCTTTTTGCTTGTTTGCGTTTTTGCCTTGCTTTTTTTCTCTACCTCAATATCATCTCTGCTTGTTATTGATTATAAAATGAAAGTAAAATGCATTCGCATCATATCTTCCAAAATTGAAAAGATACACATTATCATCAAGGAGTATATTTCCACAATCTATAATTACTTCCTCAAGTGACAAAATATATTTAACAAGATTTTATGACTCTAAGATCTTACATTCAAACAAGTAATGTTACACATAGTCATAAAAAATGTTGAAAAAACACAATCACACAATTGTTAGAAAAAATCACCAAAAAAATTGAGAACAAACAAGCACACACTCAAAATAAAATTATATTCCGACACTAAAATATGCAGTTTGCCAATGCATATTAAGTTCACGGTAACACAAAAAAATTTATTGGTAAAATCCAAATTTGTATTGACGATTGCTTTCGTTGAACTTTCTTGTCAGTGTAAGTTTGATCTAAAATTTTAATGAGGGTTAACTAACCTAAGTTTACATAAAATCCAAGTGAATTGAGCAAAAATTGGCTAGACTTGAGTATCTAGTTTTATATGTTAGTAATTTACAAAATCATGCAATCTCATTATGATGTGTTGAAGTATAAACTGAACAATATGTAGATGTTATAATGTTTTTTCATTTCAAATTGCGCATTAAGCTATGCCTAAAAAAGTTTTTTAAATTCCTATATTTGTCTCCCAATTAATTTGAATTTTTTGTTTTTTGTTTAAAATACATTTGGAAAAAAGTATCAATATGCTAATTTTTTGATTTTATCTATTATTGCCATTTTTCTAAATAAACGCAAGGAGTTTTGACAATTTCCCAATTTAGAACATGTTGAAAATGGCTTACATAAATTGATAATAAATCAAAGTATAAAGTAGATCATTCTGAAAAGAATATAATTGCTATACATGGAACTTGTGCAAAACCTAAAAATATCAATCAATCTATTTAGACTTGAACTCTTTGATGCCATGTAGTATGCAGAACTTTGGTTCCATATACTTCCATCATCTAGATATACTAAAAAAAACTTACCGAATAAATCAATATCTACCACCATCTTAACTTCATCCATGTAAGTTTGATATCACATGACCATAATTTGTTGCTAAATTTTTAATACCATTGTAGTGAATGAATAAGGTCTTCGTGTGCGTCGTAAAGCCATTTCCGGGCCTTCGTACCCTGTAAAGCCAAAGAAAAATAAAATGAAGTAATGATAACAAAAAGATGGTAACACACATCAAGCGATAAAACAATAGAACTAAACCGATGAAGATATTTAAACCCAAGAACAAATACACTTTCAAGTTCATTTTAGAAATCAAATATGTTTAAATCAAGGGTTTAAACCTATCAAGAATTAAATCTATCAATAAAGTCACCAACTAGTGTTCTATGTAAAATGTCCAAAAATATATTTTCATATGGAAAGTGTATTTTTTTTCATTGACATTAAAGAAAATGAACGTGTAGTTATCTCTCACTTTAGTCTAATTATCCCTCATCTAACCAGAAAGAGATATAATAGCCAAATCAACGTGATAATGCACGTGGTGCAATTGAGGTGGGACTTCGCCAAGAACCGGGAAGTGGACATGATCCACGCCCGATGTTGGGAATTTACGATCCATCCCGAGTTTCTCGAGGCAGGTGGCGGTAAAACTGGGACGAGAGATTGCCAGTTTCAGGATCTGCTCAGGAGACGAAACTGCTCGAGGCAGGGAGTAGGAAGCGTCCGAAGATGAAATCGGACAATGATCTCTATTATGTCCTCGGGTAGATTGCTCCACAGGGCAGGATCGAGGTCGATTTCCATCGATCTGGTGACAAACGAGGTCCTCGTCGTCGTCGTGGAGACTTCTCTCGGGCCTCAGCAGACTGCAAAACTCTTCTCAAAGGTTGACACGGGCCGATCGACCCTCAGGTGAGACCAGAGCTCCATCCACGGACTGAGAATCGCACATGTCATGCCATGCCACTCGCGATTGCAGCCCCTCCGGACTGGTGATTCAGCCTATTGTCACCGGCAAGGGCCCCATCGAGAACTCGTCCTACCACTTAGATGACTTGGCTAATTATCCCTCACCCTAGTATAGTAGGGTGAGGGATAATTAGCCGCTCCCTAGAGAAATCAATAGTATGATGGGGTTTCAACAAGATTCTTAGTCGCAATTTCACGTGAGATTGGTGCTCCGCATGGTCGGTAGAAAGCACACCAGTTTCAGGATCGTTCATATTTATCATACGTGGTTTAACAAAGCATGAATCCGGTTGACATATGTCTTTTTCGCAGGCAGTGAAAGATTTGGTTCTTCGATACCGGAATTCTACCAGCCAATGCAACCAATCCTCGGACTTCGGCATAAAGATACATTGTATATTCCACCACATTGTTGAGCACCTACTACTGATGAAGCGAATTTTAATTGAAATTACGAACCCAGCCATTTTTGCCGGTTTCCAGCGGCTTGTTATGAGACGACTTGATACGCCTTTCATTCCATTTCGGTAAGTGAGATTCGAGATTTCTAGTCTACTAGAGCAAATCCCCAAATAGATGTGGAGCAAATTGCCAATTGCGTTTCACCTTCGCCAGAACATAATTAGAACGCAAACTTGTGTATCACTGCGGTCAGGAACAGCAAGGGAGATGTATCAGCTGCCTTCAATATCTTTACCATCCCTCGTTCACTGTTGAGCCAAGAATCGCTGTGGAGCACATAGCTGTGATCGAAATACAATGAAAATTGGTTGCATGGACACCTTTAGATCAACTTCTTTCCGTGCTCGCTACTGAAAGGGTACGAATCGCACTCAATTACGCTATTGTATTGCAATTTGAAAAGCGTCCAACATGTGTACAAGGCCATTTATGAGTAAATTCGATAATCCTTGTATAAAATGATTTCCTCGATGATACACAAGTTACGACTTACGCAGTAACAGAAACGACTGCTGAAGAATTGCCTCAACAGCAGTAAGGTCAGCTAGATCAAATTAGCTTGAATGTAGCAGATTATTGCTTGCCGAGTGCTAAGAAACTAGAAAGAAGGAGTAAATGGAGCCACGTTGTCGAAAGAGATTGTGGACAATAAATCTACCTAGATCTACCTGTAATAATACTTTAGAAACTACCACACGCTTCCACCCCCACCCTTTCAAAACAAACCGGGCTACAATAAATACGCTGACACACATCCGACATGGAGTAATTCGCTTTCGTATCGATCAAAGATAAACCAAACCAGTCGTCTATAACACAATGGGTAAGAAATCCCCCTATACTGGAACAGTGATATTTTACGCGACAACTTCAGAGCTCTTTCATTACGTCCCCATACCAGAGTACAAATTTCGTGAATCCAGGGCCTGCTGGCAAAACAAACAGAAAATTGCTTAGTATGGAATCAGTAAACAGCTCAAAGAACAAACCACCACAGCGTATATGCATCTTCATGTCGGTCTTCATGATGTTGACGCTCTCAAATTAGCAGGATACAAATGTACAACAGACTTGCGATAAACTTCGAAATTCTCCACTAGTCAACGAACGGTGGTCGAGACATAGCTGTTGTGCTCTGGCTAGAACTCATATATTGTTGAGGTAAAAAAATTTGGAAGTTAATTCTAAAACCATGACCCTAAATCTGATGAACAATTCATCAACAACTGCTACCTTCCCTATCTTCAGTCCAGACGAGCGTTTTCTTACCGCAAAAATTGGATAAACTTGGTAAATGAAACATAGAATAATATCCGCGATTGGTACTGAGGAAGTTTCTGTAAGGCTCCGCTAGTAAAGAGTCAAACTTCAGGGATATAGTCCAGTCAATAAGCTTGGGATGTGTCGAAATCTAATTGGGAAAAATTTGAAAATCTTGGGGAAATCTTGATGATTTTACTTGAACATGGAATGCGCACAACAGAAGGAAGCAAAAATATGTCCTCAGTTACACAGCAGTCCGACAAAAGCTTTTTGATGGCTTCAATCACCCCAAAACTACCCGAGAACAAGGTAAACACAACGCACGAGGACAGAATCACTTACAGTAGTCATAAATCATTTGAATCTGAACTGATGCAGCACTTGTGGCAAGCAGGTGGCAGTTTGTACAAGCAGATTGGGTGTTCTTCGTGCGTGGGCATATAGTATTCATAAGCCTAAAGCATTCACAGCGGTTTTCTTGGTACAATCAAACGGACCCGGCTGCTGTCCCGGTCTTTTCACCTGCAAGATGACAGGCAAAAATGCTGAGAATATCAATCAAGGGTGGCAACCTGTATTTCTACTCAGCACTGCAGATGGTTAGTTGAATACCGGAGACCACGGATTGGGAGGAGCTTGGGGTTTGTTAGGTGGCGAGTGTTGCACGGCTCCAGTACTTTTCATCAGTATTGCTTCCTGCACGTTCCGAACAACCAAAGCTTTGGTTAGTCAAACGGTTCCGTGTATCTAGTAACCGAGCTCATTTCATCTCAAATACTACGAACCTTCATAGTACGAACTCACCTGTACAGCGGCTTCCAAGGCCCTTATTCTCTCTTCCGAGAAAGGGGATTGAGGTCCTCCGTGCTCATTGTTCTCGCCAGGGTCCACGGTTTTAGTGGTGGTATTCGACTTGTTTCGCCTACTCTTTCGGAAACTCCCGCTACCCGGTCCATCGCGATCTATTGCTTTGCTGCTTTCATGGCGGGGCGAAGAGCCACCAGAGGACGTTAACCTGCTCACGGCAGATCGAGCCAAAGCTAGCAATCCCCTCTCCTTCTTAAGAGGTGGAGTGATTGATAATCGTGATCCTTCCATAGCAGTACTGAGCAAACCCCGATTCACAGCAGGAGGCTTGCTATTATCAACAGAAGTGTCAGCATCGGACTTCGGGGATGTAGTTTTCTTGAAGCTGTCAAAATTCTCATCAAGTGAGTGCTCAGCACCATCAGAGCATCTTCGATAATCAGGAGTTGAAGAAGCTAGAAAACCACTCACAACTGGCGTTCGACTTGTGGAAGTTGACGATGTACTAGTTTCTAAAACTGGCCAGCCTGACCAGTGAGAATCAAAGAAATCTTCAAGCTTGCTTTGCAAAATCTCCTTCTCTGGGGACTTGGTCGGGTGGACTACACTAGTTTCTACTTCCTTCTCCGCAGAGGAGCAGCACTGAGTGGACGAATCCCAAGCATTTCGCTGTTCAAACGAATGCGCCCGCATATCGTCGATGTAGGATCCATTCATGATCTGTCCAGGCTCCTGTTTCCGGACATCGTCCACTTGTTCCGCATTAAAATCATCAGCCAATGATTTTTCTACCAGTGGACTGGGAATGTTCGTAGACAAGTCGAAGGATGCTCGAGCCTTCAACTTTTCTTGTGAAGTTGGAGGAGATACAGACATATCTGATTGTTGGGACTTAGCTGCTTGCTCCTCAGATCTTGCGCCATCAGAAAGAGGAGATGAAAGGGTTGCATGCATTTCTTGCCAACCAAATATACTCTTTCTTCTGCCATGATCTCTTCCTAAAGAACTTGATGCGTGCTCTGAGTTGAACTTCTCGTGATGATCGTTAGGAGTCCTCAGGTCGCAGACTTGATCTGTTATGTCAGCTTTCACACTCACTCCGCTATCTTTGGAGCCCAAAGATTCCCGGTTTTCAGGTGAAGTACTGTTGACAATTGGAGATAGTTCATTCATACTGGGAATCGAATCATCTACTTGCGCTCGGCTGGAGCTTTGCAAGTTCCAAAATGTGGACTGGATGCTTGGGGAGTTGTTGAATGAAGTTACTAAATCCTCCATGCTCCCGTTCTTCGACCCAGGAGTTCCCTCCACTAAAACATTCTCAATCACTTCAGTGACGAGCGACGGCACATTTCTTCCATCGGGAGTGCATGATAGCTCCGGTTCGTAATTAGATACCGAGGAGCCTTGACATTTGTCATCAGTCGCCTTTCCTTCGACCTGTTCCTCTTTAGATGTCACATCCATCACATCCATATCCGTGGCTGTCTGAGAGCTGGTATCTGGGAATGCTCCATTGTTCCTGTGAGTTTTCTTCACTTCGGCCGATTCGACCTGGTACTTAGCAAATGTATCCATCGCGTCGAAGCAAGTAGAGTCTGGGTGTATCTCGGTGGGTTGGCTGGAACTTTGAAGTAGTAGGACATCTTCCGTCTTTGGAACCTCTTCCTCACATCCAACCGATTCGGAAAAGCTCTCAATAACGGCATCCTCGGCTTCCCTCGCCCTCTGTTTTGCCTGTTGAGCATTGTCCTCAAGACTTAGCTTCCTCGCTGCCCCTGAAGCCTCCTTCCTTGGTTCGGGACTAGCTAGAATATGCACACGAGTTGAATTTGATCTCGATGTCAGATAACGACCGGTGACTGCTTGATGCGTTCCTGGCGAGAGCATCTCGGTATTCTTCCGCGGTGACGCAGGGGCAGATGCTGACGGCACTAAGCCTTTTCTCCCACTTTTGAAAGTGGCCCTTGTTACGTGAGGTGGGTTTGGTATACCAGAACTCAAATAGCCTCTGACTGCCGCAAGCAAAGGATCAACAGGCGCAGGTGGTGCGAAACGGGCAGAAGTGGAGCCATGTTGGGATGGCGGTCTTGGTGGAAGACCGTGTTTTGGCAAAGCGTCCGTGACTGCCACCGGTGGTTTTTCTGGAGCACCCGCCGGACGTCCCTGCAAAGGGTATATAATATTAGTGCCCAGGTTCAACGATAACCATCCGCAGAAGTTCGAGAACTGTAAGTGTAGATCAAGTCTATAAGACGAATTGAAATAACGAGCGCCGCCATCTACAAAGGAAGAATCATAAGGTGCAAGTAAAAGTACAAACCGCATCAAAGAATCCTATTTTGGGAGACGGCAGGCGGAGACCGGATCGTTTGCTACTCTGAGATGAAATATCACGAGTTGCCTTAGAGTGCATTTCCTCAAGGTCATGAACGATCGACTGTGGAGTCTCGTCTTCAAAGCCCCCTGTTTTTTTCAAATCCCGTGGACTACAACAGATGGGCGTTTTTTGTTTCACATTTTCGACACCCTTAGTAGATGAGGATCCAGCTTTACTACGAAGACTACCCCAAATGCTCTCTCCTTTCGACGTGGCCTTGGCTTGAGGGGGTTTGCCATGTGCGTTGGAGGAGGTATTCCTGTTACTCAAATCCGCAAATAACCCAGTCTTTTGAGTGCCCTCTGCAACCGGGTTGGCGGCTGCTGCCCGGGCAGACTTCGATCTCGTCAAATATGATGGTCCTGGACTTCCTGGAACCTTCAACCCTGAGCTTGATAACGCTGAGCTTGACGACGGCGGTGTTTGTGGGACATTCCCAATCGGTCGTAAGCGATCGGCGTGTGCAGTTTCTGCAATGGCCTTCCGACTTGCAGATGACCTCCCCCCCATGCTTCCTGTATCATCCACGTCAACAACTTGTTATTTATTTGGACTCAATGAGCAGGGCTTGAAATAGAGTGCTGCAGGTGTTCATGCAGTTTCATCTCAGCAGCAGAAACAATAGCTGTTACAACAGTTGGAATTCAAGGTAGAGAGGGTCATCTCCTTGGTAGAAATCTTGTATACCTGGCAAAACCCTTCCTAGAGTATCCTTAACTTTCTTTGACACAGAAGAAACTTTCTTCGAGAGTGATGAACTGGTTGAAGGAGGCTTGATCAGAGAGGACGTTGACCGACATCGAGTTAGGGTGAGCGTTTCTTTCATAGGCTTGACTTGCACAGCCGGTTCCATATCCTTTTGTTGGAGTTTCACCACGGATTCCAGATCCTTTTGACCTTTCGCATGAAGCTCATATTTAAGAGGCCCATCTACAACCTTTTCAAGCTTTTGAGTTGAGATTCCTCTTGACAGGTCAAGGTGTCCGTGAGCCAACGAGCCTGGAAGTCGCAACTTTGTCCCCTTCTCCACGGCTTCCTCTATAACCTGGATAACCGGCACTGGTCGTGGGATAGCTGATAAAGCTTTAATGTCCGTCTGCAGTGTGAACAACGAATAAGTAGGTCGCGAAATAAGGTGCTATCGTCTGTACTGCGAGATTAGAAGCAGAAGTTAAATTCAACTTACATGAATATGAGCACTGTCTTCAAATCGTGACCAACTTTGCCACATGCAATCCTCGTTAACTGCTAGGGTCAGTTGAGATTACTCACTGGAGATGTGATAGCTGACGAGAAACTTTGAGAAGTCGGTTGTTTAGCGCTGCTCACGATAGGAACATTCACTTTTCCGATGGTATAAACGACTTCTTTTCCTCCAAGCTCAATCGTGGATTTGGAATTGTTGCTTGGACCAAGACTAGGAGCGTTCGGAAGCTGCTCTGAACTGTCTGGGGTTGGCTTCGATGCAAGTGAACTATTATTCTCAAGGTTAGGTTTAGGTGCATCAACGGATGGAGACGGTGCAGGCTTCGGAGGAGGTGAAACCAAAGCCATTATGTCCGGAAGATCTAAGGGGGGAAGAACTACAGGCTTTCTTGGAGTTTTCGCTACTAGAGGCAACTCGTCGCCGTCCAGGATTCCTGCAAACACGTAGAGCACATGCACTTTAATGCATTTTTTACTAACTATTTCACAGCACTTAAGCATATAAGCCCATGGGCACTGCACTCAGACCAGCAATTATCACAAAAGTGTTATACACCTTCAATCGTACTTGATATATTCTCCGAAATCTAAATGTTCTCTCGTTGGCGATTGCCATAGAAGTGTGAGGCATATCATCACGGGGTACGTCTGGCTACAAGAAATGACACTATACTGTAAGTTAGCACCCAAAAAAATCCATCAACTTATGGTTTACTTTACCTTCATCAGTTGAGAAGGCCTTATCCCATGCAAGACTTTTTCGTAAGCTATGCATGGCTCTCGCAGACCTTGTCTTCCTAGGCGGCACATTGGATCCAGGTGGGTCAGCAAATTTAGCCCCCACTTGAGATTGATCTTGATTCGATCGGTTTTCCTTGCCATCGTCGATATTTTCCTCCAGCTTCCCTGTCTCCTTAGCTTGCTGTCCTTCTGCAGTTCAGTATAAACTCTTGAGACCAATCTGCAGACCAGGCATTCCGGCCTGATTGAAGCGGGAGATAACCAGATCGAAGGTGAGATCATAAGGCCCTACAGGTGATGATAGAAAGAGCAGTACCTGCAAACTTCGAACCTGTGTCATTCCAAGATACGGCTCTTGCTCGTGTTGGAGTAAGAACAATTTTTGACAGAGGTTTTTCTTCACTTCTAGCCATGGTGACTGCAATCAAAACATGATCTTCAGGGACGGACGGGAGAAGTATAATAACAAGAATACACTATTACACAAGTTAAGCTCAAAGAAAAGGTTTGCGAGATCAGCAACCGGACGTTGAAACTCGATCCTGGCAAGAGTTATTACCTTTGCTGTTGAGAATTTCTAATTCCTTCGCACCTGCCTCACTCTTCGTCAAATGTGAGCTTCCTTGGCAGTTGATATCCATAGTTGAAGGCAAGGCAGAATATGACGGCGCTGCATTTTCCTCCACATGGACTTCCAGGGTTGAACAGGAGTTATTGCTGACTGCTTCTTGACTACCAGCTGCATTCAAAAACCGGAACAGAAACTAAGTTCGTCATCAGTACGGCAGTTATTAGCACAGTGAATGCCCTCCATTTCGTTAGAACATGGTTGATTAGTGCGATCCAAAAAAAATTTGAGTTCGGCTTTACTTCCACCCTTCAACTTCTTGAGTTTAGTTTTGAACACGACAGGTTTTACTAGCAATTTCAGTGAATTGTGCATGTTGCTGACAAACGTCATCTTAAGGGGTCGAGCGAGTGGCGAGTCGGCTCTACAAGCTTTGATTACCATTAATAAAAGGATCAAGCCTATGAGAATGACACTTCCGTGAAGACTGGAGATCCCTACTTTAAAATGCTGGCATATGCGTAGGCATCGTGTGTAAGGTAGATCTGCTACACTGTCATCTTGGACAAGTGCAAATGTTGGGGGTTCATACCTTAAAGAACTTCATGGTATGCTATATTCAATGCCTACTTGAGAGTCGAGCGTGTTTTTGTACCGTCTGAGTGCGTACTAAATTTCCGATTCACACGTCAGAATAATAACAAGGAAACAGAGGGTACAAGGAGAACTGGAACTCGGAGAATTTTACATAACGAAGTTCCTAAAACAATCATAAACCTTCCCTGGAACACCACTGTTGTAAGTCTTGAAACAAACCTGAAATATGACGGTCCCCGGGAGCCTTCTTCACATTCTTTACTGAAGGTGGAAGTCTTAATACACTAGCAACCGGCTTATCCTCAGGTGGACTGACGGTGGTGGGTAAGAGGCTATCATCTTCAAAAGAAAAGTCAATCAGCTCCAACGTCATATCCGATAGCTGCCGCCCTCCATGTACTAGATGGAATTTCTTATCATCTCTCGTGTGCACCTAACTTTTGGTATGGTCTCCTCTCCAGTCAGAGCTATCCCGTCTGCTTCACTTCAACCCAACGATCAATTCACATAAACTAGTACAGTGTGAACCTCAATATGATCTTTTCACTTGTGCTGGCTTTTGGATCAATAGATGCCACCGCAGTCTGGTAGAGTCCGAGCTAACGCTTAGACTATCGTATGGCTGAAAAGAGATAAGATTCGGGCGTGAAGAACGGACGAGGCTGGCCCATGACTAGGCTCGTTTCGTCGACGAGACTGCTGCCTATCCTCCGAGACGACTTATCGTAGATCGTATTAAATCGTTTGCAAATTGTCAAAAAGCATGCAAGGAATCTACAGTACTATCGATGAGAATCTGTCAAAGGTTGATTCTGCATTACTCTTGGGATGGATTTCACAAGGGCTGCTGGGTTAACTGACCAGCAAGGAGTACGAGGAGTGCCGACACCCAAGAAACCAAGTGTAAGGACCAAGGACTTCACTTCTGCAGGAAATAATTCCCCATCGGCAATATGCATCACTAGATTGCATAAAGTCTCATGATCAGGCCTCACAGATGTCCCCAGCCTGATAATGAGAATCTGTGAATGAAGAGGCGACAAGCCGTCCGCAGCTCCGCCCTGCTCTCTAACGCTTCTCGACCCCGCGAATCAATGCTCAGGCAAGTCTGTCTATATATTTACGTGCAGTGTGTAGCGATCCGAATCCGTCAACCAGATGCAAACAAGAGTTCCTACACCTGCTGTCAATTCGATGTTCCCTCTGCCCATCCCCTCATCAGAATCCAGAAAACGCCATCCCTGCTTCCATCCACATTTTCACCATGAGCACCATCTACAATCTGAGCGGCAGCTCGAACGCAATCGAGAACCGCAGTTGTTGCAGCTCAGATCGTCGCACGCACGGCGAAACCAGCTTCCAGCGTACAGCTCTGTGGCGCATTGACGCTCTTCACATATCGGAAGAATCTGATGCTCGGTGCTCGTGTCTCCCAATCCTTATCGCTCACTCCCGCGTTCTGTGTTCTAAAGTCGTCCTTCGAGAGCTCATCGCTTCCCCCCACATTCAAACTTCCCGTCGCCATTCGAAGGGCCCGTTGGCGGGCGCCATCTTCATGTATCGCATGTCGCGCTTCTCCACATCGCATGGATGCAGCATGCATGATGGCCTCTACGCTGAGCTGGCATGTGCCAGAACCACCATTACCCATATGTGAAATATAGACGTTGAGAGCTCCTAACCGTGCTAACGTCTTCTTAACCTGGGAGAGCCCAAGGCACACACGCCTGGAGAAGCTTTGAATACTCTTTTCCTGTACATCGAAATCGACTATGGTTTCCACCGCGTTTGATTTTCATATGTTACGTTGAATATACCGAGAAGAATATCATACACCTCCTAGTTTATTCATGTTTATTTACCGCATCTAATATATATAGATCGTATAGTCTATTGCAATACAAGTGTACCAGTTATCGTCTTCTAATTTAACTTGTCATATGCATTGAAATCGCTCATTCACATTATAATGTTGTCGATTTAAAAGGATCCATAATCAATTCGAGAGAATATTTTGAACCAGAATAAGTGAAAATGTGGGAAGTAAGAAAAAACCATAGAAACTATCAACGAAACTTTTATCTTTGGAGACTAAACATCTTATCCAAAACGCGGAGCATGACAAATAAGTATTTAAAGGGGAAAAAAGAAGATTAAAAAGCTAATCAATTGCGTAATAGATATGTAGTACTATGGGTTTTTTAATGCCCAAAAGCTAACAACGAAACTACTTCACTGCTTATTCATGAATAAAGTACTTGATGTTTTACCAAATCTATTGTGATTGACGTGTTGTAAAACTTGTATAATTCATGGTAGTGGCTAGTTATACCTCACTTTGGGCTAATCATCCTTCACCTTCCTATTTGGTATGTTGTGATTGGTCGAAGGTTATAGCTGCAGTGTGATGAGTTTATGGTACTTCTAACATGGCGTTATCACTGACGCATCCCCTTGGGTCTAAATAAAGGTTAGCCCGTTCCTGGTAGGACTCTGCCGGTTGCCAGTTGCTGCGACGTGGGTGGATATCATGCAGCCTGATCATCGATCACCTGCTTGTTGCTGAAGTTTTGTTGCTATTCGCAATCCGCATCCTTGCAAGACTCAAGTAAGCACAAGTTTCATTGATCGCTCCTTCGACACAATCGGCCGACCTCATCGCAAGTCTCGCTCATCGCGTCTCGCCAGAGGTTTAACGATTGGTTGAGCCGGTGCCCAGTGACATTCACCTCGAGACGTTGGCGATTACTTTACGTACTGATGATTACGAAGGACCTCTAGCCGAGCGTCCACTGCTAATCCTCGATCTAACCTTCCTCTTGACTTTTCACGAGCCATGAGTGACTCGTTCCATGCATGTTAGGACCTGCCCTAGCAAGCCATGTCATCGTCATGTTAGAAAGAACTTCTCCTTGCTCAACAGACGTAGGGATCCCCTGTTGTTTGATATTGGTATGCGAGCTCTAGAATTCTAGGATTGGAAAATTGTGTTTCTGAGAGAAAGAAAACACAAGTGCGAGAAGTTGTTAGAATTAGATAGGAATGAGCACACAAATAAGGGGGCCGATGAATAATCATGTTATAAGAATCATAAACCCACTCTGCTTGCAGCTATAACCTTCGATCAATCACAACTTATCGTACAGTAGGGTGACATATGATTAGCTCAAAGTGAGGGATAACTAGACTTTTGGCTAGATAAACCCAATCGAATGTCATCCAGGCTGACGGCAAACATATGTCGTTATTTCATCGTCCTCACCGTCATCCAAGAGTTTCATTGTCACTATCATCTAGGGGCTTACGAGCCTTGACGGTTTTTTGACGGCTTGGCCACGGTCCGATACAGACCGACAGTTAATCGGTTAACTGTCGGGACCGGTTAACCGGTTTGAAAAAAAAATTCCTTTGAGTCTTGAATTTTCACAATCTTTCCGGCGGGGATGGCATATAGGGATAGGCATAATGGCTTCAAAGTGCTAGACACTCATAGTTTGCCGCGTGGTACATTTCTGGCTCTCGTTTTACATGGAGGATGAGCACTATTCGCACTTGCCTCGAATGAAGGCAGTCGGTGTTGACTTCGTTCGAATTGCTCCGCCAAAGGTCAGTTGAAAGTTCTGAGGTAGAACCGTATCTGAAACCCAAGAGAATGGCCTAATCGACACACACTGTCGAGGAGCGAAATACAAGCAATTACAATATGCACAGCTTAATGGTACTGAATCTAGCATTCATTGCCATCACAAGTAACCCAATCGAACTACAATCTCAAATCTAAGGAGTGAGTTTTGATGTAAGAGATGGCACCAAAATTCCTCCGCTCAAAACGTTGATTCTCATAGTCTCGATGTTCAATTGTGCCAAAGTTTCCTTTCCTATGATGATGAGCAGCAAGGATCAGCACATCAGCAGCAAGGATTGGCAATACACGCACGACAAGAGTATGTCACGTAACTTCTGATCCCATAATTTGAGAAATTCGAATGTTAAATTCATCTTGTTTCAGAGTTCCTGTTTGAGTCTTGAATCTTGAACGGTCGGTTCGACCCGTTCAATCTTTCAAACCCGTTTAATTTGACCGTTTAGTCTTTGAGATCTGGTATATAATGGATCGAAGTAGGGAGCAAAGGAGCGACTACTGATTTGTGATCCTCTTTTGGCGGCGCTGCTAATCCTGATCCTGATTCACTGCATTCACATCCGGCTGTGCTCGTGGCTACGTTTCTCTAAATTTCATTGCTTTGGTGCATCAGGCGCCAATTTCATACCAAACTCGAGTTCTGGATGGCTAGTGAAGACAGTCACCAGTGAACCGTCAAATCTAGGCTCTCCAGCAGATGATGAAGCGCTGCATCTAAGTCCCATGTACTTCAAAAATATATCAGTAAGACTTCAAATCGTGTGTCTGTTCCTTTGATGTATGTGGAAACTAGTACTCAAACTATCATGAAGAAACTGATATCTTTGAATCTTGCAAAATAGTCAAATTATCATGACGAAATGGTATCGATTTTGTAAATTCTACTATCGTAAACTCAGTCGAAAGAATCGTGCGTACTTCTATATGAGTTGAATTTAGTGATCATCTGACTCTGTCTAGGAAGACGTATTTCTAGAAAACAAGTTTGTGGTTTTCTTTTTCACTTTGATTACATAGAGGTGGTATTTTTTTATGAATTATGTATATTGCCTGTCATGAATTCTTGTCCCTAATTGTTCCCTCTGGACAGGTCGCAGACTTAACAAAAGCAAAGAGGGTGGAGCGAGAATTGATTCTTTTGAAGATCCATGTACCTGCACAAAATTGCGTAGAAGTTATTACTGAGAATTATGTTCCAATTTGATGGAAAATAATTGTTTTGTAACATAATTCACATTTGTAAGATAATTCATGTAACATAATTCACTGCATTCAAGTCGCAAATACTTCAAAAATATATCTGTAAGACTTCAAAGCGTGTGTGTGTTGCTTCGATGTCCACATACTTTTCCACGTGTAGTCCGATTTGGTCGGCTTTACAATTGCATCCGAGTTATGTGTGGAGCTCATCAACGGTCTATGAATGTACCATCTGAACAACAATGATGAGTGTGATACATTCAAATAATCAAAATACATTTCAATAGAATATAATTAATATTTAGGTTGGTAAATTACCAAATAATTATTTAACATTAAAATGTTGTAAAGTTCAATTATTTTGCCAATTTTTGTCAAACTACTAACTTATACAAACTGAAAAAAATGAAATCTTGTGTGATCAATTTGTGTACAAAGAAACTTTTTTAAAAATCAAATGCATGACTTGTGGCTAAAACTGCATCAAATTTCAGCACAACAATGCATTGTGGTGAAATTTTAAATTTAAATATAATCTATTACTAAATATTATTTTGTCTAAAATTAAATGCATTTGTATGTAATAGCATACAATTATATATTTATATGATAATAATTTTATTAAAAATTATCAAGCATCTTACAAAATACAATCAATATCATGTTACTGATCATCACATCAAAAATATTTTTTTTTGCATAAGAAAACATCACTTTAATAATTTTGTTCATCTTTATAATCAAAATTTGTCATGAACTATTTTTTAAATAAAATTTAAAATTATATATTAGAAAAATTTGTATATTTTATATCATGTTTCAATTATATGAATAATTTACAAACTTTGTTTTCACAAAAATGAGTAGCAATTAAAGTAATATTTGTAAATCTTTGCATTTAAACAAAATTTACATAGTATCATGATTTATTAGCTACAATAATTTTGTATTCTAGTCAAATCATTAATCCATCGTTCAACTAATTAGACTAATTATTTTGCAGCCACATTTACAATTTACTTTATACAATAATTTTTTCTAATTTTACATCAAATAAACTTAAAACATTAAAATCATAATGTTGTATTTATACATTTCATTTATTTTTTATCAGTCAAATGCTCAGATACTATTTTCAAACTTTCTTGATTCAATTGTCTTATCTTCTTAAAATTAAAATGTTGACATTATAGGATTTTTTTTAATGTTAATTTTTGGCTATTTTTATTTGTTTGTCGATCAAATCTTTTTATAAAATTGATATAGATAAATAATTTGTTGTTTCAATAAATATTTTTTCAATCACCATATTTCTACTATCAATTGATCACATGTATACATAATTTGTGTGTTGTCTTATGATATATATTTGTGTTTTATAAATAAACATGTATTTTCAAACATTAATTTCAGATTAGATATAAAATTTTATTTTTATTTCCATTAATTTATAAGTATTGTGGAAAGTTTATAGCTAAACTAAACGTACAAAATTGGTAACAAGAATTTTGAATATCAATTCAAAAATAAATTAATCAAATCATTTTTATCAATTATAGATAAGAAATTAATCTACAAAACATAGAATATTGAAAAATGAAGTATGTAAGTTGATATGCAGAATATGATGTAATAGTGTAATTAAAATTAGCTATATCGTACTGTTATGTCAAAAAAAATTCTTTGACCTAAATTTTAAAATTGGAATCTATAAATATGTTGTAATTATTTTATATGAAATTTGATAAATACATGTTACAATTATTTCATTGTATATAGATTGCTGAAATAAAATGGTGTTTTATTATATATCATTGTCGTTGTGAGCTAAAAGACAACTTCAGACATATAAAGTAACGTGACATTATAATTAAATTTAATTGTAGTTTTGAATGATGATTATGAAATTATGATCAAGTGACCCAAATTTGTCTTAATTTATGTCTGAATATTAAAAATAGCCATGTTTTTTTATTAAGTTTGAACATTTGTATTCTCTTTATAATTCAAGAAATATTTGAAAAGTTAAATCTAAGCATTATTATTTTAGTCTATAGTATATCGAGGCGCCTAAATTATCTAAGTTGACATCTCTTCTAACAACTAAATTAATATGAACATCTAGATTCTCATGTATTGTGAATTGAAGCGTGGGAGATCTCAAACACTTAGATTAAATGATTGTTAATCAGTTTGTTAACACATAAGTCTAATACTTCAACAAATTAATTTGTAAATTAAATGTTCTCTCGTCCACGAAGCCTCACATGCAAGCTCAACATAGTAGTGACTCTCTTTCATTCTATATCCGAACCCCTCACTCGCTCTGAAGTCAGAGCTTTTAGTACAAAAAAGCTTCAATTAATTTCTTGATGTGATTAAATTAAGCGTACTTAGATAATTTAAACGACTATAACAATCTTTAGTTTGTTAGAACTGAAATAGATATTACTCAAGATGAAGTCGTAGTTACTTTAGCTTGCACTAGTCATAGTTGACACGTCAGCGATCTGTGTGCTTGATAGATAGAGAGTAAGTATGTTAGTCTACAATGTTATATCAATGATCTATGTGCTTGTTAAGTAAAGAGTAAATGTGTTAGTTGGGAGCGCCACATTAGAGATCCTTGTGCTTGTTACAATTATCTAACTAGATATACATCCACTAGGAGTGAAATGTATGATGAAGACATGATCTTATATCCTTGTATCTTGTAATAACTATATAAGAAAAATGAAAACTATTGTTGTTATCTATCATCTTCAAAGATTATGATTTATTTACGAGTGAATTTCTTCCTAAATCCTAGTGTTACAACAATTGATCAATAAAATTATGCTTTATTATATCCACAACAATCTGATAACAAATATAGTTGGAAATCACTTCAATAAACAATGGACTAATATAGCTATGCTTGATTAAATACACAAGAATCTGATAGCAAATATAGTTTGCAATGACTTCAATGTATTGTATATAGTCACGTTGTGAGTTCATTCAAAGATTTACTCCCCTTGTCTTAATTATGTTACACAATTAAAAATGATCATCAATTTTGAAGTTATGAAAGTGTATTATGCACCATTATAATTTCTGATGATTATTTTTACATGATTAGTTGAAAAAATATGTAAATAATTGTACTTATTTGCAATATATTACAAGAAAAAATACAAAACCATTAAAATTTACAAAACATATAATTTATAAGTATATAAAGAATAAAAATTTATAACTATTGTTAGAAGGAAGAATTTTTACGAAGTGTACTATACAATGTGAAATATGTGAGATTTCATTAAAATATAATATAACATCATAATGTTAGTCATTGTATCTAAAAACATCAATTTCTTACCAATTACTCACCTATGCTATCAAATATTGGGGTTATATCACAAGTTTTTAGACTGATCGTGAAATCTCCTACCATACAAGACAACGTTGAAAGATATGCATAGCATCATATGCTAAGTTGGAGAAAGTACTAAAAGAAAGATTAATGACAGATATTGTAGCTATTTTCAAAATACGTTGTGAAAGTATATTCTTGCTATATACCGCAGGCTTATGATCACACAATTCTTCAATTCATTCACTTCATTTCTAATTGGGTGGTTGTAATTGGGTGAAAAAGATCTCCTCAAACATATGAACTGATGCAAAGGAAGAATCAATAAGAAGATCTACTTAGAAGAAAGCGGTTTCGCATTTCGGAACGAGATCGATCTTATGTGCACCACAAGACCAAAATAGCGAAATTTAAAACAAATTGCCGTCTCACATTATCGCAGGAATTTAGCTTCAATCATGGAGTGTCTGTAAGCAATGGGCTGTTGAAGAATGAAGCGGAGGATCCAATCATCTGCCCGCAGTCATCCGAATCTCGAGTTGCCGTCGGCGCGTCCACATCCTGCATCTCCAATGTCGAAAGGTGTTGGGAGGTGGAAGGAGGTCGGCTGGTCCTCACGAGGTACAAAAGGCGGAAAGTATGGGGACGGAGATGTCGAACAAGCCACGCGAGGGCCAGACGAGAACAACCAGTTAGTTCATCCGGGACCGTGGACAAGCTCGAGAAGATCGCTGCTTCTGGACGCAGGACATGCTACGCGTCACCAGTGACCAGGCGACGTCGCGACGGACGGAAAGATCGACAGGAATGGCTTCAGCTTGCCAGCGTCCTTGGAAAAGCACGGCGAGGCCACATAAGAAGGGCCGATGAAGGCGCGGGGCAAATGTTGAGGAGGATAATCGACCGACGGGACAGGCAGACGACGAGAGACGGAGAGCGGTGCCATGTCGCCGTCGTGTCCATGAGACAGGGACGAGGACGAGGACGAGTGAGCGACGCAGCGAGGATTCGATTTGTGGTCGAGACATGGCAGCGAGCTGTGTAGCCTTGCGTGTTTCATCACCGGGTCAATTGCACTACGCGACTGCTGTAGGCGTTTCGCTCCCTTCTCTGAAACGCGGTGCGCTGCTGGCGCGAATTTGCCCCGCCCGTTGTAGCAGTGACCGGGAGGGAGGAGGTGGTGCAGGCGAGGCAGGAGGAGGAGGAAAAGGAGGCTCTGGTGGAGATCCGCCGAGGAAGAAAGGAGGAGGTGATAAGGGGAGGAGACGATTTGATGCAGGATTCTCCTTCGCCGAGGGAGGAAGCGGAGACTTCTGCGTGGTTCCGCGCGAGCAACAACCTGTGAATGAGTATCAGGATTTGACTCAATCCTTGCTGTTCCCATGGGCGACAGATGATATTTGGAAATATGTCTTGAGGTTGGCTGCAATTGGGGGCCTGAGCACTCTGGTCATTGGTTGGCCCGTATCAGCAGTGAGCATCAATGCCAGTCAAGAGCCGGTTAAATGCGCAGTTGGAGCTCTCAGTGGAGGTCTTGGGGCTTCGACACTTGCTGTCGTGAGACTGTACCTGGGCTGGGCTTACGTGGGAAATCGTCTGTTCAGTGCGACCGTGGAATGTATGGATTTGCTCCCGTTTTTCATGTCAATTTGCTAGTCTCAAGGCGTAATTGTTGTTTGTTCATATTAACACTACGCCAGTCAGACTATTGATTGGCGTAGTGCGACTGTGAACCTCTGATGCAGATTGTGAGCCGATACTGCTATTGCTTGTCCCAATTTCTCTTCTCATTAATTGTTCCTTCTTTGTCTCGGTGAATAATTGTGATCACCTCCTTGTATTGTAAGAAAGGAGGGGTTTTAGCTTTGGTACTGTCGGCTGGTTGTTGACCTCCGTGTCCTAAGTTGGTGCTCCATGATCAGCTGAAATTCTATTCAGTCTGCTTCACATCAGCAGAGCGCAGAGCGCTAGAGGGATGATTGGTGATTCTTAAACTGAAGTTCTGCGGAGTGAGAATTATTTATCTTTATGGGATTCCTTGTAGAGTGGCTGCCTCGGTTTTAGTCATTCGGCATTCTTAAGCTGTAATGGAGATTCTATCAATTTTCAGCTCATCCTTTACCTTCAACTGAATATTGTGCAGATGAGGAGACAGGGTGGTACGACGGTGAGGTATGTGTCTTTTTGTAACTTTTGTTGGCGTTCTTATGTTAGTAGAATTCACGAAGTTTAATTAATCTATAGTTCAGTTAATCATAGCAAATTGCTCAAGTTCAGATTAGATATGAGAAGAAGAAGTTCCGTCTATCAACTTGCACAATGCGAGTTGGTGGACGGAACAAAGGTCACACTGCATGTCTATTGTGCTTTGATCATGTTATAAGCTACGCTTGCTTGAGCACGTTTGAAGTTCCTTCTGTATATGTCGGTTTTCATCTTCTGTAATTAACTTTCCGGGACGACCTTTCCCTTTCAATTCATGTAATAGAAAATGATGCTCCAAGAACAGTTCATCATAGGTACATGTCGTCGTAACCTGCGCATATTATGAGGATGTAGTTGAGGTTCAGTACCCGTAAATTGGGAAGTGGGATTGCGTAAAGGTTCTGATGGTCTGATGGTTCCGTTTTGGAAGATTCACGCTATAAATTGTGCACCTCGATTTCAATTGCTGTGCAATTTACATTGCTGATCAGTTCACAAGGATGAAATATTTTCTTGCATATCCAGAATTTTGATATCAATAGGGTCTCTTAAATAAAGTGCAATCAATGAGCTCTTCTCACAACCTGCCAAGAGGTGCTACCGCTTCATCAATATGATGCAAAGTTTTGGATATGTACTTGACATATCAGGATAGTTTTATGTAACTAAAGATCATTTGTACTGTATTGTACTGTACTGTACTGTCGCAGGTTTGGGTGAAGCCACCAGAGGTGCTGGCTCGAGATCGGCTACTCGCTTACTACAAGGTAATGCTTGATTCGTTGAGTTTGGAGTATGTGAATCAGGTAATATATATCAGCGACGTAAGCTGCTTATTGGGACGCTGATCAAATCACGGCTTATCTCTGATAGTTCGTTTGAATATTAACACCTGATCTCATCGATGAAGGAGAGTAATCCTGCCACAGTATTTGCACCTTGATTGATATACTTTAACGTTGTCAGGCTTGGCATATCCAACTGAGGTATCGAGAGAGGTTTATGGTTTCTCAAGATCGTTTTTGTTGTCGTATCTAGCTCATAGTATCATAGCTTTGATACTCAGCTTATTGGGGTATATGTGACCCGCGGTAAAATTGAACACTCGTTTACAACCTGTCTAGGACCGCTATACTGTCTATTCTTCGTCGTCCTGAAAATAGGTAAGCTAAAGAAAGAAGGAAAAACATCAAGCAAACTTGGCAGTGACACGGAAAAAAGAAGTTATTTTTGTAGCTGAGCATTATCACAAAATTCGGAAATCTAAACTTACAGAGAAAATAAAAGCACAGTGTGTACTTTGCCTTGGTATCCAAACTTGGTGTGTGGAGGAGATTATGAGTGTATGAGAGAAAATATGTGAAGTGGAATTTCCCCTGGTGACTGCAGGTCAAACCGGCGTTGAGGCGTTTGAAGGTTACGCTCGTCTGCTTGGCCATTTCCCTGGCAACCTGTTCCGTCCTGCTGTTTACGCTGCATCCGCCAGAGCGGAAACTCCCTGTTGCAGAGGAAGACTCACCTGGGCCCTCGGTGGTTAGAGGTATATATAGCGACAAAGCTGCAAGAGATTATGAACCAGGAGCATTTTCCGATGAAGATGACGTGGCAGGGCAATTCTTAGAGAATTGTGCAATTCCTGCACCGGTTCTGACCTCTCAGATTTAGTATTCATATTGTAAGCTTTCCAACGCCAGAAACTTTGTAAACCATGTACACTACTGAAAAAGGGACGTGTAGCTCATCGTTATTGTCCTGCGCCTCACCCTGCATTCAAATTTGTGCCAACAATGAATCCCAGATAGAGCTTTATTATAAATCCACGAGGCTTCTCTTGTCATGTACTATTCCTGAAGCGGCATTTCACTTCCGTGTAAATTATTCTCCATGGATGAAAAGAATCTATTAAGCGAATCGTCGCTCCCAGACTTTACATACGTGTTTACTCCGAAGAGTTTACATACTTTCAAAGTGTACATATCGTTCGGGTTACTTTTTGATATTATGCACATGAATATGAATATATTGCAGTCCAAGAGTGATAATACTTGTGATGACATGTTTCACATTCTCTGAAAATGACAAAGCAGGTGGCTGTATGTACCAGTCTACATTTACTACTGCAGGATATCGAAGGAGGAAATGTAGACTGTTACATACAGCCACCTGTATTGTAAACTTCAGAGAATGTGGAACATGTCATCACAAGTAGATACCCTGCATATGAACATTCTCATGTTCGCTACTGCAGTAAAAACTCATCTGGCACAAAAACTTTGTTTACAAACTGCTCGTCTTTCAGCGAAGAGAGGCACATACTTTTTTCCTGAACATAGTAATGAAAAATATCATGAAAATACTTTATATGAATTTAATTCCATTCCTCCAATGTTGACATTTGAGATAAGAACTGTTAAATGTTGCTAAAAATTCTCAGCACAAAATAATAGGTGGTCAGCGAGTCAAATGTCTCTCAAAGTAGAGAGCTGAAGCCCGAATGTACACGTAGTCAACATTCTAACCTCGTGCGGATGACTTAAGACGTTCAAGTGTATGCAAATCAATAACGTCAATCTAATTAGTTTTTGAGCGCAACGCGTTGTAAGCATCCATCACCTGCCTAAACTTCTCCTCTGCCTCTTCCTTGTTTGTCTGATTACGATCCGGATGAAACTCCAACGCCTTGGCCCGAAAAGCAGCTTTTATTTCGGCATCTGAGTATGGTGGAGTTCTGGAGGGATCAAGGCCCAATACTTTATAATGTTGTCTGCTTGACTTCAGAGCAGGATGTGGGTCTGTCTGGTTTCTGTACCACTGACTCCCTTCATCTTCCCATCGCCGATCACCTTCATTCCACCGCTGCTCATGGTGGCGCTGCCATACCCACCTATTTCCCTCCCATCTCCATTCCCAGGTTTGAGTTCGGCCCTGCGTCTCATGCCAGGGATCGTAGTCGTAGTCCTTCCTGTATCGTCTTCTCTCGTTCTCGAAGGCCTGTTGTACACGCCTGATACGTTCCTGACCACAGCAACATGCCGGTTGAATGAGGGCCAAAACATTATCGAATACTCTTAAGAGCACTTTCATCTCTTCGAAAATGGCCCTTAACACAAACCTCTCCTCAGAAAGTACAAGCCATCCAGATTCCTCATTAGATGAACGAGTTTTCTTCCCTTCCAAACTGGGACTAGCTTTCAATCATCTTGTCTATGTATGTTCCCATACTAATGAATAGAGGTGCACTCAGTGCTTGCTACCAACGACTTTTCTGGCGATGGGTTTGGGTGACATTTAAGCGTGTAACATGACTACACGTCATCAACGTTCTAAGAAACCAAACGCCAAAATGATCAGCTCGTTCTATCTTGACTGTTATCCAGTCTTTCACCTAAACAGATGTATACCATTTCTCTGAGATGCTGTTCCCAAAATCTTTTGACATCTTCCGGGTTTACTTCGTAGACCTCCGGCCGCCTCTGCTGTTGTGCCCTCCTCGTCTGCTGAGTCTTTGCACCTGGCCTTTCACTTGAGCCATACCTCGTACTGTATTCCTTCCATACATATACATACACTGCTCCATCAGCTGCAGCCTTGCTTAAGGTACGACTGAAAGCAATGTGGCTTCAAAATTGCCATGGGAGCATTTTGAAAATATACTACACAGCAGGTTAGGGTGCCAGGTATTCAGCTCAAGAAGCCATAGTATCGAGCAAACACAAGAGAGCGGCTAAATCAACTACTAGAGACATATATTCGAGTCAACCTACCACTTCAGTAAATCTAAACTCAAAGTTCACATTTGAGTTTATTGAAAATATTTTGAGTAATTCTCATACGTAGTTATCTGAATTGACTAATCTGCTCATTATTAATCGGCAGTTTTCCTCTCAAACTGTCCTGTTCCCCGGTCTGCTTACTTCCTCTTTTTCAACCTGACACTATTCAATTTCGTGGTGTATTCTAAAATAAATAATCCGTGATATACTTCTCGAAACTCAATAACATCAATCTCAATGAATGAAACATTGTATTCTTTCAGATATGTCTGACTGATGAAGGTAGTGAACCGTCCTCTACAAATTGCAGTTTGTTATAATTGTCCCAAGTACTAGTGAAGAGGTTACAAGAAGACTCAAAAGTGATTCATCTTGGTAGAACAATTTCAGGAGCAGAGATGAAAGCGCTGCCTATGAGTAGACAGTCATAAAATGCATATAACAAACACGAGTTGGTAGATGCGCAAGTAAAACACTATCTGTTGAATGTCCAGGTAAGACCTACTAACTTAGCTCAAGGAAAGGTACCGGCGATAACTATAGAAAGAGTGCTCGGCGATGAGTTGAGCGAGATGCCCTACGGTACAACGGAGAAACATTCCACGAATATATGTAATATAGAGACAATAAGAGTTAAGACGAGCGAGCCTCACTTAACATTGCGACCAGATTAGTAACGGTCTTATTGCTGCTCATGCGTATTGTTTGCGGAGATAGGTGTATAGCTATTCGACAATATCAACCACAGAAAACTGGTGAAAAATAGCGCAATACTAAGCACATTGTACACGACACCACCGTTCCAATCCCAGCACAGCGCATCAAAATAGACACATGTTTCGGCAGAACTTGAAAACCTGAAAGGAAGCTAAAGTCTACTAATCTTAACGATGAGCTGTTAATAGACGTGGACAGATCGCCTAAGATGCTCAACCTATGCTCAAGTTGCTCAATCAATGTACTTTAGTTTCTGTGACAAGGAAAACCTGGTATTAAAGCCCATGATTTGACCTCAAAAGTACCTCCAAGAATGTACCTGGCTTGCGACGGATCGGAAATTCATGACGCGTCTTCGCAAAGAGAGAACATTCGCAACCTGCACAATCGTCAAATTGACCATGAGAACACAGCATAAAGGTCAGAGTGAATCTTCGCTCTAAACCCTACACCCCATCTTCAGCCCTCGAAGAAAAGATCGACGACATTTAGCAGGTGCAAAGAAGAGAGTAATTAAACTGCCGACAAACCAAGAGAATTGAGAAAGGGTAAACTGTTTCTAGTTAAAAATCAAGGGTCCAGGAGAATTGCAAAGAGCAGACGATGACAGGCATTTATCGCTGGATAATAAAATGGAATTTTAAAACGAATTCAAGCGTTAACATATAACTCCTCTGCTAAAATATGTAACATTTCTAAGAACATGAGAGTGGTGTGAAGCTGATGCAACGCAAACGATCGCGTGGTTAGATGAATCTGTGTTGAAGATGAAATTAAGAGAGCCTTTTCTGTCTCGAAGAGAATCTTGGATATCCGCAATAAACTCTGCGGTCAACCGCATGGGAAGAATTTCCAAGAAATGCTTTGATGACTAACGGATCCCATACGATCGTCGAAGCTTTCACAAAATTGTTGCTCAATTCTCAATGTGATCTTCTAGTTCGGTACACGCAGATTCCTTAAATTTTTTCCTTCAAGCCCTAAACACACGAAACCATGATATGCTTTAACAGATGAGCACAACAGGGGATAGGTAACCAATAAATGGAGACATCTATAGACAATGGGAATTCTCGAAGGATCCACGACTGAATTCTGACAGAACTTACTAAAGAGGCGCTGATGAGAGCTGTGACGAGGAGCGAGCCCCATCGTGCCAAGAATCTACCGCTACTCGCGTCAGGCGGTTCCGAATTGCCCTGTTTTCGCCTGGCCTCCATGTCCTCCCGGTCCTCCATTTTCACCACTGCAGCAAAATTGCCTTCCGCGCGGCCTTCAACCCGACATGCAAATCACGGAACGGATCGGGCAGACAATCATTTGGTCAACGAAATCGCGGTCAAAACCCCCAAGACGGAGAGCGCTCACAGACGGTAACTCGGGTTTTGACCGCACATCGAGGTTTTACCAGAGCTCAGCGAGAGCCAATAGTACACGAATCACGGGTGGACCCTGGAACATGTGGCGGGGGGCGGGGGCAGGTTCGGGACGGGATAGCGTCATGCGCGAGCCCGAAAAGTTAGTCGCTACTCCGGGTTTTGAAGAAGGTTTTGGCTATGAGGAATCGGAAGATCACCACCGATGAATGGATGAATCTCTCGCGGCCCGCAAATGCCTCACGTTCCACTCGTGCCCGGAAAGGGGAAGGTCAGTGTACATAATGCAGCAGCATACCGTAGCACAGCACGAGCTGAACCCTAAGCTGCTCCTAGCACCAGAGCAGTGTAAGGTAGCGCGAGCCCTACCGGGGACCGCCCGCGCACCCGCTCGCTCGCCCGTGAGCCCTGTGCACCACAAATCCTAATCCTCGGAAATTTTATCCCAAAAGTCGTAGAAATAATGGACCTTTGGCCGACGAAGAGGAGGAGGACGACAGGAAAGTCCTCCTTTTGCACCCTCTCCCGCCAATCTCGGTCTACTTCATCCAACCCTGCAGCGCTCGTGGCGACATCGCCAGGCTTGGTGGCCAATTGAGGCGAATCTGCAAACGCCGCGTCAATCTCCTCCAGGCCTGGTCCTAACCGAGCCACCTGCTGGGCGCTGTTACAGAATTATCGCCACCTCTCTCGCGCACCATATCTCGATCTCGCTCCTCTGCTCTTTCGTTGCCTTTCGTCTCGTTGCAAGGCAGGGTTGGGGCTTTGCTTCTGCTTCTGGTTTTAGCTGCTGATTATTATCCACTTTCTAGTGAGTCCATGGCTCGAACTTCCGGATTCAGAAGCTTTGGCGCAGCCCAGCCCGGCCCGGCCCTGCCTCCAGCCCAATCCAATCCAGCCCTGTGTTCCTGACCTCAGTCCTGACCCGACCCGTGACCGCCTTGTCGGGAACACAATGAAATCGTGTTGGCGGTAGTGTAGTCGACGGGCACAAAAGTGATGCAAGGAAATTGAATGCACAGAAGTTGACAATAATGAGCATGAGTTTATTCTGAGCCAATGGTGTCCGGGGTCTTATGGTAAGCAACTGCGTCTTACAAATGCTTCTTCCTCATTTCTGGTTCACCGCCAAACCAATTGCCAGAGATGTGGTGAAGATCCAACCCAGAATCGGTGCTTATTATTGACAAGAATCGGGTTGCACGGGATTCCATGTGTACGGAGAGAGAGAGTTGTGACACCAAGTCTTCAGACTCAAAAAGACGTACCACGATTTCTACGCTCAGAGTCTGAGGGAATGTCGCTGGCCTTCTTCGGCTCTTAGGATCACACCTTGAAAAGTTGACGATGTGAGAAGGAAGGCAGCACGTGTGAAGCAGCATGGAACAGCTTTCACAATTCAACAGAAGGTTGTAGTAGTCTTTCAGTCTTCCCATGGGTACTGCATCTGCCGGGTTGCTTTCATGGCATAATTGTACCGTGGGAACATTACAGGGAGTAGATGACCAACAGCAAATAGGCTGTCGTATCAGAGGGAATTCCATCAGACGTAATTATGGGAGAAGTTTACACAGATTGTCATCATCAGGATTGGCTGTCCGTCGAGCTTGTTTGGCAAAATGGTATGGTGGAAATCGAGATAGGTTGAAAGAAGTGCGCAGTGAAAGGACGAAACATGGCTCGAAATGTAACAAGTCCTTTGACACCTTAGTCTTGTCAAAATCATGGAATGGACCAGGTTACCCACCGGTTGTCCAGCGAAGATTACAAATTTCCACCGTTGTGTGCAATGTCGCATCTGAAAGTGGAGCATTTGGAAACAACGGATCCGTCGATAGGCTGGTGGACATACTTACCCCTGGTCCGGAAGCTAAGGAGAATGGGAGTGCATCATCGGCTGGGCCACAAGCGGAATCGAAGGGATTGTTTTACCAGCTTCGTCGAATCTGGCAGGCATTTTTGTCGATTTTGCCTTACGGGAGCTGGTGGAATGTCGGCGACAGAGTTGAGAATGACAAGGCCTCGATTACATTTATTTCAGCAATGCATAGACTTTGGGAACTCATTTCCCCAGATAAACTTGTGATTGGGACGGCATTCTTTGCCCTTGTCGTCGCAGCTGTATGTACATCTCCTCCCAACACGCCAGCTCTACTTCTTGTTAGCTGATGGTATTCGGATGGTGGTCAGTAATACCCCTTTTCTTAGCTTGCTGTGCTAAATTTTGTCATGCTTTTGTCCCTCCTCAGCTGTCGGAAATTACGATTCCTCACTTCGTAGCAGCTACCATATTTTCGGCTCAAGGCGGACTTACAGACAAGTTTTACAAAAATGCGAAACTTTTGGCAGTCATGAGTTGCACTTATGGGTTATTCAGGTGTGTACAGTTTTCTTTAAATCGTCTTTCATTCACAGTTTACATTTTTGTTGCTCAGACTCGACTGTATGACTAACCAGAGCCTTGTGATCTCATACCCAACTCAGACTCATATTTATAGTTCAGTTGGAATGATTTCTGGATAACAGCAACGTTTTAGATTTTAGATAGATTCTTGGGTGGATTTACTGTAGGTCTCATATGCTCCTCTTTCGTGTCCCCAGTCCAATTGCGTCTATGTCGAGATTTCGTTGAACTCTTTTGGATAGTGATGGTCTGTACACCCTCTGAACCATCTTCTGCCTGATGTCTCAGTGGACTTCGTGGTGGATGTTTTGGAGTGGCCAATCAAATTTTGGTGAGTAAATTTATTGGTGCAGTTTTCACACGCGATGCCTCTTCTTTGCAGACTGTTTGTCGTTAGTCTTTCAGTCGACCCGTCCATGAACCCTTGCTGAAAGATTACGTCCACGTAAATGCACCCCCATTGCAGGTGAGAAGAATGCGGGAAAAGCTTTTTACGAATCTACTTAATCAGGTCAGTTTATATTTGCACTGTTACATTTGCCTCTATTCTAGTTTTTCCCACTCGTGCGTACAGGGGTTGAATTGGAGTAATCTGTTTTGCGTCAAATCCTCTGTTGTATGAAACTGCTGAAGCAATCTCTTCTTTGAACTACTTGTACCTTCAACAGAAGTCTTTAAAACATATTCTAAGTTCCAAGTTTGCGTCTCTTAGGACATTGCCTTTTTCGACATGGAAGCTGTGGGGGCGTTGACGAGTCGCCTGGGTTCTGACTGCCAACAAGTTTCACGTATAATTGGAAATGATCTCAACGTGATGTTTAGGAACGGCTTGCAGGTAAAACCCCGTACAGACGTCTTTACATTCTCATTGTTGTTTGCTTTTACACAATCCCGTTCGCTGCCTTAAAAGCAGCTTTAGTTTCAGCCTTATTCCAGGTTCTTAATCTCTGCTGTAAGGGAAAGGGAAAGCAAGTATTAAGTTCTTGATGGCCATGATAGGGAAAGGGAAAGCAAGTATTTAGTTCTTGATGGCCATGATAACCCCTTTTCTTGGATGATCTAACTGCAGGGTCTAGGAGCCTTCATATATTTGATGACATTATCATGGCAGCTTGCCATATCTACATTTGTTATATGTAGTACAATGTGGTGCTTCATGAGATTTTATGGCCGGTACGTCTTATTTTGACTCTCTTGGGTCTGATGTTTCGACTGCTCGGTTTATTGCATCGCTGTTAGTATTTTCAGAGATAATCATATGGTAGTAGCCACTCGTGAAAACGTATTGATCACCTCTTGTCCCTGGTTGCCCAACTTGAGTATCACTATTGACATTTTCATGCTTTTCTTTGTAACAGGTATCAGAAAAGCACTGCCAAGACTGCACAAGATTCAGTAGCATCAGCTAACGAGGTAATGTCGACATTGAGTTTCCTTAGACATTGGGGTAGCTGATCCAGGAGTTGATTCTCAACTTCAGTCGCCTCAGATAAAGTCAGAGCTGAAGTTAAATGTAGCTAGATTGGGAGAACAATTTCCTCGAAGCGTAAAAGTTGTTTCCGTAGAACAGAAAGAACTGTGAGAATGTAACGTCCACGCAGACATAGATGAACAGAACCAGATTTCATACATTCAAATCACATAGGACCGTCATCTTGAAGTTATTATTAACGAGTGCCAGCGTCAACTTCGTTCGAGTATCACTTGCCCAGGCCGGCACACAAAGCATTATATTTCCTCCGTCAGTGAGCTTCATACATAATCAACCGAGATCCTTTGTTTCTTGAAGCTAAATAAGTGTCAGCAGAAAAGCTTTTGCTTGTAAAGAACAGTTTCATGTCAACCCGAGCTCACAGATTGTGGCCGATAGTGGGAGTTGATGTATTCTGTGGCAGCTCTCTTTTCGCTATCAAAACCGTCCATTTTTACGGGTGTGGATGTATTAGAAGAAGAATTGATGTAACATACGTACATCTAGAGGTTTGCACTTCAAGATTCTCATCTCATCATTTCCTGTTAGGTTGCAGAGGAGACACTATCTCTTGCAAGGGTTGTTCGGACATTTGGCACAGAGAAGGATGAAGTTGCTAGGTGAGATTCTCGTAAATGTACGTTGACGGTGGATCTAGTTTACTTTTTGGCCGTATTTTTCCGAAACAGATCCGCCTGGATACGCTTTGTTTCAACAGTTCTGTAACTCGTTTGATCTCAGACCAATCAAATGATGTCATTCACCCCATTAGGCACTGGGTTTATGGTCTTCACGCTATGGCGGACTGTCACTAGTTAGTAAAGCTCTTCATAGAGTGGCTCTTTTCTCCGATGCATATCCCATTACTTGCATGATATTTTAACTTCTTCTGGTTACTTCGCGTATCTTCTCTAATTGAATCAAGTGGAGTCTATGTGTAATTTTTCTTACTTGCCTACCATCCTTGCGTGCTTTTGTATTTTATTCTTGCAGACCGATTTTATTGTGTGATTAAAGTTCTGGACACTCGAACTTTGTTTTGTCCTTGTACTTAATACAACTCTTTATCTCATTCTTTTATATGTGTCTGTTGCCTTGATCTTCGCATAGTTCTTCAATCTTCGTCTGGAAGTGACTCGCTCATGCTGAAGGTTAGTCTTTATAGATATCGGCCTCCCGTTTGGCCTATGAAGTGGAGCCCGATGTGTTGCATCGAGGTCCATTTTCCCAACAAGCTTCATTTTTTTGTGCAGATACACCAAGTGGTCCAAGCGGCTAGTGGATATCAACCTACGGCAAAACGTTGCTTATGGATTCTGGACCTGGAGCTCTAACACTCTCTACAATGCGACCCAAGTATGTTCTCACTGCTCAACGAAACTCGCGTTTGATCAACAAGAACGAATCTCAAATGTTTGTTGTATCTTATGGATCTCGAGTTTACTGCCACGGACAACCCAACAACACTAACGCGGGTTATTTGTAAACGGAGATGATTGTTTCTTTCCATGTAATTTGTACATTCTGGATGTGTGATCGTCATGGAAGTGAGATGTTGGTGGTGTTGGGTTGCTGTTAAAGTTTCTGAATCTCTGGTTTTGGTATCATTAGTCTCCCCAGTAGGTCAGCGACATTCAGTCAGTTTTAACTTCTTACTCTTATCCAGTCTATTCCAGTCTCTGTGGACTTCTCTTTAATAATACTTGAATTCGTCTGTTAAATCTACTATAAATTCGGAGTTTTTTTGTTGAACATTGGGCAAAAAGGAGACTGAGCGGTTCAGCCTATACATCAAGATTGCGGGTAACCCCAACTGAGAAACACCGCTCAACACAATATACCGTAATGACCATGTGTAGTCTTTTAGGGGGATCACAATGGGAACGAGTGTATCTGCACCACATGAAAGTTGGTGGCTTCTACCCGTGACACAAAATTTGCAAATGAATCTAGAATGCCGTCTTTATTTGGTCTATTGTTTGGATGACACTCTTTGGTTAGAAAGAAGGGAGGTTGGGGCCGTGTATCTCATTTTTCAATTCTTCATAGAATTGGTCTCGGGGGCGAAAGTATTTGTTGGGCAGCGTAGGGGATAGTACCTCCCCGTACCCGATCTACAGTTTGGAACTCCTCTTTTAGTCCATATCCTGCCCCCCTATTTGTTTCCAGCAAAGTTGTAAAAGCTATGGGTTCTCGAAGTTCCACATCGAGGAACGAAACTAGTTTGTGGTGGTTGATATTGGAAAAGTATCCTTTAATAGGATCATGAAATCATTAATTAATCATCATTAATTTCTGCTGCTATTCAACCTACATAATTTATGTAGGTTGAATAGCAGCAGAAATTAATGCAGTAAATTATGTTTCTCTAGAAGTTGGTTAGCAATATCTCCTTTCGTTTTAGGTTTCCATTTTTTTGGTTGGGAACTTATGGGATGGTGGAAGAGCACGTGCTGTTGCAGTTCTTGAGTTGTGCTTGTACTTCAGACAGCTATACAATACAAGATCTTACAGTAAGAAGGTTTCACACTTGATATGTCGATCTAACGGTGGTTTGAAAACTTATTGTATTATTCGTTCAGATACTTATGGGCACGTAGTAATTGCTTTCGCACTCACCTCATGTGTTAGCTTTTAGATGTTAATCATGTATGGTCTGTTTCCACCTAGAGTTGATACACGCTAAAAATAAAAATAAAAATAAAAATAAAAAAGTAATAAGTAATAAGTAAAAAATAAAAAATAAAAAATAAAAAATTGTCATTATTTACATAGGCGCTAGAGTGTTACTGAAACTTCTGACGAGGAGTACTAGTTCTACTATTTAGTGAGTAATTAAGTCTAAACCGTGATGTGTTTTCATGAAGTTGTGCTGTTTTCGTATAGCTAGCATCTTCTTAAAACTCAAAATCACATTAAGTGAATTAGAGTTGAACTTAAGTTAAATCAAAAGTGAGTTATGATCATGTACCTTGGTTGATAATGCTTCATTAAACGCAATAGTGTAGGGTTTCGGATTTATGTGAGGCACTCAAGCCTGATGTTTGATAATCAGAGTGGTAGTGCGAATCACCTCTAAATGCCGTCTGAATGACAGTAGTTCTTGAAGACTCTCTTCCACTTGCCAGCACTAGCTACCATTCACCCTTGTCTACAGGTATACTATGAGAAGTAGTAGTTACTGAAATTAGACTTAACACGAAATATCCTCTATAAGTATGATTTAGTAACTATCTCTTTATTATTATGTTTTTCTCATTTTAAAAATCAGACAAAACTCCAATTTGTGTTAGAGTACCAATTTCACCTCGACTCCAGAGAAATCCAATATTCAAAAACTGTATTTTTAAGTTAGGGAATGATTACCGAGAATGTGATCATTACCACTCGATCTTGATAAATAAAAAGTATGGTATCGATCGCTCGGCTCTCACCCGAGCGGCCCGGGTTCAAGCCCCGGCAATGGAATCCGTAGAATCGGTTTATGGAGTGGTAATAATCGCATCCCATTGGGTGCGATTATTGAACCCGGGTTGCTCGGGTGAGAGCCGAGTATCCTAACCAACTAGGCTACAACTGAAGATGTCGAGAATTTTGATAGTTCTATTAATAAAAAAATAGTATTGATAAGAACACATATTTGAAAAATGACTCAAATCCCAAACTCTAAACTATTATGAGTAATAAATCATCAGTCGCCAAGATAGCACTAAATCTAAAGTTGATAATCTTAACTGTTGCAGCTGGTTGGGAAAAAGGATTGGATCGTGATTTTGAACCAGTTCTTTCTTTGACACCTCTTTATTACATACTAACCAAAAAAAATATTTTATTTCATTTTATCACGTGCCGTAGTTTCTGGTTATGACTTTAGTGATATTTATGAAGATCACTATACGTATGAATATAGCAGCTCTTTTACCCGGCTACTTCAAACCGCGATGGGCGCTGATGACGTTTTTGTGTTTACGTTGAGTGTTGTATCCTTCCTACGATATAACCTGTATATATCGATGGTGATTGTCTTGGCTGCTCGAGTAATTCAGAAGGTCTCGACGAGGTTCACTGCTTCTTACCGAGCTCCTTTGACACCTTGAAACATTGGTTCTCCTGAATCGCACTTTATAAAAATTGTGGTGAGATGATTGTTCAGTTATTTGTCCCTGAATCGGTGCATGGTGACTCGTATCAATAAGAATACACCCTCTCCGCATCCGTACGTCTCGAACCATTTATTCTTCTCAAGTTATTGATTAAGTTCTGAATGCACGTTGTGATGCTCACTCTTTATCTCTGTTTTTGGAAATCAGTAGTATATCTTCTAAGGTCGGTTAGAGTACTGTGATGCACTTCACTGTCTGCTCCGCTATCACCCCTAGGTGTGGATATCTTCACATCCTTGACTGTTTTTACTCGTTGGTTTGACTTTCTTACGCCTCATGCCTCTACTTTCTGCGTTATGCTTTGTGACTTGTGCATACCGTTCTGCTCTGTGAGTTAGTTTCACTATCCAAATGGTCCTTGCAGGAATGGCGTCTTAAACAGTAGAGAATTAAATGCACAGCATCGTCTAGTTTATTCCTAAACCGTGGGTGTATAACCGGAAGATAATTTTTGGGTTGCACATTCTTTTACGTATTACCTACTTGAAATAGTTTACACTAATCAACGCTACGCCTGGCGTATATGTACAAATTGCAAACTGCCGCCCTCCCTCACGTGCGATTATGGGCTGAAGCTTGGCACCCGGTTACTCACTGATGACGCCACCGAGTCGTGTGATGGCAAAGTGATGCTTAACACTCTGTTGTAGTAGATTGTCACTGGCACGTACGCGTCTCCTGTGGCAGCCTAAACCGCACTTATTTAAATGTTCGATCTTGTTCTATACCTTCCCATGTTATGCACGTCCTTAAAGCTTTTCTGTATCAGACTCAATAGCATTCTAGAACTTGCTCTCGACTTCTTGGGATGCTTCCATTCGTGAAGATCTGCCGCTGCTGACCGGCTCTTTGCTTGTTCCCATAGGGTTTTCAGTTTGCTCTTCTCCATTACATGTTAAGCACTTGTTGTGCATTCTCTATTGAAATTACTTTTCCACGTTTCTCCAAGCAGTATATCTGTAGAATATATCCTTGTAACTCTCACGTTCGCCGATTCAAATTCATTCCCCTGTTGAAGTTGTGTTCGTAAGGTGATCCAAACTTATTGATTTATCATTATAATGCAGATGATACTTAGAAGTGGAATCGCCATTTAATCTCAAGGCAGTGTTCTTATGTCCAGGGGCTGGTTTTGTAGGTGGTTGCATTGCTGATAGGAGGAGGCTATGTTATGACGGGCCAGATATCTGCGGAACAGCTTACAAAGTTTGTATTATACTCAGAGTGGGTTGTGCATTCGACATGGTGGGTTGGAGATCACTGGGCCTCTTTGATGCAGGCTATTGGTGCTAGTGAGAAGGTCTTCAATCTCCTGGACCTACCTCCTAGCACGCAGCTTGTTTCCAAAGGTGAAAAAGAAAATGGATTATAAAACATAGTTTTACTTTCGTCATCCTTTCAAGTGAATATACGAGGCGTACCTTCATATGGTTCGTAGTTGGATGAGATCCTTCAATAATATCCGGAAAATGGCCATAGCGGAATCATGTAACATCTGCCTTACTATTGCGAGACTAAGTCTTTCATTCTGTTCTCTTCGCAGTGAACCCATTAAAGTATTTCTACTGGTTTGTGCAGGGCGGAAGCTGCCAGAGGTGAGGGGACGAATACAGTTCAACGACATTTGTTTCCAGTACCCTGCAAGGCCTCAGGTCATTGCACTTATCCATTAACGGCTGTCGATCTCTGAGCCTTCAAATGTGTGGCATTGTTTTTGTTCTTAAAGTTTGTCAAACTACAGTACATCAATTTTCTGGTCAGTCTCACATTCTTCAACTAGCAGCTATTAACCATTTTCAAAGAAGCTTCTTTTATATTTACAAAAACTGCTTTCACCAGCTTGTAAGCTGTTCTGCGAAGGTCTATTTGTATATGCTTTATAAGTTGTGGACCCAGAATCTACTTGGCTGACTTGTGTTCTTAAACTTTGCCTCAGGTTCCCGTCTTGCGAAATGTTAGTTTCTCGATATTTCCTGGCGAACTTGTCGCGGTGGTAAATATTTAACTTTTATCCAGTGGTTATTATCCTCGATGCCTGCAAGTCTTTGTTCGTGTCTTTCAACGGCTCCTCGTTTACTGACTTCGCTCTCAAATCTCCAACATACTCTAATTTACAAGACGTGGCATCGTTTGCAAGGTTGGTCTAAGCGGGAGTGGGAAGAGCACAATTGTAGGTTTGCTACTCCGCCTTTATGAGCCATCTCATGGGCAGGTTTGGTCCCGCTACTTCACAATCTAGTTGGGCTATCAGCTGGCGTGTTTGATGCAAGAATCCTTGTGTACCTTTGAACCTTTGACACTTAAGTTGTGGGTGCTACATATATTGACCACACAATTGGCTGCCTTGCCCACCCTATGAGTGCTCAAATTTGTTAATCTTTGCAGATTTTGATCGATGGTGTTCCTCTGAATGATCTTGATATAAAGTGGTTCAGGCACCAGCTTGGAGTCGTCAGTCAGGTAAAGGGCGAAATATACGAACAAGTTTTCGTCGATAGTTTTATTGATTATAAGAAGTGTTTGGAATATGGTTGAGTGTCATTATCTTGCTTTGTAATAGACCGAATGAGCTTTTAGCTCATCATAGAACGTGGATATCTTAGGAAGCCCACTGGGAGCGACAACAGATGGAAAGCTCTAAGGGAGTCCATTTTGTCTCCACAGGAGCCACGTCTCTTCAGCATGGATATAGCTTCCAACATATCCTACGGATGCAGTAGAAGTATAACTACCCAGGATATTGAAAAAGCAGCGAAGCAGGCAAATGCGCATGACTTTATAATGGCTCTGCCAGACGGCTACAAGACTATTGTCGACAATGTTCGTCTTAGCGGCGGGCAAAAGCAGCGCATAGCCATCGCTCGGGCTCTCTTGAGGGATCCTGCAATTTTGGTGCTGGATGAGGCAACCAGCGCGCTTGATTCTGAAAGTGAACATCTTGTACAGGTTGGCTTCCCACTGCTTTCTCGTGCCTCTTTTGTGAGAGTTGGCCTTCCCCCTCTTTTAATTACAGTATCAGTCCTGACACCTTCTCTGCTAATCCATTACACAGAAAGCCTTAGATCGAGCGATGCGGGGAGATGGCAAACGGAAGCGTACTGTTTTGGTCATCGCTCACAGGTAATCAGTAGTTGCTCACATATGGTGATATTGTTGCTTTTAGCTCCAAAAAGCCCTATTGAAATTAATTCTAGTTTTTTTATCCGAGCTTAATCCAAGCATGAGGTCCAAGTCTTCCTCTACCGAAGTCCCAGACCCCCGTGATTGTAGATGCAACTCTTTTCCTTCAAGTTTTGTGCAAGAAGGGTTGACAGGTTGTACCCTAACGTCGTAGTATCGATGTCTTGTTCTGAAAGAAGCTTCTCTACGGACTTTGTCTTCAGTTTCTCTGTTGGGTCTTCCTCATGCGTTTGTCTCGCGTGATTACAGGTTGTCAACCATTAGAGCTGCCCATAGGATTGTGGTTATGCATCAAGGCCAGATTGCCGAGGTAAGCCACGCAATTTCGCCAGCATGATTGAAAGCACACAGCAGCGAATGACATGTCGTTCACTTTGTTCATAATCAGTTTGAATGCGGATAGTTGCATGTGAGCGCAAAGAACGGATGCGGACATGAAGCTCATGGAAAACGGACATGTTGGATTCGTCGCAGATGGGCAGCCATGACGAACTGATAAAGCTAGACGGTGAATATGCTCGCTTGACACGGAGGCAGCTAAGCACGCTACCTTAGCTAAGCACCCTACCAAAAGGCCCACTTATTCTCTGAAAGCCACCCATTTATTTGCAGGCTGGCTCTCTGATGTATGCAAAAGACCCTTGCCATAATGCTCTTTTTGTGTTAAAAATATTCTTAATCAGGTTGGTTGGTGGGGCGGAATAAAGGTAAAAAATGGACTTTTTAATGCGAAATTGTCAAGCCACTTTTTCTTGTCGTCGCACATTTGTTCCAGGAACTAATCAGCCAGGCATTCATGTTGCCATGCGACCCCTTGATCATATCTCTCGGATCACCACCGCACCAACCCGGAAATTATTCCGCTAATCTGCAGATTCTGGTCAAGAAAGCGTAAAAGGGTCCAGTATCTGTAGAAGAATGTCAAGCATGTGCTCTGTGCATACGTCTTGCTTGGTCCTCTAGCGCATGGGCAGATGTCCGTGAACATAAATCGGACCTTTCCAACTCATGGCCGGGATGTGGGGCCGAAATGCGGGACGCGGGAGATGCTGCGAGCACCTCAGAAAAAGGCGACGTGTCGACCCATGAAGTCCCTGTTTAGTCAAGGCATCGAGGCTCACGCCAATGTGACTATGCACTGCCTAAAAGTTGGCCATACTGCTCACTGTAAAGGGTGACAGCCACTTGACACCATTTCGTCTATCTTCCTGTCGAATTCTCAGCCTCTTGTATCCACTCCATGCATCAGGTTTTTGTCCTCTGTGATTTGCACACTTGACCCAGAGCGCTTCAATCTGCCCATTGACCCGGCTCGCTTTTCTCTCAGATCTCACTTTTTGTCTCGGGTTCGGTCTACTTTCCAAGGCTTAAAGTAGCTCGAAAAGTAAACCGCATGAATTCTGGCCACATGAATGTACTTCCTTTTGGCGCACAGAACATGAGCGACAACTGTCCACAAGCCGCGCTTGTTTGTCAACAGGAATTCTCCATCGCCCGTGGCACATTCTGCAAAACTGAAGTCGAATTCAAAGGATGCCCAGTGCAGCAACCTCCGGGTCTTTAAAAGAAGGCCAACGGAAAGCTGGACGATGAAACTGGCGCTTCCAGTCCTCTGTATCGGACTGCCCAAGACCTCATCTCCAGCGTGTTAACTTGCGAAGGCAGTGATGGTATCGAATCTAGACTTCTGGAGGAGTCGAGGAGGCGCAATACACTGCACCGGAAGTTAAAGCGGATGTACAGCACATCGCAGAGGCCTCTCGCCCGCAAAGACTCGTATCGCCGAGTGGCCACAGCAGGCGCCCTCACCGGCAAATTCCGGCGAATGGGAAATTTGGAGGGGTTAGGTTTTTCAAGGGATTGGTTAGGGCCACAACCCCCGGCACCGTCGAGGACGACAGATTCCCCTCTGCCTCCTGCGCAAGTCCTCACCACTATTCCGCTAGTAGTAGACGAGTCTCTTTCCGCAGAGTGACGCATCAAATTCGGCCTCAAAGAAAGGCATGCAAAAGAGCAACCCATATCGATTCTTCCTCCTCCAGCTGGAACAACAGCGAGTTGTCGATGTTGTCATGGGGCCATGAAACAGTGACGCCCAAAAGCAGAAAGTACAAAGAGTCATGGTAAGTCAAGCCCAGATCAGCAGAGCAGGAAGAGGAACAAAATTGAAGATAGAGTTCCGAGAGATGGGAGGCAGAGAACTTCGTACGAGTTGTAGCGCAAAGTGATCGCATCCGACAAGACGGAACAGCTGATGGACCCGTTCAGGGATTTGGTAGGAAATATCGATACGTAACGGAAGTAGACTTGCTATGGCATTGGCATGAAACCAACTCAGCAGAGGAGAAGGAGGAACCGCAACAGGAGCTCACAGAAGTAAGTAAAGAAAACCAAAAACGTGCAGAGACACGAAGAAAATCTTGCAAAAGTTGTGATTATGATGGAACGAAACAGCTCCCCCCCCCCTCCCCCCTCCATTTCGGGATTCGTTAAAGAATGCAGAGCAAGAGCAGTAAGAAATGCGAGGAGTTTTGACATGGCTTCGAACGAAAGAGGGATGCACTTTCCCAGCAGAGCAACCAAGGGCAGGGGGCAGAGGGCAGAGTAAGTCTCCGAGTAAAATGGGAGGGGGAGGGGTGGGATATCCGGACTTGACTCGAAAGAAATATCTCAGCCATCATTCAATAATTTGCGTAGGCTTTCCCGGACTCGGTAAGTGGGCTGCGAGTAATAAGTAGGCTCTCCCGAACTTATCTCAACACGTGATTTGACACTGTGCCATAGGTCTGACCCGCAGCGGCTGTTCACTCAAGAGTTAAAGATCATGGCTATCCTTAACACACCTTTGTCCACAGCCCACCAAGATTTACATCCCCGGCACCCCGCTCGCTCGCTCGCTTTCCATCAGGTTTCGCGCAACAAGGTCCCAGATCCAGATGGCAGAATGGCTTTCTCCTTTTCGCGTTGGACATTTGCATTCGAAAAGTTGCCCTGCTCGCCTTCGAGAAACAGTCAGCTTTTGCCACCAAACCACCAGATAACAGAATTGATCTTGCAACGAACGAGCGGGCCGTCCTTGCTGCCATCCCACGGTAGCAATAGCTCGCCCGGGCTAGGGAGCTATTGCTACCTGGGGATTGGCAATCATCGAGGGTTATTATGCGGCGTTTAGTCAGCTTTTGGCTTCAAGCAACCAGATAACCAGATTTTATTCCCGGAACGAATTGAGCATTCATGGAGCCCAAAGACTGTAGCCACTGTTGTAGCTGCTGCTTCGGAAAGTGAAAGTATCCGCTGCTGTATCATATCTTATTCCGCAGCATGATGTTGTGACTCGGAAAAAGCTTGTCCCTCTTTTACGCGGTCAATCCTCCGAGGCATCCATCGCCTCATTCCCACACGTGGTTTCAGACCGCCAAAAGTCCCATTTCACGCCCTTCCATGTTTCCGATTTCGAACGTCCGTCTGCTATCGACACCCATCGAATAATTACGGTTCATGACTTGCTCGCTCGATAGTCCTCCCCAAACAAACCTTCTTCATCGCGTTACTTTCCGCCCGCATTTGAGGGTTCACGAATATCTCCCTCCACCATCACGAAAGAAAGAAAGATAGAAAATCCATCATCTGATTGTTTTTTGGTCAACTCTTGGAATCTCTAACGGTGACTCATGGTCATAATTGAGATGTAATGCTCTATTCTATCATAACAACCAAATTATTGAACACTAGATGGTTATAGATGGGCCGAGAATTTACAATAACACATTAAAGTAATCTGGTTTGATTTATTTCAAGTACATTGGAGCGAAGTAGAGTGATACTCAATAATTTACCACAATTGAAGACGTAGAATAATAAAGAATATTCTTATTTATACTTTTTGTGAGATGACTTTATTTCTTTCAGATTACTTCAATACTAGTCTACCAATTATTCAAAACGATTGAATATGAGATTTAGATGAAAGACACCCTTTGAAATTTGTCTTTTGTGGCTAGCCGGTTAAGTGTGATTCCACATGTTGCATGTACATCATATCAAACACACTTGGACTTGGTTACTCTATTATGCACTTGACTTCAATGTCTATAAATAGAATTAGATGGATTTTCAGATTAATATATTCCAATCTATAGACATCATACTTTCATTACAAGCATAGATACTAACTTGAATATTTTAGAATACCAATCCATAGTCTTGAAGACTTATTACTAACAATCTTCCCCTTAATTCATGTCAAAATTAGAGTAACCTCTATAACTATATAATTATTTTGTGGAAAGTTTTGAAAATAAAATCTAACATTTTCAAACATTATTTAAATAGAATCTAGCCATATCCAAAACAAAATAGAGAAAAAGAAATACAGTTTCTATTTAAGCCTATTTGACCAAATAGCTTTTATTTTTGTATATCCTACACCTAAATATTCACTTTCCATTGTGGATTTAACTACATACTTTTGCAAAGTAAAATTTCAACTTATGCATCCATCGTCAAGTGTAAACATATACACTTATCTTCTTTGTATTCAACATCAACGTAGTTAAGCAAATATTTGACATTTTCCAATAAATAATCAACCAACAAAGCATTCTTTTTAGTACTCTTCATGTACCTTAGAATTTATTTCACTATTCTTTAATGCACCATTCTCAAGCAACAAATCATTCACAGACCCACTCATCGTACTTACTCTTGCTACATGTAACTCATACAAATTGCTCACAAATTGCTTCTTTAAATTGCTTGTATTCTTCTAGTTCAAGTGTCTATGTTGAACAGCATTTAGACACGCAATCAAACGTCTTGTCTTGTGACAACAATACTTCCTTGTTTGGAAAAAGAGAAATTTAGTACAATGTGTTCTCCTTTCCTAAAGCCAACGCCACAATGCTCAACGGTGATTTGAGTCAGCGCAAGAATTCACGTTGATAAAGAATTGAATTGCTCAAAACATCAAATTAGATGTCACTTAGACTAACTATGAGAAATTTTTTGACTTCTCTGATATATATAGTTGAGAAAACACAAAAATTGACATATTCACAAGCAAAAAAAAAAAAAACTGAAGATCACAAAATATATGATTCATCACTTTTCGGTTACGTTTAAGGAAATAACAAGGTCTATACTAAAAGATTTTACAATTGTTGAAGATGAACACACAATATATGGTTCATACTTCTCAGACTACGTTTGTAGAAACAACAAGATGTGTACTAAAAAAATTACAATTATTCAAGACGAGTTGTGTCTACTCTTATATATATCTAGAAGCTGAAATCCTAAGTCCAATACTAACTAGACTAAATCTAATCCTAACTTTAAGTTGAGTCATGTTAACTTGATTTTAATTGTAAACTTGAATCAGTAGTTAATCCGGCAAGAACAATAATGAACTTGTTTTTGGTCCTTTGAGTACATGATAGGACTGATGATCAAATATAGGGTCATAAAGTATCATAAGACGTAGATGAAAAATCTATAGGGTTGTTATCTAGCAAAAAAATCACAAACAGTTTAGCAGTAATTTCATATACTTATTGCTACATTGAAGAGTGTTATACTTTTTCATGATCATCTCTACAATGGCAATAGCAGCTTCCTCTTTGCTTACATGTTCACCTTAGCACCAACTGACAAACTTCCTCCACAACTCTTCCGCTTGAAAATCAGACATGATAATCATTGATTCCAAAATCTCGTCAACTTTTGAGAGACTTACTTTTTCAAAACTGCTAAAGAAAGATGTCATGCACGTATGGTTGTCTTTGACAAAAAGCTGGATGTACTCGTTGATTCTAAAATCCAAAAAAATACTTAAGATTCACGTTCTTGATCTACAACAAAACGCATAGCGTTTGTGTAAAATAAAAATTGAATCGAGCAAAATTTTTTATGCAATGTCATATTCAATTCATTTTACACACTCTTTGATATCAAGTGGCATATTTAAACCTACAAAAAAGCATAAAAAAATATCAAAACATACAACATTGACGCGACAAATACTGTGATTTGTCACTAGCTACTCTACGATAACAAACCAATTTTACAAAAAAAAAATTGATACAATGATCAAGGAGCAAAGTAGGTCTCACCATCCTTAGTAGTTAGAATAAAACGAAATCAAACCAAATTTTAATCCGGATCTTTTGAAAAAACTAGAGTATAGTCGACAAAAGTTATTCCTACATATTCTTCCAAGTTACAAACAAACTAAATAAATTCATATGTCTTGTTGTATTCAAAAGCATGAATTTAATATAACAATGAGATTTATATACAAATGAACTTGAATATAAATTTTACTAAAAAAATTACATCAATATTATACATCAAATTAATTAAATCTACTATGCATAATGATACAAATATTTGTCAATTCTATTGTAAATATTTGATCTTTTGTAGCAAATAAATCTTTCACTTTAAAATTTTAACTCTCAGTAATATTTTATTTTAAATATTACTACATAAATTATTCTTTAAATATTCAACTTTTTTAAATCAATTTTTTCCGAATTTACTTAAACTTCTCTAGCTTCTGAATCTTTGCGTATATACTTATAAGACTAAGCTTGTTTTGACACAATTTGTCATGTGATGTGTACACTATATGTCAATGATAACAAATAATTTATACTTTTTGTAAATTTTTTTAAATAAAAAGATTCCTTACTCTTTGAGTTGATTGAACTTTTCAGTTTCATCATTTTGAAAAAAAACTTGAAATTACTCAAAAGCATCAGAATGAGAGTAAATGATAAATTTTAGCTTTTTAAAGTATATCATGTCTTGCAAAAAATCATTCTCATTTATAAAACTCGATTTTAATTTTTTCTCATATTTTGAAGAAAGTAAAAAAAATTTAAAAATTTTACAGTGACAAAAAAAATTGAAATATTTTCAAAATCTGAAATTTTTAACCAAATATTAAAATAATAAAGTAGAAATTTTTTAAAAAATTATTTCTTTGCTTGACATATATTTGAGAAAAAATTGCTACTTTATTATTAGAAATTTTTTCAATTCACATTTTTTAAATATTATGTTTATTTTTAATTTTCAAAATTAAAAAATTAAGCTGTTCAGGCATGTAAAATCAGCTTTCCAAACAAGGAAAATTTTCAATGATAATTTATTATATTTCATGGTTTTTTCATGTTTTTTTCATTCAAAAAAATTATTAAATAAATTCTTATATAAAATAACTTGTATTTCATATCATTTAGGTATTATCGTTTTGAATGGAACCATGATGAATTTAATATTCCCGAATAATGGCCATCTCCAAATATCTAGGCGAATCGGCCAGAAAAAATTATTTTGACTTAGAAAAGAATTTGATGTCTCTCAAGTTTTTCATAGAAAACACTCTTCAAAACCTTGTTATACTTGCAAATAAACGTATATATGTTTTTCAAAAACTGTATGAACCTATACGTATATATGTTTTTCAAAAACCGGAATGAACATGCTCAATTCTAGCAAAAGAGTTCACGCAATATTCTGCTCACTCGACGGTCTGTACAGACTGCGAGGTACTTTTCAAACGGTCTGGTTTCATCTTTGTTCAGCTTGATGGATGTTCCCATCACTTTTTCTTTTCAACTTGACCCCGTTCATTTCTTTTCAAATAACAATAACAAGCAATTAAGTTCGGGATTGGAAAAAAAGTCCACATTATCTTTTTGAATTTTTATAAGAATGTAACGGAGCAAAGAATGAAGATGATTTTTCACAACGGCCATGTGCAATTTG